TACCAGGCCCATATGCCTAGAGCCTGTGCTCTGCAACAAGCCACTACAATGAGATGCCCATGCACCCCAACGAAGAGTAGGCCCCGCTCACCACAACTAGAGAATGCCCACACACAGCAACAAAGACCATTGCAACCAAAAATAAGTAAGTAAATTTAAAAAAAATAAAAAGCAAGGACAGGGAGCTTAGAGCTTTAAGAATCACAAAGTCTTTAAGAAGTCTACTTTCTAGCTTCTCTTATGGGGTGGTTAGAAAGTTTTCCTGTATTAGAGTCATCACAAGTATAGCACAATAACAATGATTTGTATTGTTGTTTAGTCACTAAGTCGTGTCCGACTCTTGCAATCCCATGGACTGTAACCTGCCAGGCTCCTCTGTTCATGGGATTCTCTAGGCAAGAATACTGGAGTAGGTTGCTATTTCATTCTCCAGGAGATCCTCCTGACCCAGGAAACAAACTTGGGTCTCCTGCATTGCAGGCAGATTCTTTACCAACTAAGCTACAAGGGATCTGTATAGTACCTGGAAAAGAAACAAACTAGGTAATATTACTTATTAATAAGGATGACATTTTATTAGTCCAAAGGTGACATAATAAAGAGACGGAAGAGGGAGAGAAGTTGGCTATTTTCTTCAGGCAAAGCCTCAGAGGTGAGTAATACACTTGCAGTCCTTAACGAGACTGGTCTCCTCGCTGAGTCTAGATACTCTGATCTCCATAAAACACTTAGGAACCACCCTAGTTTCATCAATACTAAAAGTTGTTTACTCTGCATGATTTATCTCACCTGTTCAATGACTCTACAGAATTTAATCTCATAAGGTAATATTCCCTGACCTTGATTTTAAAAGGGGAGAGGATAGTATGGAATGTAGTTGCATGACACAGTCCTCTGTGGCACCACCCAGTCATCCCTGAGGGGCATCTCTCAGTGTTGCATACTTAACTCCATCAGTCTTGGCTTCACAGTGTCTCTCAGTGGATAGACAGGTGAGGCAGAAGCTTCTGCTATATTCTGAAAATAACTTTAAGTTACTTAAGTATTTCCTCTGTCATCTGATGATCAAAAATATACAATACTAATTTACCCAATGATACTTAGTATAAACTTGAAATACTAGGGCTTCAGACCATATAATCAAAATCCTTTATTTTAAAATCCAAGTTTAGAGGAGGACTCACCCTCTCCCTCCCTAACTCATCTGGGGCCGACAAAGAAGACAGCTGTAAGGCCCAATTCACCCAATGCCAATCAGAGGAAAATTGGCAAGAGGAGGCAGACCTGAATGAAGGATAGAGCGCATGCATTGCTCTGCTTTTGCCTGAGCGCCAACCATGCTGGCCACTTGGAATATGCTGACCTATCTTTGTCCACTTGTCTTGATTCTTCTAGGCTGGAATGCCTCCAAGAAACCTTCCCTGACTCAGACCCCAGCCTAAGTGATCTGCCTCTCCTTTCCTCTTAAGCTATCAATGGCTTCCTGGATGCACTTGTTTATAGACCTCTGGACCCTTCTCTGTTCACTCTCAGCTTGATGCCAAGCAGGGTCCTGTGGGGCTCCTACACATGGAGGCTGTTTTGTGCCCAATTTCTTATAGGGAAGACTCCAGCCTCCATGACCTTCTCTTGAGTCCCACAGGGCAAAACAACTGCTAATCAAAGGAGGAGCAGCCAATGAACCACCTGAGGCAAGATTAAGGGACCAGAGAGGCTCACCAAGATTAGGAAACCCGAACACCTACCACCTAAGACCCTGCACACAACCCCACCCTCTTGAAACCTTGCAGAAGAGTGCAAGACTGTTACTGCCTTGATCCTTATCATATACCCCTGCCTAACTATATAACGGAGAAGGCAATGGCAACCCACTCCAGTATTCTTGCCTGGAAAATCCCATGGATGGCGGAGCCTGGTAGGCTGTAGTCCATGGGGTCGCTAAGAGTCGGACACAACTGAGCGACTTCACTTTCACGCATTGGAGAAGGAAATGGCAACCCACTCCAGTGTTTTTGCCTGGAAAATCCCAAGGACAGAGAAGCCTGGTGGGCTGCCGTCTATGGGGTTGCACAGAGTCAGACACGACTGAAGCGACTTAGCAACAGCAGCAGCAATTATATAACCTCTCCCTACTCACCAGGGAAAAAGCTGGCTTGAAACTCAAAATTCAAAAGACGAAGATCAAGGCATCCAGTCCCATCATTTCATGGCAAACAGATGGGGAAACAATGGAAACAGTGACAGACTTTATTTTCTTGGGCTCCAAAATCACTGCAGATGGTGACTTCAGCCATGAAATTAAAAGACGGTTGCTCCTTGGAAGAAAAGCTGTGACAGAAGAAAGACTTCTTTCATGCGGAAGAAAAACATAGCGTATTAAAAAGCAGAGAAATCACTTTGCCAACAAAGGTCCATATAATTAAAGCTACGGTTTTTCCAGTAGTCATGTACGAATGTGAGAATTGGACCATAAAGAAGGCTAAGAGAGGAAGAACTGATGCTTTCAAACTGTGGTGCTAGAGAAGACTCTTCAGAATCCCCTGGACAGCAAGATCAAACCAGTCAATCATAAAGGAAGTCAACCCTGAATATCCTTGGAAGGACTGATGCTGAAACTGACACTCCCAATACTTTGGCTACCTGATGAAAAGACCCTGGAAAAGACCAACTCACTGGAAAAGACCCTGATGCTAGGAAAAACTGAGGGCAAGACGAGAAGGGGGCAACAGAGGATGAGATGGTAGGATGGCATCACTGACTCAATGGACCTGAATTTGAGCAAACTCCGGGACATGGTGAAGGACAGGGAAGCCTGGAGTGCTGCAGTCAAAACGGTCGCAAACAGTCGAACAGGACTCAGTGACTGAATAACAACTCACCAGAGAGGAGGGCACAGTTCTTGAGGCACTAGCCTACTATCCCCCTTTGCCTGGTAAAGTAATAAAGCCACTCTTTCCTTTTCCAAAAAATTTAATTAATTAATTTAAAAATAAAATCCAAGTTTAATATTCACTAAATTTTACTAAAACTATTTTCACTGTAAACAGGGAAACATTTTTAATAAAAAAGAAAATTCCTGAATCATTATTCACTTCTAAAATGAAGACTTTTTTGAAACCTAACAATACCACTGAATAATATTTTCATTCTAAAATCTCAAAAAAACTGAGTAGCCATTGCCCTTTTGTGAAGAACACTAACAACACAGAAATCTCCATTTGTAAGGGTTTGTCCCTCTTTGCACCAGAAACAGAAGGATAGTGAAACCTCAATTCTTATCAATGGAGAAGTCCTGACTTAAATCTGCAAACAATCATGCTTGTTTACCATGTTTTGCATGATAATCTGCCAAAACTGGTTTCCCCTCTTCCCCAAAGTTTTCTGTTTCTAGCTGAAGATAGTATTTAACGTGATGGCTTTATAGTCATTTCAGGGCGAGATTCAGTTTTTCTTGGCATCTCCCCTGTATATAGGAGGTATACATGTTATTAAACTTTTTTCTCCAGGAAAAAATAAAAAATAAAATTCCCTTCACGATTTCCCCCTCATTTCTTAGTACCTCCTTTCTAAAAGAAATTTGTCTTCTTATCTGAGAGGATCCAAATCAAAAACACACGAAGTTGAGATAGACAGATCAAGATTAGCAGTAAGGAGCAGTATGGCAAAAAGCAGACAGACACAAACACAACCAAAAAGCAGCAAACAAAACTAAAACAGCATGTAGATGAAACTATGACTACAAAATTGGGGGTGGGGCAAATAGTGAAGAAACAAAATGCTCTAAGAGCCCGAAAAAGCACAACTTTTAGGCAAAAAGGCTCTACCTTTAGGCACTTTCTCCCTGGCCTCCATTGGTGTTTCTAAGAAATAAGATATACAGACACACTTTAGTAGGCTTTCTTACAGATTTTATCAGAAACGCTGTAAACACCGAGGGAAGTTGTTAGGCACCCTGACTTAAGGCTGAACACAGATACTTCTAAGGAGAAAAACAATCATAACTAGCTAAAGATGGTTGGCCAAAGGCAGGATTAACATTCATCCTGGTGGGTCTATAGCCCAAGCCAAAAAAGCCTGTGTGGTTTCGGTGTTGTAACGGACGAGCTTGCTGCAGAAGCACTTTTTTTTCACAGCCATAGCACTACCTCTCTAGGGACTAACAAAATCCGGCAGAGTAGTGAAAACCAATTTTACATTAGACGATGCAGTCCCCAGCATTCTGTCCTAGATCTTTTTTATTAAGCGAAGAGAGAACCAGAGGAGGAAGGGTGAGTAAGGCAGGTGGTGCGAAAGACACTGGCAGCATGACAATCAAAATAAGCAAGTTGAAACAATATGTTCTGCCTTCTTCCTAAAGCCATTTCCTTCAATAGTGATAGGGAGCGCAGGCAGTCTGCAAGTCATTAGCACACTGCTGTTTTCACTTTCAGAAGAACACTGGAAACCCCTGAAGAGCAAAATCCCCCTCTCCATCCCAGTTACCTTCCAACCCTCTCTTTCTCTCCGAGTTTTCTTGCTTCCTTTCCTAGGGACGACCGAATAAGGACAATTCTCGGCAATCCGCTATTTTGCTTTAATGAGGGGGAAGGGGGAGGGTCTGGTAAAAATTGAAAAAGGAATAAAGGTGAGAGACAACAGCGGAAAGAATATCGAATTGCAGGAAAAGAGAGGTCATCGTGGGAAGGAGACAAGGTGAAGAAGAGTGCATGAAAACAGGGGACATGTCAGAAGAGAACTTGCTAAAGAAGGCCAAAAAAAAATTAAAAATGGAGAGCGGGAGGGGGGAGGGAGGAGCTGGTCAAGACGGGAGAGAAAGTGAGGGGCAGGTGGAACATCCGAGCGAGAGTTGCGGAGTCTGGGCCGAGACGCCCGGGCAGCAGGGTACAGGAGAGACCGATGTCAGGTGAATCGGGATTGTATGGGAAGCTTAACCCCCACTCCAGGACATCTGGGAGAGGAATCCGGGCCGATGCCCGAGCGCAGAGAAACCGGGCTCTTACCGGTAGTTTGGGGCTGACCTCGCCCTTGCAAAAGTGGCAGAAAAACCGGTGCGCGGCAACCGCAGAGCCCGCGCCAGCCCCGGCCGCCGAAGCCTCCGCCATTTTTCTCTTTCGCCACGGCTGTCCGAGAGGGCAGCCGGCCGGTCTTTCGCCAGGCCGCTACCTCCCGGCTGCTGTCGCCTCCTCGGCCGCCGCCGCCGCTTCCTCAGTGCTGCCAGCCTCTCCAGATCTGGCCCGCGTGAGTCACGTGAGTCCGCCCAGCCCACAGAGGCGGTGGCGCGGCTGCTGACCCCGCGGCCCGCCTCCCAGAACCAAAGAGGCGCAGGAAGGAGAGTCAGCCCGCCGCCGCCCGCCTGCCGTCTTCTCAAACAGCCCCTCGCCGGTCCTCCAAACTCCCAGCGAGAAAAAAGAAAGAGCGTCCCCGGAAACCACCGAAACGCTGGGGTAGAGCGGCACACGTTTTTCCTCTTCGCCGGTCCTCCTCGGTTGCCGTGCTCCTGCGCGAAAGGACCTTGGGCTCCCCCTCTGCCCCGGCGGTCAGCGGGAACCTCACAAAGCAGTCGTGGGGAACTCGGCGGCGTTACGTTGCACTGACCCAGAGGTTAGTGGAAAATGCGGTCTGAACGAGGCAGCCCTGTCCCTGGACCCGGGGATCCAATCCGGAACCGGAACCAGCGGGAAGGGAGTGAAGAGCCAGGACCCAGGCTCTCTAGAAATCCTTTTCGAGGATGGCAGAGGGTCTGGGGATGTGTCCCGAAAGACCTGTGGATGGGAATAGTGAAGCTGAAAGGCAAAGTCTGGGTTGGCTTTTGAGGAATTGGGAGAAATAAATGCACAAGCCAGTGTTTGATAGGACTTGTGATTGTATAGTTAACCATGTCTGTTTCTTTTTGTGTCTACTTAGTGAAGAAATCGAAATTTTAGAATTAAATACTGCCCTGCTAACAACATACTTCATCTCCTATCTGAAACACCCTATCATTTACCTCCTAACTTACTTTGCAAAGTTGTTTGCCTGTTCACTCCCAATAGGAGTGAAACAATGAAGTATAGAATCTAAGGTCTGTGATAGATCGCAAAACCATCTACACCCAATCTTTCAAGAAAATTAGAACCATACATGATCCCATAAAGATAAATCTCATATACATAGGTTTCCAGTCTTCTTTTTCAATGCATGCGTGTGGGGGTTTTTTCACAATAATTAAACTTTCCTCTACATTTTGCTTTGTAACCTGCATCTTTCACTTAATGAATAATTTTCTACACTAATACATATTGTATTATGAATGTTGGCATAGAATTCCATTGTATGTATATACCATAATTTATTGGAATAATCACTTATTAGGTTCCCAGAATATCATTATTCTAAAGTGACATATTTTTATCATTCCCTTGGAACAGAATATCCAAAACAAAAGCATTTAGGTCAAAGATATGCAAGATTTTAAGGCTTTTGGTATATCTACTGTCAAATTGCCATCTAGGAAGAACATGAATTTACATTCAGCAATTCTGCTCCCAACATAAAAGAAAAACTTCCCATCATACTGTCTTTTATTTTTTTCCTAGCTCTGAGACTCCTCAGCATAATGACTCAAGCAGAAATTAAACTGTGTTCTTTGTTGCTGCAAGAGCATTTTGGAGAGATTGTAGAAAAAATTGGAGTCCACCTAATCAGAACTGGCGGCCAGCCCCTAAGAGTTATTGCCCATGACACAGGAACTTCGCTGGATCAGGTATGTTTGGATCACATCAATTTGCTTTCATTTCATTAATTTCTTTTACCTACCCTTGAATATTGTTACTGCCTGCCCCCCAAGGACAGAGGAGCCTGCTGTGCTGCAATCCATAGAGTTGCAAAGAGTCAGACATGAGTAAGAGACTGGATAACCCTACAAAACGGAAAAGAGCAAAGTCTGCCCTAGGGTCAGAATGGTGTTATTTGATAGGAGAGAGAGAATGAGACATAAGGCCCAAGGTTCTGCTTCTCAAAGAGTTCTGGCTCCTTGTATCTTCTTAGGCAAATCTTTCCCCCTCTATCCCATACTTCATTTATTCATAATGAGTCTGTTAATCTCAGTACTACATTTTAGGAATGAGAATAACAGAGGGGAAGTAAACTGTACTTTGAAAGATAAAGATTGGAGGAAATATAAACATCATAGTAAGGAATCTTCCTGATTTTTTCCACTCACGATTCTAACTATTCCAGTGGAGAGAGGGAGCAATTTGCAGCTGTCTCTTGATATTTAGGAAACTGTTGGACAAAACTTGCCAGCAGTAATGAACTGCATCTTCAGATTTTTCTTCTCTTTCTTTTATATCCTCTCTAGGTAAAAAAAGCCCTTTGTGTCCTCATCCAGCACAACTTGGTGATACATCAAGTGCACAAACGTGGCGTGGTGGAGTATGAAGCCCAGTGCAGCCGGGTGTTGCGAATGCTTAGGTATCCCCGGTACATCTATACCGCCAAAACACTGTACAGTGACACGGGAGAGCTGATTGTTGAGGAGCTGCTGTTGAATGGCAAAATGACAATGTCCGCTGTTGTGAAGAAAGTAGCAGATAGGCTCACAGAGACTATGGAAGGTCAGTACTGTGTCCACGGCTGTTGACGAAAGCATAGATTGACTGGCTGCAGGAGTGAACCCTTAGCTATCTGAGGCCGTCTCATGCCTGTTTCCTCCTGTCATACAGATGGCAAGACTATGGACTATGCTGAGGTGTCAAACACATTTGTGCGACTCGTGGACACACACTTTGTGCAGCGTTGCCCCTTGGTGCCTGCCACTGAGAATTCAGACACTGGGCCGCCACCACCTGCCCCCACTCTTGTCATCAATGAAAAGGACATGTACCTGGTTCCTAAACTTAGCTTGATAGGTAAGGAATTTTGCCCCCGAGATCTGTGACTTGCCCTAATTGTAGATTCTTTCATGAAAGTTTCATAGTGATTGTTAAATGAATGACTTAATCAATGAAGCAGTTACCAACGATTTGCTCTATGCCAGATACTGTGGTATAAAGTGATGAAAAAAACATTATGGTCCCTGCCCTTATGGAGCTTGAGTCTGGTATAGGAAGCTTACATTAATCAGATAGTCTCATGGATATGTAACTAACAAACTGTGATTAGTACTGTGAAGAAAAAGTATGAAAAGTGTGTTAGCAGTGTTAGGAAAATATATAACAGGGGACCAGATTTACCTGGGAGTTGGGGGCACATGCTTCTTTGAGAAAATGGCATTTGAACCAAGATTTGAAGCAGAAGTAGAGCCAATCAGTGAGGTAAGGTGTGAAGAGGTACAGAGGATAAGCATTCTTAGCAAAAGAAATTGTATGTAGTGAGGGAAAAAAAACAGTATATTTGAGGAATTAAAAGAAGATCAGTGTAGTTAAAGCATAGCGAGCAAAGGAAAGAGAGCCATACAATAAGGTTAGAGAGATAGGCAGGGAATAGATCATGCAAGACCTCATAGAGCACTTGTTCTTTATCCTAGATGCGAAGGAAAACTACTAAAGGATTTTAGAGGAAGTAACATGATCTAATTTGCATTTTAAAAATATGTTTCTGTCTGCAGAAAGGATGGGGCAAAGGTAAATGTAGACAAACCAGTGAATAATCAGGCATAGAAGGGGTGAGGAAAACAGAAATCAAGAATGACATCTGGCTGGCGTACATGGAAGGATGAGCATACCGTTCACTGTGAAAGGAAGCCTTGGAACAGAAGCAGTTTGAGGGAGAGAGACTATGAGTTTCTTTTTGAACATGTTGAATTTCAGATGACTTCATCATTAACTTGAATTTCTTGTAGTTCCTCCATCTCCTCAACATCTCTTACCTAGAGGCCACTACAGATGTCTTTGGGATAGCGACACCTGCTGTCACCTTCCGCCGTTTCCTGTCATCATAGGAGATGTAGCCTATCAGTGCAACTGTTCTGTTTGGCAGGAAAAGGTAAAAGGAGGAGATCGTCTGATGAAGATGCTACTGGGGAGCCCAAGGCCAAGAGACCAAAACAGACCACAGATAACAAAGAGGTAATGATGCTTCTGGACTTGGAGTCTTCACTCTGAGGCCAGCCAGGAAGAGCACTGAGATAAAAAGCCCCGAAAGAGCTTCAAGGTTCTTGGGTTGAGAAGTAGTAGGATTATGAACTTCATCAAATGTTGGCCTGGGACAGACTAACAAAGAGGGCACCCCATTACTGTCTCTCTACTGTCCATTACTGTCTCCCTTCTGAGGCTTAACCTCATTGGACAGAGGTAGTAGCTTATGCAAAAATAAAGGGCCTAGAAAAAGTTTAAATTGATCACTGTGGCTGGACTATAGAGACCACAGGGATGATTGGACACAAATGAGTCTAGAAAGATATATGTAGGCCTGAGCTCTTACATTCAAATGCCTTCTCAGCATCCCTTTAAAGATGTCTAATAAGCATCCTGAAAGTAGTATGACTAGAACAGAGTAATTGATTTCTCATTCCTAGCTATTCCCTCCTAAGCTTTCCTCATCTTAGGGACATCACCAAGACAAACCACCTAGGATACTATTTGCTTAAACCAAAGTCCTGGGAGCCATCTGACCTCACAGTAAAACCTGTCAACCCAATTTCTAAAATTAATTCAAATCTGACTATTTCTTACCAGTCACCTTAGTCCAAACCACTATCACTGTAGTCAAGACTTCACCAATGCTCTCCTAAGTGGTCTCTCTGCCTACATTCATACCTACATAAGAGCCAAAATGACTTCCTAAATTGTTCTTTAAAAAAAAAAAACAAAACCATCACTGATATTTGACTCCTTTAAAACTTCCCATTACTCCTAGAAGCAATCTAGATCTTTACCATGGATTATTACCCTTTACATGAACTAAGTCTTTGCATGATCTGCTGGAGACAAGGCTCTCCAATCTCAGCTCTTCCTTCCGTCCCTCAAATGTGTCATACATGCTCTTTCTAGTCTTTTGGCTTTTGTCCCTAGGATTTCTTCCTTAGATCTGCATGTAGTTGCCTCTTTTTCATCATTCCGATCTCAGTTCAAATGCTGTTTTTTAAGAGCTTGCGCACCTTTGCCCCGTCTCTACTCCATTCTCTACCACATTTTCCCATTTCATCTTCACAGCATTTAAAGGTAGATGAAATTATGTATTATTTGTGCTCCCAATAGACTGTAACTCTTTGAGGACAATATCTTGTCCCTGATACCTGGAATACTAGCATAATATCAATAAATATTTTTTGATTGACTAAGAGGTTTACACTTCACCCTGAAGATAAGGGGGAGTCGTAGACAGGTGAATGAAGTAGCTAGATTTAAGTTTTAGAAATGTTACTATAGTACAGTGGTTCATAACTTGTACAATTTCATGGATGCATTTCAGAGAGTCCACCTGTACTTGTTCATATGTACATTTTTCTATAGAGTACTCATAGCTTTTTTCAGATTCTTCAGGGGAACTGTACCTCAAAAGCTGAAAAAGCACAGCTCTATGAGAAACGGGGAGGACAGTGCAAAAAGAGAAAGATTAAAAACAGAAAACCAAATTATCCTCTTTTATAGTGTTCATTAAAAAAAAAAAATTAGTTAGGAGGCTACTTATAGTCATTCAGGTGAGTCAAGATTAGAGCCTAAAATAAGGTAATGACAGGATAAAGAAAAGTAGACCTCTGATTGGGCTTCCCTTGTGGCTCGGCTGGTAAAGAATCCGCCTGCAATGTGGGAGACCTGGGTTTGATCCCTGGGTTGGGAAGATCCCCTGGAGAAGGGAAAGGCTACCCACTCCAGTATTCTGGCCTGGAGAATTCCATGGACTGTATAGTCCACGGGATCACAAAGAGTCGGACACAACTGAGCAACTTTCACTTCACTAAATCCACACAATTGAATGCTTTTTTTCTCCAACCAATTTAATCACTATTGTATAGGAAAAGGAACAGTGAAATCCAAACCCCTCCCCTGAAAACTTCACTGTATCTAAATGTTTCTTTCTGGTACTTTTCTCCTCCTCAGCCCATTCCAGATGACGGGATTTATTGGCAGGCCAACCTTGACAGATTCCACCAGCACTTCCGTGACCAAGCCATCGTCAGCGCAGTTGCCAACAGGATGGACCAGGTGATATCTCAATGGGTGGGACAGTGGCTATCAGGAACATGACACTGTTTACCGGATGTGGCCATTGGCATATAGCCAGAGCCCCTGCAGCAGAGTGAATTCTGAATTCCAGTTCACTGTTCAAACCTAGACCAGTAGTGAGATCGTGAGGACCATGCTCCGGATGAGTGAGGTCACCACTCCCTCTGGTGCCCCCTTCACCCAGCCATTGTCTTCCAATGAGGTGAGCTTCATGCTTCTTTTTTTTTTTTTTTCCATTTATTTTTATTAGTTGGAGGCTAATTACTTTACATCATTGCAGTGGTTTTTGTCATACATTGAAATGAATTAGCCATGGATTTACATGTATTCCCCATCCCGGTCCCCCCTCCCACCTCCCTCTCCACCTGATCCCTCTGGGTCTTCCCAGTGCACCAGGCGAGCTTCATGCTTCTTAAACTAGTTTTCTGACAGATTCTTGGATATTCTAATTATTATACGTAGAGCCTGGGATTAGGTTAAGGTCCAGACCTTGAAAGAAAGGGTTTTTGCCATTTGAGGTGGGACAGTGATTATCCCCAGGTGGTACGTACTGAAACATTTGGCCTCTTAGGAATTCAGCCTTTAAAAACCTAAACCACTATTTTAGTCAAAGTACAAGTAATTCTTTTTTTTTTTCATTTTTAATAATTTTATTGAAGTAAAGTTGATTTACAATGTTAATTTCTGCTCTACAGCAAAGTGATATTATATTATTTGGCTGCTTGTATTTTTTTTTCAGTATATATTTTTTAATGTTTTAGTATTTTGTTTATTAAGTTTTATTGATTTAATATATCAAATACTTTATATTCTGTTACTGTTTGTAATCATACCAATATTTATCCATGTTAAATATAGTTGTGTTTTTACAGTGTTTAGATTTTTTTAAGTTATTATATAACAAAAATTTAAATACAAATGTTTTTCCGATGACAAAAATAATTATATGGACCTGTATTTAGAGATCTATAGTTCTTTTTTAATATTTATTTATTTATTTAGCTGCACTGGGTCTTAGTTGCTACACGTGGGATCTTTAATCTTTGTTGCAGCATGCATTATCTTTCATTGCAGCATGCAAACTTAGTTGCAGCATGTGGAGTCTAGTTCCCTGACCAGGGATGGAACGTGGGCACCCTGCTTTGGGAGCACAGAGTCTCAGCCACTGGACCCCCAGGGAAGTCCCTAGAAATGTACAGTTTTTCAAAGTTGTAGTTCCCCAAACTTTCAGAAATGGCAGGCAAGTGCTGTATCTTGTAGATGGTAGTTACATGGGTATATACAATTATCAGCACTCATCAAACTGAATCCTTACAATCTGTGCTTCTTGTATGTAACATACTCTAATTTAAATACATATGTAGTTTTGCATAATCCCAACCCCAGAGATCTTTGTCAGTAGTTTGGTACATATCTTTATTCAGACATCTTACATATAGTCTCATTCAAATGTGGGTATATGTATATTTTTTAGTAAAAATTTAAAAAGGGATTATACTCTGGATACTATTCTAAACTTGCTTCTCTCATATGGCAGTATACATAAACTTCCTTTTCATGATCTATCTCATTCTTTATAATGGCCATATCACATTCCACTTAAGTGGCCACACTGTACTATATTTTAATGAATTTCTTATTATTGGACATACGAATTCTTTCTAGTTTTTTACTCTTATCAACAATGCTGCTGTGCTTTGGGACATTTTTATACTAGTGATATCTAAAATTAAAACATCTTTATTTCAGCAATGTCACCAGTTCTAAGTTCCCAAACCCATTTTCACTGTCTCTTTTTGCTCCATAGATCTTCAGATCCCTACCTGTTGGCTATAACATCTCTAAGCAAGTTCTTGATCAGTATCTCACTCTGCTGGCAGATGATCCAGTAAGTCTTTTTTTCTTTTTTTTTTCTTTTCTTTCTTTTTTCTCGCTGATAACTGGTAGCAGTCTTCTGCGGCTTCATTCTCTACCTAGCCAGCTCAGACAATTTCTCTACCATCGCCTGATGGGAGAGCCTCCTGCTACCGACTCAAGTGGATTTGCTCTTCTGGAAACAGAATCACTGGACTTTCCATTCAGATAACACATGTTCTCTCTCCCTCTTTTTTTAATAGCTAGAGTTTGTTGGAAAGTCTGGCGACAGTGGTGGAGGAATGTATGTCATCAGTATCCTTATGGGTGGTTATTTCCTTAACAGTCAGGCAGCCTGAACTATGAAACAGAAGGGTGACTTTAGGAAAGATTTGATATTTAGTATACTAAGTGGGGAAGGGAATGGCAACCCACTCCAGTATTCTTGCCTAGAGAATTCCACGGTCAGAAGAGCCTGGCAGGCTACAGTCCATGGGGTCGCAGAGTTGGACACGACTGAGCAACTAACACACACATACAGTACTAAGTAAGTTAGAAAATTGAACTAAAACACTGATGATAAAGAAGTAAAACAGACTGTTAACTAACTAAATTTTAGTTAATCAAAACCCTGACTTAAGTACCTTTAGTTAATTAAGGTTTTGAAATACTTACCTAACATAAATGAGACTAATGTGAAAAACAAAATAGTATTTAAATTTTAAATTAACGACTCGGGAGTAAAACTAAGAGCACAATATTCAGGCCAAAACATTATGGAGTGACCTTTACCCTCTACATAAAGACCTGCATAAGGCTCTAGGATCTCTAGCCACGGCCACTCTGGAGTCCGTCGTACAAGAGAGGTAAGAGGGTTACCCTGAAAGGGTTGGGGGTCAGGTACTTCCTTTCACACCCCATTTGAACAAGTGATTTGATCATTAGGTAAGCAACCAGTATAGGCACACCTTGGTACATCTTGCTCCATTTTCTATTGGACTGCTATGGATCCCATCTATTACTGCTCTTTACCCTAAATACCCTGCTGCTTAATTCCCAGGGATGCCAATTCATCATCCTTCCTAACACCTTTCCTTACAAATGGGGGAACTGAGGCATTCGAGTCAGCAGTTGGTGACGCTCTTATGATAAGCAGTATTGTCATTGATCTGTGGAGTTAGGAAGGATTCTCTGATTGCTATTCCTCTCAGGTCCTTGCTCCATACATAAGACACTAAACAACCCTCTGTGACTAAGAACTAAAGCTAATTTATTTTGGCATGCCATTTGCTTTCTTTATTCCTTTCCAGATTTGGATCTCGCTGTGCCAGAATATTCCGTCTAGTTTTACAAAAGAAACACCTGGAGCAGAAGCAAGTAGAAGATTTTGCAATGATTCCAGCAAAGGAGGCAAAGGATATGCTTTATAAGATGCTCTCAGAAAATTTCATATCACTGCAGGTAACAATAATTGCCAACCAGCAGAGGTGACGGATGAGAGAAATTGCTGAAGCAAATATTCTGAACCTCAAACAAACTCTGTATCCATCTTTGAGACAGAATAAAAAAAAAAAATTGACAAAGACATAGCAAGCACTTGCAAGATAACTATGGAGCTTTATCTGGACTTGTAAAAAAGAGGCACAGCCAAGAAATCACCCCAGAATCACCCTACCTTTTTTTCTTTAGCTCCTTGTTCCTGTGATTTATCCTTTCCTCAAGCCTTAAGTTTATTACTGGTCAGTCTATCAATAGCACCTTTTGGGTCCTCACTGCATGCAGAGCTATGTGCCCTAAAAGGAAGTAAGATAGAATGGATTTTGGAATCAGAATCACAGCTCTGTCTATCACCCAGTTACACTAAGCAAATTACCTACCGTCCTCCTTCCCACCTACAAAATGGTTATAGATGGAGGTAACAGAAATAATATAGTTTGTTGTAAAAATCAAATACAGTCTACTTGGCACATAAGAGTTGCTCAGTAAATGTTAAGTCCCTTCTCTTTCTTCCCCACTCAGGATGTTGACAATCAAAGGGAAAAACAGGACATCCCAGCACTCCATATGGCCGATTATGCTATAAACACAGATGCTATATGCCTGGGGGAGAGGGAATATAGGTGAAAGAGAGGGCTTAGTAACTCCAGATGGCACAGGTATTTACTTTGCCAGTTCTGAAGGAAAGTATAATGTCCCTTATTTTTCTTTCTGTGGACAAACAGGAAATTCCCAAAACACCAGACCATGCCCCCTCCCGGACCTTCTATTTATACACTGTGAGCATCCTGTCAGCTGCCCGGATGCTGCTGCATAGATGCTGCAAGGTAACTCCTCCCCACCCCCTCTACAGAGACGTCTCACCCTGACACCCCCTTTAGTTGTTTTGCCTGAGCTACTTATATAGAACTATGTGCATTTCTTCTCTCCCCTCAGAGTGTAGCCAACTTAATAGAAAGGAGACAGTTTGAAACCAAAGAAAACAAGTGAGTAACATTTTTCAACTGAGTAATTACATTTTTCAAGGCCATAAAGCTTATGGGGAAATTTCCTATAGAAACGGAAACCAATAGAGATAATAACCTGTCTGGTTGCACTGAATTATTGGCTTAGTTTGGCATAATCACGCATTCGTATACACTTTTCTCATATATCCCCAGTGAAATAGTTTTGCAGATTGAATTTATGAGCAACATGTAAACTGGCACCAAATTTTAAGTACAAGGGAGAAGCAGCAAGAGTTTCAGGAATAGTCACATTTCTAATTAAACTCGTAGAAAATGTCCTTAGAGAGTGACACTGTCCACTTTGACCAGGAACATAGTAAAGGGGGAGTTATGCCCCAGGTCTATGGGATAAAAGAATTTCCAAGGCTAGGGGACATGCCTCAGAGTTGTGTTGTTCTGACAGGCGTCTACTAGAAAAGTCTCAGAGGGTAGAAGCCATCATTGCATCTATGCAGGCTACAGGTGCAGAGGAGGCACAACTACAAGAAATAGAGGAGATGATCACAGCCCCCGAACGCCAGCAGCTAGAGACCCTGAAACGTAACGTCAACAAGTAAGCCTCACAAACTTCAAAGCTGTGTTTCAAAGTACCCTCCAAACAAACCCACTTTGATGTCCTGCCGCCCCTCCTTCTTAACATGAGCAAACTGAAACTCACTATCTTCCTCCTCACGTCAATTAACAGAATTTAATCCACCTATTTTCCTAAGCTCAAATTTCTGAAGATATTCTCAGCTTCTCGTCCCTCACCTCTCTCTCTCTCCTCTCATCTCTTTTATCTCTCCTCTCTCTCTCTGTCTCATGTTCACCACAACTGTTGATGTTACTTCAGCTGTGTGTCCCAAATCTGGCCTTTCATCTTGCTGTCCATGCACGCCCTTCTCACCTTTTTCCCAGACCTTTGCAGTCACCTCCCCCTTCAAACCATTTCTTATAATGCTTTCAAAGTTAGTTTCTTTAAAGGGATTGATAATATCACTCTTCTACTTTAAATGCTTTATTGACTTCTTGTTTACAGCAAAAAGACCAGCCTCCTTGGCGTAACATACAAGTCCTTTCATGGTTTCATACTAGCCTGTCCCTTCATCCTCATTTCCTTTCACTCCTCACCATAGACCTTCATAGGGATTGCTTTGAATCTGTAGATTACTCTGGGAAAGATTGCCATCTTAATGATACTAAATCTTCCAACCCATGAATATGAAAAGTCTTTCCATTTACTTAGTTCTTCCTTAATCTCTTTCAATGATGTTTTCATTATTCAAGTCTTACAGTTTTTTTGGTTAAATTTATTCCTGTTTATTCTTTTTTGATGCTGTTTTAGTGTTTTCTTAAATTTCATTCTTGAATTGTTCATTGCCAGTGTGTGGAAATAGAACTGATTTTTGTGTTTTGATTTTACATCCTGCAATTTTGCCAATTCATTTACTAGATGTGGTAAGTTTTTTGTGGATCCTTTGAGATTTTTCTGTCCATAGGATTATGTCATCTGTGAATTAGAAAGAGCTTTACTTCTTCCTTTTAAATCCAGATGCCTTTTGTTTTTTTTTCTTACCTAATTTCCAGACTAGAACTTCCAGTGAAATGTTGAATGGAAGTAAAAAGCAGGCATCCTTGTCTTGTTCCTAATCATAGGGGGAAAGTTTTCAGTCATTCTCCACTAAGTATGATGCTCAGTATGGGTTTTTCATAGATGATTTTTATCAGGATATCAGTAGAAGCAGTACTCCCTTCTATTCCTAATCACTTTCAGCCTCAGCCACTCTCAGCTTCTATTTTAAAAGACACTAGGTCCTTTTACACCTGTGCCTTTAACATGTGCTTTTTCCTCCTTGCAAATTAGACTGTAACTTCTCCTGGGACAGAGGCGTTGTTTTTTGAACCCTCAGCAATTTCCACAGTGCCTAGCACATACTAGATGCTTGGTCAATGGGAGAATGAGCTATTAGTTCTCCTGCTTTCTGCCCAGTACTTTCGAGGGTAACCAGTCCAGCCTCTAATCTTAAATATGCTGATAAATGTTCAGTCTGGACAGATGCTCTCATTTTTTTCATTCAGGTTGGATGCCTGTGAGATCCAGGTGGATGAAACCATCTTCCTGCTGGAGTCATACATCGAGAGCACCATGAAGAGACAGTGACCCAGAAGACAAGTTTCCCTCCAAAGATCTGAGGGGATTGGAAGGAAGAATAAAGGAGTAGGAGAGGATCCAGATTCTGTACTGACATTCCCTCTCCCTACCACCCAGAGTACACCAGAGTGTGACCTGTCTTTTTTTTAAGTTTGCTAATCCTGTTTTAGAACCATCATTATATTCTACCCTCATCAAATCTTGGCAGGAGAAAGAACCTTAAATCAACTAGATTAATCATCTATTAGATGCATCAGTTCCCACCGAGAACACAGCTAAAGCTGTGTTTGAACATCTCTGACAATGAGAAAAACTTCTTCCTAAGCTTTTTATTCCATTTTCAAAAAGCTGCACCTGCTCTTTACTTTGTTAAACTGTAATATTAAACACACACACAGTGTAGAGAATGTGAAAGACTACCACGGAGAGGGGGATAAAAGCTATTTTTAGGGCTAGCAGGTGGATTGGCCCAAGCAGCCATACTAGAATCTATGGATAAGTGTCACATTTGCCAGCTCTGGGCTTCTAACACATCTGAAATTATGTGTGTGAAACACTTAGCACAGTGCTTGGCATATGATAAGCACTCAATAAATCACTGCCTTTCTCTTCACCATTATTCCTAAAAACTGGCAATTGTAACTTCCCTCTCTCAGTACTGTGGATAGATGACTATTCTAGTTGGTATAATTTGTCCCAGCAGCTTCATTTCATTTAAAGCAGTTAGGTGTTGTTTCATAATCACTTCAGTTTGCTCCTACCAGTGTTAGTCCTAATTCATTAAACATTGGAATGCAAATTAACTGTAGATACAATATACAAAGATAACTCTTATTACAATACCGTCTTTGCCTTCAAGACACTTACCATTACTTTTCAGCACAAGTTACGTCCCCAGTACTCGGATGCAATGATGAATAGCCTCGAGCACAAACGTAATGAAAGAAGACAAATAAGTTCAAGGATGTGTTGGGGGACTGTAGTATAGAAGTAAAGGGGGGAAGGGTTAGGCAAAGAAGTAAGCAAAGAGAAGTGACACAATCTGTATTTTGAAAGATAGGGATTTACCAGGTGAAAGGGGGAAAGACCCCAGAGGGAAGTAGAGCGTTTCTTAGGGGAACCACAAATAGGATATGACTAGAAAACGGCATAAGTCCTGCCAGAATTGACAGGCAGGAGCAAGGACTGGTGGGTCCTTGCTATGCTGTGGTAAGTAGCTTAGAGCACTGAGAAGCAAAATGAGCAGACTTGTATTTTGGAAAGATCACTCTGAACTGTAGAGAATGAATTGGTGGGGGCAGGACTATTTCAGTTTAGTCCCTCAGTCATGTCCGACTCTGACACCATGGACTGCTGCACGCCAGGCCTCCCTGTCCATCACCAACTCCCAGGGTTTACTCAAACTCACGTCCACTGAGTCGGTGATGCCATCCAACCATCTCATCCTCTGTCGTCCCCTTCTCCTGCCTTCAATTTTTCCCAGCATCAGTGTCTTTTCAAATGAATCAGTTCTTTGCATCAGGTGGCCAAAGTATTGGAGTGTCAGCTTCAGCATCAGTCCTTCCAAAGAATATTCAGGGCTGATTACCTTTAGGATGGACTACTTACAGACTTGTAATAATATCTCGGGCAGAATATGAGGAAGACTTGAACTAGGGCACTGGAGGCTGGAGATTACACGGATTTGAGAACATTTAAGGAGGTAGAATCTGGTGGACTTGGCTGCCATTTGAGTGAAAAGAAAGAGAAGGTGTCAAGAATGTTTCCTGGGTGTCTGGCTAAGAGATAGATGTAATTAATCCGAGGTGTTACCTGCTAGCACAGGTGTGCAGAGTGCCCCGGAGAGATACTTACATAGTTCCACCCTTGACTGGTGGGAAATGACACGTGAGTCCAGAAATCACTCAGTCTGGGGATCATTTTCCTAAACAGAAGATGGGAGGACAAGAGGAGCTGAGGATTTAGAGGCGTTCCGCTTTGTCATTTATTACACTCCTGGATCATCCCCAAGGCTCTTCCCTAAATTTCCCCTGGGCCGTTCCGGAAGCCCGGCTTCCTTCCGAGCCGGCGGAAAGCTCGGAGGGGAAGCGCTGCTGGGCCACCAGAGGGCGCCCAGCGCGCCGGAGCCGTGATGGCGGCGACACGGGTGCTGCTACTCCTCTCCGGGCGCCCGGAGTCGGTGAGCTTCGCGCAGAGTGTGTGCGGCCTCCTGGGCGGGTCGGGGCTCGGGCCGTGGCCCACGCACTGCGGCCTGAAGCGCGGACAACTGGTCCTCTCGGACAAGCCTTTCCCAGGCGCGTCGGCCAGGCTTCCGCTCCAGGTGGGGCGGAGGGGACGCGACGGGGCGGGTGAAGGGCCGAAGGAAGGGACCGGGAGCGGGGTGGGGGAGAGCTGGAGGCGAGAGGCCTGGGCCGGTCACCTGCCTCGGGCTCCTCCAGTTCCTTGTCTCTCCTGCGATGTTAACCCCAGTGGCTCCCTCCCGCCAGCGACCCCCTTTCTGCCCTTTTGCGGCCCTGGACCAACAGCCCAGGGCTCCGGGGGTCGAGCTGCCCCCGAATGGTCGAGGTGTGGATCTGGGTGTGGCGGTCATTCTGCAGTCCAGCGATCAGACTGTTTTGTTGACGCGAAGGACAAGCACCCTCAAAGTTTCGCCCAACCTCTGGGTACCGCCAGGTGAGTGACCGGAGAAGGCCCAATGTCCAGGAAAGAAGCCTGCCTCTACCCCACAGTGCTCTTCCCAGTCTCAGAATGACAGAAGTAGGCCCAGAAGTGTGATAGGTCCCCGAATCACAAGGGGCTACAACTGCACCTGTGCCCACTGGAGGAGGGGGCAAGCGTAGTGAATGGGGGGGGGGGGGGGGTCCCTGGACAGGAACACTACCTTTCACCTACTGGTCCCACTGTTGTTGCAGGTGGGCATGTGGAACCTGATGAAGAGGTAACCAATCAACCCAGCCAACCTGCACCCTCTGCTGAAGGAGAGACCCTGTCTGGGACCAGGCTGGAGTGTGGGCTGGGGGAAGGGCAAACACAGAACTTGTAGGAGCCGCATTGGCCTCTCTGACCTCCTATCCTCTCACCCCCCAGCTGCTGGATGGGGGGCTTCGAGAGCTTTGGGAGGAAAGTGGACTCCAGCTGCCCCAGGGCCAGTTCTCCTGGGTCCCTCTGGGGTTATGGGAGGTGAGACAGGGGCCTGGGAGAGGTTCCTTCCTATCTAACCAAGAGCACGTAATAACTACTAACCCACCAAAGCCCACAGAACAGCCCTACTTGCCTTGACCACAGGGGAACTGATGGAGTGTGGGTGGTTTGGAGTCCCCAATCCCATGACTCTGACCCATGTCCCTCCTATACCATTTCTACTCTCCACTTCCTCAGCTGCATTTTCAAAGTCTCAAAAAGGGACAGGAAGTTCTCTATTTTTCTTCTTAGTCTGCCTACCCCCCTAAGCTGAGCTGGGGTCTCCCCAAATACCATCACATCGTTCTCTACCTACTTGTCATCTCCCAGGAGTCACAGCAGCAGCTCCAGGTAGGGCTGGCAAAAAGGAAATGGGGCTGAGGAGGCCCAGACAGACTGGTTCCAACGATGACTAAGCTGGGGGGAAAGTCAGAGATAACCACGAAATACAATAGCCTCTCCCCTGTCCCTGCTCCAAGTCTCTCCATTCCACCTGTGGGTGGGCTGTGATCAAGAACAGGTCTTCCGAGAGAGGCCATGACTAAAGGATCAACATGTCTGGCCCCAGGCCCGGATTCAACCAAATGCAGGAGAGGTGAGTGCCTTCATGTGGCTGGGACCAGACATAGCAGCTGCAGTGGCTGCCACAGAGGATGGGACGGAGACCCTCAAACATCTTCCCCAGGACCTACCATCTTCTGTCCCGTAAGTAGGAACTTCTCCCTAGCCCTCCAACACATAGACATTGAGAAGTTCACCTTCTGTCTCCTCCTCAGGGGAAGATATGTGTTGTGGGGGAGATTTAGGGAGGAAGTTGGTCAACTGATAATGAAGAAAGCACATAGATCAAAGACACTGCCTATGATACTCCCAAGGGTTCCTGTCTAACTGGCTAGCTTTGAAGACCTCCCTGGGTTTCAGTCCCACACTCTCATTGGGGCAAGTCACTTTACCCTCCTTTCTGTAAAATGAGGTTAACCCCGCCCCATCCCTCTCCTGTGGTGGTTGGAGGATCACATGACCTAATGGATATGGAAGTGGGCCTGGCTAAGCCACAAGGCCCAGCCCAGACAGGAGCCGTCATTCTGCAGTGCAGTGGAACTAGCAGAGAATGGAGGAGCCCGCCCTCTGGCCTTGCCCACATCTACCCTGCTGCGGACAACACCAGCCACGGCAGACCGAAGAGAGAGGGTCAGCTCTGGGACCAAGTTTGCCCTCACGCTCTGGCTGCAACATCTGGGCAGGTAAGGATGAGGAAGGACATAAGGACTCCACAGTGTTGGGCTGAAGGGGCCAGTGTGCTTATGGGCTTGGGGAAAAGAAGGGAAGAAAGAGCAACTACCCTGGGAAGTCCTCAGTGTAACACCCCTACCACGAGGAAGTGGAGCTCACTTGGACCCAGGGCCAGCAAGGGAAGAACAGAGCATGGACCTCCCTCCCCACCTCCCCACACCAGGGATCTGGAAAGCCAAGTGCTTAATCCCCTCCCCAGCCCACCTCCGTGACACTCACAGAACATTCACAACCTTTATTATGAGTAAGAACTTTGCTACAACTGTGAAAATAAAAAGTAAAATTACAACATAGATCCTAGGCCCCAGAGGAGCCTGAAAAGGGAGACAGGAGAGAGCACAAGGATGCTCCCCCCTCCCAGGAAAGGTGCAGAATGAGCCAGACCTAACCCCAGGGCCACCAGCCTTGAGAAGCTCAGGCCCCAGGCTGGTCAGCGTAAGCAACGTTGTGAACTTAAATATATAAATAGAGACCCAGGCAGTCAGCCAGGCCCTTCTCCCAAACGCCTGGGGATCCGGGCTAAGGCCTTATCTCCTCCTCAGTCATACTGGGCAGTAGGAGGCAAGGAAAGTCATCTTTGGAATATTTTGGTTTTTCTTGTTTACGCACAAAATATCTGCAACCCAAAATAGAATTCTCCCTCCACGTGTCTGCCTATCTCAGTTACTCTACCTGTCTGTTTGGCCAAAGAAAACGGAATGGACGTGAAGAGACGATGGAGTGGGGAAGGAAGAGAGCCGGCTGTGGGGGCTGGGAAGAGAGGGCATCTGGGGGACAGGAGAAAAGCCCCCTCCCCACAAGGCTCAAGACAGTCAAGGCTGAGGACTCAGCCCTTTCCCCAACTCACGTCCCATCCCATCTGCCTCCCACTGCCTAGGTTAACGGACCCAAAGGAATGTGCTGGATGTCAAAGAACGTTTCCAAAAACAGACCCCAAATGTCCTTAAAAAGAGGTTAAATATTAACCCTTTGGGTGCTAGCCTCGTCAGGCAGAGATAAGGCCAAAAACCAGTGTCCATGAAGGTATTTCTGGCCTTTGACCAAAGCCCCCTCCCCACCCCAAGGGGTCAGAGCGGCCAGGAGTCTAGACTCCACAGCATACTTGTTCAGTGTTGGGAGACTCAGTCCAGGGAAATGATGTCTGACCGACAACCAGCCAAAGAGGGACCTGAGGGCAGGGGTCCTCCATGCCCCTCCCTTAAGGTCCCCCCAGGGGCCACAATGCTACTGACACGGCCAGGAGGGGCTGCCGGCGTGGCACTGCGGTGAGAGCTCCCCAACGTGGGGGTGAGCGGGCCCAGGAAGTGGGAAGGGGTCCCTCGGTACTGGAAGAAGTGGCCCAGGGCATCCTGTTCATCTAGTGAGGTGATGACAGAGGGACCATAGTGCTGGGAGGAAGCAAGAGTGTGGTGTAAGATTTTATCCGGACCTTCCTTACCCGCCTCCCAGTCATTCATCTCACAAATATCATATGGGATAAATCAACCCCTCAGAATCCCAAAGAGTTCTCTGAGAAGCAGGAGAGCTCTCCTCTGACTCCTTCCCCCACATCCCCACATCCCACCCCTCTTCCCTGCCCTGAGACAGCCCCACCAGCTTGGCCCTGTGGGCGTCTGAAATGTGTGGAATGTCCGGCTAGGGCAGTCACGGTGCTCAAGTGCACATGGGTTGGGGGCAGGGTGAGGGTGAGCAGACAAGAGCAGAACTACCCAAAAACTAGAGACAAACAGTAAGTAACGGGACAGAGGAAGACACGGGTGAGAATCTGAGGACGTCCCAGGCGGGGCCTCCGAGGGAAATAAACTGCCCGTACCACCCCACCCTTCCTTCATGAAGAAGCCGATTTAGGTCTCCCAGGAAAATGAGGGGCCCCATCAGTGCCTAGAGAGGAAGCTTCAGAGATCTGAGGTGGAGAAGGGACGGCTTACCTGACTCTCAGTCTGAAGGAAAGAAAATAAATCTAAACCTGGTAGGAAAAGAAAAATTAAAATCAGCCTCCTATCTAAACATCACACAGACACACACACTCAAAGAAGTTCCCTGGATTGTAGCCCTTTACAGAAGAGCCAAAAACCTTTGAAAAGGAGGAAGGGTTCTGAGCGGGTTTGGGGGAGGACGCGGTAGTGCAGGGCCCCATGCTGTGAGCCGTGTCATACCTTGGATATCAGCCCCGAGAGGGAAGGCAGGCGGGTACTCATGGAGGGGGAGACTGGACAGGAAATCCCCGCCCAGCGTGCCCACAGCAGGGCTCCGCAGCACCGAAGAGGGCTGGTGACCAGATGTCAGGACTCTGTGAGGGAAGAGGTGGAATCACAGGTGCCCTCACCCAGTTTAGCATCCCAAGTCCCCTCTCTGCCCCAGGGTTTGCGCATTCCTGATTTCTCCCTCTGTGCCCTGTGCTGTAGATTCAGTCTGTTTCTTCATACCCTTTGCTTCCAGGTAGAGCCGGGATGGCAGCTGAGGTGACAGGACAGTGCTTCTTCGTCGGGGGCAGGTCCTCCTCGTCTGAGGAGCTTTCTATTGTCAGGTCAATAACTTCAACCTTCTTCTTACTCTCCGATGGATTGCCCTCTTGGACTGGGCTATACTGAAGGCCTGTGGGTGGTAAGAAGACTGTGTCTCAGAGAAGAAGCCACACAAGACTTAGCTCAACTGGGAGACAGGGGGTCACTCACCATCCAGCCCATACCCTGGCGGGGGGCAAACCTCAGATGCCTCCTTCTTGGGTTTCATTGGGCACCAGGATCCATCTTCCATGAACTGGATCTCATCACAATCCGAGCAGGAATTAAGAATCTCCATGAATAAACTGGGGGAGAGGAAAGACAGGAATTCACGTGGCTGGAACAGTGGCCACAGAGTTCTAGGACTCACCTTTCTGAACCTGTTTCCTCATCTGCAAATTAGGGCTGTTATCCACCCTCCTGACCTCTCTGGGTTGTTGGAATCAAAATAAGGTATATAAAGAAAGTGAAAGTGAAGTCGCTCAGTTGTGTCTGCCTCTTTGCAACCCCATGGACTATAGAGTCCATGGAATTCTCCAGGCCAGAATACTGGAGTAGGTAGCCTTTCCCTTCTCCAGGAGATGTTCCCAACCCAGGGATCAAACCCAGGTCTCCCACATTGCAGGTGGATTCTTTACAAGCTGAGCCACAAGGGAAGCCCAAGAATACTGGAGTGGGTGGCCTATCCCTTCTCCAGGGGATCTTCTCGACCTAGGAATCGAACCAGGGTCTCCTGCATTGCAGGTGGATTCTTTACCAACTGAGCTATGAGGGAAGCCCAAGGTGTATAAAAGAGCTGTGAAAACTTTAAATGCTAAGTTTTAAAATAACTACATTCTAAAAAATCTGTTTCGTGTGGTTCTAGGGACAAGACAGAAGGCACAGAGGTACAGAACACTACGAAAGTGTTAGCCACTCAGTCATGTCCCACTCTTTGTGACCCCATGGACTGTAGCCTGCCAGGTTCCTCTGTCCATGGGATTTCCCAGGCAAGAATACTGGAGTGGGTAGCCATTCCCTTCTCCAGGGGATCTTCCTGACCCAGGGATTGAACCCGGGTGTCCTGCATTGCAGGCAGATTCTTTACCATTCAGAGCCACCAGGGAAGCCCTCTGTGCAGAACTCTATAAACCACCTCAAAAAAGGCACTGGTAACAAGAACCATAACAGAGAGTCTGGAAGAGAGTTAAAACTTGCTAGATCAGCACATCCAGGCCCTCAAAAGAACCTGACTGCTATGTACAGTAAGACGTCAGGTGATTGTTCTATGTAACAGTTCATATACTTGGCTCTGCCACTTATTTACAGTATAACTTTGAGCAAGATGCTCCATCTTTCTAGGCTTCAGCTTCCCTCACCTGTAATGACAGGGTTATTGGCGTCTCACAGGATTCGATGAGATAAGGCATGCAAAGTTCTCAGCACAATGTGTAGTGAGTCCTCAATGTTGGGAAGATACATGATATTTATATAAAATAGACCAGTAAGAGGGTTCAAGGGAGGGGAATTAAGTTAAAGATATGGATTTATATATGGGGGGGGGGGGGGCAGTCGTAGCAGATATCCTCAGTAAAAGGAAGCAGAATGTAGAATGGTCCTACCCGTCAATGATAAGAGATTCATAGGGAGCTTTCTTGTCACACACAGGACATGTCCATGTTGGCTTCTTCTCATTCATCTGTAAATAAAGGGCAGCATCGAAGCTCTGCAGGTGGGCGCAGGTGAGGGCACGACAAGGGACAGTCAAGCGCATCTTCCCGAGCTGAGAGAGACAAGTTCTCTGGTCAGAGTCCCCATGTCCCAGAAAGCTTTCTGCTAACTGCCCTACAAACCCTCATCTGCATCCAGAAGTTCATCCCACCCCTCCTCCCCCTTCTCCTCCTCCTCCTGCCCCTGGTACCCACCGGGCACATGAGTGACACCCGGAGACTCGTAGTAGCCACCTCACTGTCCGGGTCAGCGGTCAACTTCTCCTTGACTGAAACAAGAGTGGGGCCAGAGCCACAGGGTCAGCAAGGCTGGAGAGGCCTGGGAGATGCTAAAGCCAGAAGCAGATGGCCCTGGCTGAGAGGTAGCTGGGGAGAGAGCCTTTGGGGGCCCATGGGATATCATATGGGGGTGGCCTGGGGCCTGCATTATGAAGGCTGTGGGGGAAGGGCATCTCCCAGTCCCTAAAGATGCTTAATCTTTAGCATCTTTGGCAGAGACAACCTAGACACTCGGCAGAGACAACCTAGAGGGAACTGAAGTATCGCCAAGAGGGTTAGAGTAGACGATACTTAAGACTCTTTCTAGGGACTTCCCTGGTGATCAGTGGTTAATACTTCATGTTACTGCAAGGGGCACGGATTCAATCCCTGGTCAGGGAACTAAACCTGCATGCCATAAATAATTAAAATTTTAAGTTTAAAAAAGACTTTCTGGTCTGGAGAACCCATATTCCAACAGTTAGGGTCTGTGAGGTACAAAGCAGATGTATAACTGGGAATGCAAGAGTGTCACTCAATGCCTCAAAAGTGGGGAATGGCCCCATTTTTCAACCACAAAGACTGGTAAGAGGGGTACCACAAGGGTGAGGGTTCATGTAAAAGGTAACAAGATAAGTTGTCACCAGAAGGGTGTAAGTTTAACTATAAAGACCAGGGGGCCAGGAAAAACTAGATCTGGGTTGAGGGAAGAGGGACAAGATGTTACTCACTCAGTGCCCGGGAGTGGTCTGGGTTCCGGATGCCCTTTGCTCTGAGTTTTTGTAGCAGGGTCCCTGCCGTCAGCTGCCTCACCAGGTACACAGACAAGGAGTAATTCTACTTGGAGGTGGGGGAAACAATTAGCCTCTGCATTGTACACGACTACCACCACCTCTGCTTTGTCACACGAGGGCCAGAGACAGCAAGTTAAGGGAGAGAGACCCACAAAAAGATGGATGTTTCCCCAGCCCAAGACACTTAATGGTTCCCTCTCATTCCCTGCAGGCTTCTCCAGGCTCCCTGCCTCAACCATGCTCACCCGTCCAAACTCAGACGACCAGTTGACCACGATGGTGTTGGGAACAGTGGCCGAGAGACGAGCCAGGGGTGTGATGTTGATGGGGCGGCTGGGTCTCTTGGGTTCAGCCCCGTTCTTGGTAGGGGGAAGGTAACCCTGGAGGAGATGGGGGGCAGACTGGTCAACACATCTTGTCTTAGGTTACTCAGTTCCCAGAGAAAAGGTCAGCTCACTCTCTGACCAAGGAGATGGGGGCCCATTCAATGACTCAGAAAACTGGGGCACTATCTAGGATTGGGAGTGAGATTCATTCCTGGGGGAAAAGGAGAGCTTATTCACTGACCAAAGATAAAGGAACCTGCTCACTGCCTTCTTAAAAAGGAAGAGTAGGGATACCCGATTTCTTCTAACCCTCAACTCTAGGATCATCACTTCTGAGAATCTTCTCTGAGTCTTTGGGTTGAACTAATATCCCTCCTGATGCTGGGAAAGATTGAAGGCAAAAGGAGAAAAGGGCAGCAGAGGATGAGATGATTGAATACTAACACTGATTCAATGGACATGAACTTGGGTGAACTCTGGGAGATGGTGACGGACACAGAGGACTTGCATGCTATAGTCCATGGGGTCGCAAAGAGTTGGACACAACTTAGCGACTAAACAACAACAACAATGTCCCTCCTCTGGGTTCTAAGAGAACCCTTATTCATCCCTGTCCTAGTTGTCACTAGACTATATTGATTCAAGCAGTAAACTGAGCACCTACTATGTGTCAGGCACTGTGCTAGGCATGTCTCTTTCATAATAGATGTGTAGCTAACACTGAAGAACTGAAATAAGGACAGGATGACTGTCAGAAGAAGAAGAGCATTTACCGGCAGGGGGCACAGTTTCCCATTGACCTTGACAAAGAGGTTGGGGGGGAAGTAATCTTCCTGGGGGCAGCTGGTCTCACAGAGACAGAACCTGGTAACAGATAAGAGAAGATGAAAGTGTGGGAGGCAGTTTCTGGAACAAAATCTGACAGAAGTAGGCAATCTCAGAAAATCAGTCAAGGATATCTGTAGCCTTTAGCTTCCAAACAAGAACTCCAGGGCTAGGGTGGATGTGAACAGAGCAGGGATATCTCCTAATAGGAACACTCACACCCTCACTTCGTTCCCACCCTCAGTGGGAGTCCTGCTGGGAGACAGCACCAACTCACCTTAACTGCACCTGTATGGTATAATCGCATTTGGCTCCTGGCAGAACCTCTCTGAAACAGGGAGGGAGAAGGAGAGATGTCAGTATGTGGCCCCTGGCAGGTGGCACAGGGGTGAACAGATAAACAGAGAGTTAGATGTCCAGTGGATAGAGATGAGACACACAAGAGAATGAGGAAAAAAACAGGTGCAGGAAGATGGTGAGAAGGAGGGCAAAAAAGAAAAGAAGAAAGTCAGAGAGCAGAGTCTCAGGGTAACCACCCAAGGATGAGGCAGGAGGACTCAAAGAGACATACCTGGAAGTGAGAATCTGCTGCACTTGCTGGGGGGTGAGGGCAAAGGTGAAGTGCGCTTCCTCGAACCGCTGGCTAGAAGTAGATGCTGAAGACACAAAGGGGCAGTTACTCCCAAGCCCATGCCCAGGTGGCCACAGAAGTGGCCCCTATCCCAGCGTGCTGATCCCACAGGACGAAAGCCTAAGAAAGGCTTGAGGAAGAGGCAGGGACGCCAGGAAGACCCAGGGACCACAAAGAGCCATACCGAGGGTGGTGGGCCGGATGAGCTCCCCGTAGATTTCATAGAAGGGCAATGGTTTCATGGTAACGTCAGGATGCACAGGCTGGGGCAGAGGAGGGTGCATGTCCACTTCACGCTTGGGGCCCAGCAGGGTACCAGGGGCCAAGAGGGCCGGGGGGATGGGAGCCAGAGGACCGGGAGAGCCTACAGGAGGGGTTCCAGGGGGCAAGGCGAGCAGGGAAAGATCAGAGGGCCCCAGGGTCTTGCGGGGAAAGCGTCGGCGGTAAAGCTCTTTGATCTTCATCTGGACGCTGGGGGCACAGCTGGACTTGAGGAGGTGTAGGGCCTTGGCCAGGAGCTCGTGCTTCCGTCCACTCTTGTTCCGGCCAGCAAAGCCGAGGAGCACCTGGAGCTCAGACACCCGGAAACTCATCACCATGTGCTGTGGAGATCAGAGAAGCTTGAGGATCCTACCTTGCACAGGCCTGTACTGCCAAAGACACTGAGGCTGAGCTATTCGGTGGGCAATGCACTTTCCCTCCAGCATGGATCTGAAAAATGCTCTGCAGCCCGTGGATTACTGCCACACTGCCTACCTGGCCAAAAGGACATCTAAGTCCCATTCTAGCAACCCTCAGGTCACCTCTCCACTACCTCCCAGGCTTGAGCAATCCTGTCTCCCCATCCCGTGAGTTGACCAGGTGGGAGAGGGTGCATGCCACCCTACACCACACCTCTGAGTCCACTACAGCCTCCTCCCACCTCCCTGCCTTGACCCTGGACCCTCCTTTAAGCCGCTTATCTCCTCTCCTGCTCTTTCTCAGACTCTCAGACCCATCCTAGCCTCCTGGGAAGAGGACAGGAGACAGGGAGGAGAGGGAGAAGAGGATTCAGGCCAGACAGCCCCGCAGGGAAGAAAGGGGCCAGGTGGCTGGAGGATTGGGCCTCGAAGTCAACTCCTCTCCACACCTCAATCTACCTCAGCTATTTTCCCCAAGCTTTTGTGGCCAGGTCAGGGTTCAATGCTCATAACTCCCCAAACCTTTTATTGGTGTTATTTACATAACCACTCACCCCTCAGTCCTATTTTTTCTGGGAGAGAAACAGGAGCAAATCTTGGGGTGAGGGGTTAACAGTGAATTGTGAAGTCCAGGTATCCTTCCTGTTTACCTGTTTACTTCATCTGCCAGGAACTAATAACCTGCTTCTCCTACCCAGAGAAAGTAAGTGATCCTTCCCTTCCTCCACAGCGGTGGGAGAAACAAGGGGAAGCTCTAAAGATAGCCCCTGGAAGAATGGGGAGAAGGTGAGCAGCCCCTGAGCCAGACTGCAGAACTACACGCTCTCCTAGGAAGCTGGAACCAGTGACTAGACCTCAGGCCTTCCCATGATCTGGTTCCATTTCAAAAGGCAGAATAAAGCCAGGAGGCAAGGGGGTGAACCCCATGGTTTTTAAGGATTCTGCGAGATGGTTATTCTCAAGATTCTGGTAGTGGTAAACTCTCCTCTTAAAGGACTCACTTCTGTGAATCTCCAGGAGACCCTGCCACGGGCCAATCTAACTAGTCATCTGCAATTCTTATGAAGGCATTATGGCTTTGGGCCCCTTTTGAGGAATATGTCTAAAAACTTGCTCCTCTACCTTTATCCCCATCCTTATCTCCTTTGTCCTGTCTTTATTTCTCCATTAACTTTGTCAAGAAATTCTCCTTTTCAATCCCACAGTCTCACACCTCTCTCTCTGCCCAGAGATACCGACTCACTAAGGCAGGACCTTCCTCTCAGCCTTCAGGATGCTTCTGCCCCACCCCTTCGATCTATCCGTACAGCCCCGCCCCCTAGATCTCAGCCACCTACTGGTACTTCCCAAGGCTCGGATCCCAACAGCAGCCCCAAAGTCCCTATCCTCTCAGCGCCTTTCCCCCAGGAGCCTCCCGGTAATCGGCCCCCCAGCCCCATTCCCATCATCTGCCCCCTACTGTCACATCTCTAGGCCTCGATCGACTCGCCCACTTTGCCTCTACAGCAGCTTTTCCTCCCCGCCCTGCCCCTACATCTGCCCCTACTACCAAATCCGACTTCTACCCCGCGTCCCCGCCCCCTGAGCCTCGGCCCCCAGCAGCTGCAATTCCCCTCGGCCCCACCCCTACATCTGCCCCGCGGCCCCGCCCCCGGAGCCCCGCGCAGCCCCTTCCTCGCCCACAGCCACTTCTCACCATCCCCAGCAGCCAGTCCCCACCACGTCTCCGGCCCCCACCCGAGCCCTCAGCACCCAGTCTCGGTCGCTTCCCAGACTCGGCGTACAGCCGGGCTCAGTCCAGATGGGGATGGGGGAGGGGGCCGGTACCTTTAATTCGCCCAGCTCCGCCATCTTGAGACATCGCAGGCGCCCGAGCCCGAGCCGGAGCTCAGGCCCAGGGACCGGCGCACAACTCTCCACCCCGGCGCCGGCCGCAAATGCCGCCTGCTCCGCCCCGTCCGGCCCCCTACACCTCCCCTTCCCGGCCCCGCCCGCCGGGTTTCGGACGAACCCCAGCCTCAGCCCCTCCCTCCACAGCCGGACCCAGCCGCTGCACGTCTTTGGCCGCGGTGCCAGACCCATAGACCCTGAGGGAGTGTGCAGTCCGAAGGATCGCGGGGTCCCCGGTGGCATGGGAGAGGAGGTGAACCCGAAGTACCTGGGGGAGGGGGGCCTTGCCACGCCGGAGTCGGGAAGGGATGAGCTTTGAGAAAGCCAAAGATACTTGGGATATGGAGGGGAAAGTCTCGAGAAGGGCTTAATCTCAGAGAAATGGGGGAGGGGAGAGCGAAGTTGGAGCAAACCCCCTCATCTCCCTATCTACAAATTTAACCAGCCAAATAAGAGTTCCACGAACTCGGGAAATGGCTGAGATCTAATCCATTTTAGGGATGCTATGGAGTCGTGAATAGTTTATTTCAAGACGGCTATTCTCAATTCTTCACCCCCTCCCCACCCCCACCGGTTACATTGTATCTCCTGGTCCCGCGGTAGGACTCAAATTCGCCAGCAAAAAAGTTTCGTGCGGAGAGTGGGACTTACCAGCACAGTTGCAGGGAGCGGGGAGGGGGCTCGGGACGCTCAGAGGGTGGGCTGGGGAGATGGGGGGGAGGGGGCCCGGCGCCGCTCCCAAGGTCTGCACGGCTGGAGGTCGGTCCGGCAGCTGGACGTTGCAGCCGCAGCTCCGCCCGGGCGGGAGCTCAGCCCGGCCCAGCGCTGGGGCTGGGGCCGCCCCCTCCTGGATGAGCCCGCCAGGACGGCGGAGAAGTGGGGAGGGGGCGGAGTCTGAGACGGGAGAGGGCGGGACTCTGAGTCTGCGGAGGAAAGATTAACTCCTCTAGGGAGTGGATGCGAGAGACGTTCTTGGATCTCACCATTCTCACTACTGTTCTGACTCCCTGCAAGCAAACCCTTGTATGCGTTTTGAGTGGAAGTATGCTGCACATAAGACGGTGTGGGCCAGAAATCCGATCGCTTAAAGAGGTACCTACTTACAGTGAGTCTCTCCCTACGGGAAAGAGAACATGAGCTGCTAAAATCCGAAGTGTACCTAAACCCTACCTCCACCTGTGGTCCCCTACTTCCTACCTCAAATACACAGACTGTCACCAGAGACTTAAGGGCTTTAATGTAGTTGAAGGTGAATGGAGGGGAGGTTTTCTCACCAAGGAAGGGCGCTTTTTCTGCCTCTCTCTGAACTGCCTACTCTCCTTCCTCCAAAGCCATAGACCTTCTCAACTAAGCTAATCACTCGCAGACAGTTCCCTTGAAAATACCAACTTGATACCAGCGGTTTACCCAAACTAGCTATTGGAAAAATACACAGCATTTTGTACTTAGTTGGTTGGGACCTAAGTGATAATGTCATTTGTTCAATAAATATTTGATTACTGTTCAGAGATTGTTAGGTGGTGAGGACATAAAATCCTTGCAGGAGTTTCCAGTCTAGCAGCAGCCAGATGGTTAAACCAATAATTGGCATACAGAAAGAGTACTTTAGTAAATAATATGAATAATCCTCTCATTTTGCTTACTTTCAATATAATCCTTCCCATGAGACCCCAAAACTGTAAGATTGAAGGTGCCAGCCTACCAACATCCCCCGGTACCTGCTGAACTGGACCATGCCCAACTACTTTGTGGATTTTGTCCCTAGAGAGGATGTCTACCCTCTCCTGACATTCAGGTTCTTTCCTTGCTGCCCTGCTGCCAGCAGTAGTGGAACCTCAAGCTCAAATACTTGGTTCTAAATCCCAACTGCTCCCTCCAACACTTGAGTCTTCATCAAACCCTGAGCTCATTTTTTTGTTAAGTCCTCTATATCAAAGGAGGAGAAGGGGACAACAGAGGATGAGATGGTTGGATGGCATCACTGACTCAATGGACATGAGTTTGAGCAAGCATTGGGAGATGGTGCAGGACATAGAAACCTGGCCTGCTGCAGTCCATTGGGGTTGCAAAGAGTTGGACAGGACTGAGCAACTGAGCAACAGCAACAAATCAAAACTTATGTGGACTAGTTTATATCTTCTAGAATTTTCAGTGGTTTCAGGGGAAGAATAGGAAAGATTAAAAAAGAGAGAGAGATGGGGAAAGTCTTTGGAAATGATGGGTATGTTCATCATCTTGATGGTGTGATGGTTTTATGGGTGTATGTGCTGTGCTTCGTCACTCAGTTGTGTCAGACTCTTTACGATCCCATGGACTATAGCCCACCAGGCTCCTCTGTCTATGGGGATTCTGCAGGCAAGAATACTGGAGTGGGTTGCCATGCCCTCCAGGGGATCTTCCCAGCCCAGTGATCAGACCCAGGTCTCCTGAATTGCAGGTAGATTCTTTGCTGTCTAGCCACCAGGGAAGCCCAAGAATACTGGGGTGGGTAGCCTATCCCTGCTCCAGGGGATCCTCCTGACCCAGGAATCGAACTGGGGTCTGCGGCATAGCAGGCAAATTCTTTACTGGCTGAGCTACCAGGGAAGCCCCTTATGACTTTATAATAAATATGTCAAAATTGATCAAACTGTACACTTTACATGCAGCTTATTGTATGTCAGTTATACCTCAATAAAGCTGTAAAAATATAAAGGAAAAAAGTCAACCTCACCTTGATTGCTAGTAATTTGATAAAGGAGGGATCCCCTATAATAGTTCATTTGAATCCCCAAGAAAAAGAGGAAACACTCTTCCGAGGAGGAGCTGCTCAGCAATGGACTTGAAGAGGTTGCTGATAGTGTTGCAGGGAGAAGTCAATTCTGACTCCATGTTGGAACTGTTTCTTTGACTTGCTTTCCATTGTTTTTGTTATTATAATCATACATAAAGCCCTACTTCAGAGAATTCTGCCCCTCTGCCTCACTGTTAAGCAAAAGTGCCTTTGTTCATAACCCTGTCCACTTGTAGATTGCAGGAAGAAAGAAATTAACACATCCCCTTGCCTGAGGCTTGCCATTCTAGGAGATATTTGCAAGATTAGTGGCCTTTTTTTTTTACTTTGTTTCCTCACCTACCACTGCCCCCCATCTCTGATCCATAAAAGAACCTGGTATCCAGACCCAGGACAAGATGGTTATTTTGAGATGCTGCCATCTTCTGGGTCAACCAGTTTTCCAAATAAAATTCCTTGCCTCAACATCTTGTCTCTCAGAGTCCTTGGCCTGCCATGCAGCAAGCAGAGTGAACTTGGACTCGGTAAGAGTAGCAAGAGCAGCAGCTCCAAGAGAAAGTTCCAAAAGCTATCCCAAGGAGATTAGAATGGACATTTCGCTGATGGGGCATAACTCATGGAGATATTCCCCAACCCATCCGCTATATCTCAAGAAAAACAAATTCACAAGGGGAAAAAAGAAAGTTCATTGCAGTTTTAAGATCTAGCATCCCTATAGGATAACATAGAACTAGGAACCAGGGCTCCTGGGTCTGATCCTGCCTGCAAGCTCTGTCTATCCCCAGTGCCTAGCACTTAGTAGACCCTCTTCACATCAGTGTAATAAAGTTATGTGACCAGACAAAGAATGAACTGCACATCAGAACCAAGTTTCAGATCGAGGGCATTCAAAAACATGGTGTGGGGTTCAAACCCCATCAGGGCTCACCAAGCTTCACCTCCTCTCATGCATACATCCCATCTGGAGAAGGAGAGAGAAGTGAAGCAGGAATAGTTAAGTCCCTACTGAAGTTCTACTAAAGAGACAGTCCAGGAGGAAAGACAGGAACATTAAGACTAGAGTTACTTTGAAAAAGAAAGATTTATTTATGAAATCAAGGAAAATGTCAGGGCTTGAGTTGTTGGGTAACAGTTTTGGGGGTTGTATAAAGGGAGACTGCTTAGGAAAACCCATGGCTGGAGAAGTTTCTACTTCTGTGTTAATATTAACATCATTGACCATTCCCACAGCTCAGCCATCCTGGGATCAACTTCCAGGAACCCCAGAGGAAGCCAAAGGCATGACTTCCATTATCAGAACTGTTTCCTGACTCGAACTTAGCAAAATGATCTCCCCTTCTCTGGGCCCTTCTCTCAGCCATCTCTGCATTCTTCCCACTCCTCACTGCATATACAATAAGGACTGTTATATTCCTTTTCTATTCTGTGGTAACTCGAAGGGCAGGAAGGAAAAGAGAAGTTCTGTTCCCCTTAATAGAAATGACTTTGACCTTCTGATGCTCTTTTGGCAACTGCACCCGTCTTTTTCCCCATCAATTCCTCCTCTCTTCATTCTCCCAACCTTAAAGAAGTCCTGTGCCCATCCGCATAAACCCTGGAACTGACCTCATCTTCTCTAGGACCTAATCTACATAGCTGCCCTTTTCCTGGCCAAACCCTGGAGACAGGCTCCGCAGCCCTGCGTGGGCCTCCCCCGCCCCCCCCCCCCCCCCCGTCTTCCACGACAGCCCCTCCCCACCCTTCTCTCAGCCCAGTCAGTCTCTTTACTGCCAAGTCTCTTTACGCTGCCGCCTGAGCCAGCGTAACCCAGCAGGGGGCGGGCTGAGAGAAAGAATTGGGAGGGATCAATGTGGGGGCCACCGTTCCAAATACTTGAGTAACCGACCGCCTCCCTCGCACCTAGCAGTCTGACTGGTGGAGGGACGGGAATGGGCGGAGACCCAGGGGAAGTGACCCAGAGATACATTTCTATCAGTCTGAGGACAGAACTAGAGGGAAGAAGCCAAAGCTGAGTATCCCTTTATCCCTTTTCCAGGAATCAGACTTTTCAACCCTCTTTGCACCTGGGGCAAAGGACGGTGACTTCATGAAACCAGGCACCTCAAATCTAGACACCTAGTTTAAGATATGATAGAATATTTTAGACTGTACATCCTGAAGAAAATCTAGGTCCCTTAATCTCTCCTTCTTAAAAAAGAGTGAAAAAATAAATAAATAAATAAAAATAAAAAAGATAGTGGACTGAGGAGTCCCAAGGTAGAAAGATTAGAGCTGTTCAGTCAGTACGAAACAGATGCTAAGAGAAAGGAGTGTCGATATCCATTTTTACAGAGGGCTGTTTTTCCAACTGTGAGAATGCTGTTTTTCAAACTGGGTCTTGACTCATTAGTGGACGTAACCAATATATTATGATGGAATATAGAATAGAATAGAAATAATAAGGGTAAATATTATTTCAGGTATGTACACACAGGACGTAAAATGTATTTCTTCGGATCATAATCAAAGTTTGAAAGCAGCTAATTTACAGGGCCATTTGTGATCAAAAAAGAATGAAAAGATTCCTTCCCCATGCCCCCTTTAGAAGAAACAATGACGCCCAACACCATCCTGCCTCCCGCTTTATCCTCCATAGAGCCGGCTTCCACCCACACCTCCTCTGATCTCATCCATGCTGATTCCAGGGTTCAGGTTCTCAGGTCTGGGGTCCATAATGTCAGGTGAAGCTCCACCCACACCGGCCCCAGTGGCCAACCCACCAGCCACCACAGCCTGATGGAGCCTCTGCCAACCAGGATGCTCTGTTCCCTGAAAAAGGAAATTCAAGGATGAAATGCACACACTTCTATACCCTCAGTCTCCTCCCACCCATGCCAAGAGGCTAAAGATGATCCTCACCTATCCAGACTAGAGAAGATAGCCAGCTGCATGGGGGTTGGGAGAAAGAGAGAAGATGACTACACTTTGAATGAGTGGTGGGGAAGTGAAGGAGATTCTGGAATCTGTAGAATCCCACTCTAGGAAACAACTGTGCATCACTGTCCCACCATCACTCATCTTTAACTGGTTTCTCTCCACCCCAAACCTTAGGAAAGTCACTCAACTCCTCCTTTCCGTCTCTTATCCCGTAAGTTAGACCCCTTCGGTTATCTGCTCACTGACTCCTGACTTCACCCAGGCATTCCCCATATCATGTCTACTCAAGTGACCTCACTTCAAATAGTCTATGCCCCCACAAGATATGTCCCACTCTATCTCCCTAGTGTCAGCTATTACCTGGGACAAAAGGAGACTCCAATTTCCATCCTTAACCCCCTTTCTCCCAAGCTCCTTCCCTCATCATCCTGAGTCCATAACTCACAACAGCGAGATCCCATATTCTTCAGGGCATGGGTTGCCTCACTCCTGTATGCTGAGGATTCGCAAGAGGATATTATACACGTCCTGTTCCATGTAGCCCTGTAGGTGGCAGGAAAGAAACAAAAGGAGATGAACAGAACATGAGAGGGAGAGTTTCTGCGGTAGATTGCAACTTACTATGTGCATTCTTAACCTCACTTAATAGTACCTCACTGTTAACCTCACTTAATAGTACTTCTCCATAGCTGTTGCCTAATCTTTACAAGGAAGATAATGACATCAATTTTTCAGGACTGCTGTGAGGATTACAATTGTGAATACTGAGCAAAGCACCAGTACAAAAATAAGTATTCAATTCTTTGTAGTTATTATTAGTTCCTAATAAAGGAGCAAGCCACTCACCTGTTCTTCCTTGGTGAGGGATAAGCTGGCTCTGGAGGAAACTGAGCAAGGGCATGTTCTGTGTACTAAGTTGCTTCAGTTGTGTCTGACTCTTGCGACCCCATGGACTGTAGCCCACCAGGCTCCTCTGTCCATGGAATTCTCCAGGCAAGAATACTGGAGTGGGTTGCCATGTCCTCCTCCAGGGGATCTTCCCAACCCAGGGGTCAAGCCCTCATCTCTTACACCTCCTGCATTGGCAGGCAGGTTCTTTACTATTAGCATCACCTGGGAAATGCCCCAAGAAAGGGCATAGGGACAGGAAAAAGCCTTTCAGTCAGTCACAGAATTAGAAAGGAGGGGCAAACACCTCTTCCCTTCACATTCATACTCTTGATCTGCCTCATGAGGTCCAGAAACCTGACACTGGAACATTTAAAGTCCAGCTTTCTGAGAGATGACGTCTTTGCAGTTAAGAGAAGAGGCGCCAAATGCAATGCCCCCTGCCCAGCTCGCTGCCTCTACCTCCCCCCAGGCTCACCTGAGCAGCATTCAGCAGATGCTTCCTATAGGTAGAGATGATCTCTTCATGGGTCTTCTGGGAATCCTGGGAGTAAGCATCAGTGGGAGGTCATGTGACTCACCCTCCTCCCCCAAACATGAGGAAAACAAAGGGAAGTGGTCGGCTATGGCAGGTGGGCTCCCTTGGCCCCTGAGTACCTCAGCCTAGACCACCGCCTGGCCTCTGGATCCCCAGAATCTCTCCCACAGACACATCACTGCCACTCTGCACCCTCCTCTCTAGCGGTGCCCATCTCCCGAGGACCAAACATACCTGCAGCTGTAGGGCAAGGCGAGCATTATCTCCCCGAACAGCTAGAACCTCCTCTGAAAGCTGCTCCAGCTTCTTCAACAATTCCTTGATCTGAGGCCAAAAGGAAACGGAATCAATGCGGCCCTGGTCATTTCCCACTCCAGGACCACTCAAAGTCAAGGTCAGTTGCCATTTATTGGGTATTTAATATCTGCCACGTGCTTTTACACACATTGTCTCATTTAATCCTCAAAACAACTCTTCTGTTCTAAGAAAAACAATACTTCTCTGAGGGAAGTATTATCATTCACGTTTTATAGATAAGGAGCCGGAGTTAAGTAATTTGTCAAAATCACACAGCTAATAAGTGATGAAATCAAGATTTGATTTTGAATCAAGATTTCTCTGAATTCATGGCCCACACTCTTAGCTCCTTACTGAATCCTGACTGACTTCTGGCTGCTGACCACTGAAGGAAATGGAGATGAGTTTTTGTGGTTCGTGAGGTTGAGACACAAATGCACTTAATCATAACCAGCTGTAATAGGAATGGTGGCAGGAATGACAGGAGTAGCTAACCTTTACTGGGTATTAGCCATTTGCCAAAAATTTTCTGAGTATTTTAAATGTAATATTTAATGTAATCCTCATAACAACTGTTATTACCCTCATTTTATATATGAGAAAACTGAGGCTTAGATAACTCACACAAGGTCAATCAGTTTGGGTTTTTTGTTTGTTTTCTGTTTGGCCACTCATGGCATGCAGGATCCTACTTCCTAGACTAGGGGTTGAACCTGTGCCCCTTGCAGTGGAAGCTCCAGTTCCTAACCACTGGCCTGCCGGGAAGCCCCTCAATCAGTTAGTTTTGAAATTGAAATTCAAATGCAGACAGTCTCAATTAAGAGCCACTATACCATTTTCTTTTGCTCATTTGTCTAATCATCTTCAACACCAACATAAAATTCCTTCTTTAATTAACCCTATCCAACACTGATTCCTTTTCTATATAACATTCCTTCTACGTTCATGTACTTTATATTCTGTCAAATGTAACTCCCTATAGTTTTTAATCCTTCTAAATTTGATCATCTATACAAATTTTAATAAGTCTGAACTCATTGCACAAGTAGTTCTAGAATTACTAAATTCATTTGTAAATTGATTTTTTTAGAATTCATAAAAACATGTCTTTTAAAAATATATAGACATATTCACTTTTGGAGCAATCATTAGTAAACTCGAGTATCTAACACATTGGTTTTCAAATTTTTTCCTCTGCATGGCACCCTCTTTTCCAATGAAACTCTTTTGTAGAACCTACTCTGAAGTGAGAGGGGAGCTTCCGAACCCTGAGCCCCAAATTTTAATACCTAAGCTTCCTTCTCTCTTGAATTTATACCTTACTTCCAATTTTCAACCCCAAACCCCCTCAGACCCAGGAGAACATTGTGTGGTCCTTGCAGTTGACTGGGGTTCTGCTTGGACTATTAATCTGACTGGCCAAAGATGGTTTCAGGTCGTACGTGCCTGCCAAGTCGCTTCAGCGCGTCCGACTCTGCAACCCGTGGACTGTAGCTCGCCAGGCTCCTCTGTCCATGGAATTCTCCAGGCAAAACTACTGGAATGGGTTGCCATGCCTACCTCAAGGTGACCTTCCTGACTCAGGTATCGAGCCCGTGTCTCCTGCGGCTCCTGAATTGCAGGCGGATTCGTTACCGCTGAGCCACCGGGGAAGCCCCAGTTTCAGGGCCGCAGACCCTAAGCACGCAGAAACCGTCCCTGATACTCCCTTCAGCTGGCTGCCTGGCCTGCTCACCTTGGCCTCCTTGTCCCGGCAAGCGCCGATGAGATGCTCCACCTTCTCTTTGAGCAGCTCGGCCGTCTTCTCGAACTGTTCGGAGCGTCCGCGCATCTCGCTGGCCTGGCGCTCGTGCTCCGCCGCGCGCGCGGCCAGGTCCCCGCTCCGGCGCCGCTCCTCGGCCGCCGCCTCCCGCAGCCGACCCATCTCCCGGCAGGCCGTATTATACTTTTCCAGCAGGGCCTTTAGCTCCTGGCCCCAAGCCTGGGCCTGGGCCACCAGGGAGCCCCGAGTTTTCTCGTGCTGCCGCAGGCTGGCCGCCTCCCGGGCCCTCAGCTCCTCCACTTCCTCGGTGGCTTGGTAGAGCAGCTGCTTCAACTTCCCGATCTCCTGGCTCTTCCCGCTCATCGTGGCCTGAACTGCCCGCAGCTCTTCCTCCAGCTTCCCCAGGTCTTGCTCCAGAGCCGCCACCTGAGGGGAAGCCGAGGCCTCCCCACAGCGAAGCTCGCCACGGCGGGAAGGGGAGCCCCGAAGCTGCTGGTTTTCCTCCTCCAGCCGAGCCAGCCGCTGCTGGGCCTCGCGGTGCCTGGCCACCAAGGCGCTGATGCAGGCCTGCAGCTCTTCCAGGGGCGCGGTGACTGTGCTCCCTGCACTCCCCTGGCCTACCAGGTCTGGGGGCAGGCAGTCCCACAGCCCCTGGAGCCCTCTGTTCTGGGAGGCCAGGCGCTTCCGCAGCTTCTCGGTGGCCTCCTTCTCCAGGGCCAGTTCATCTGTCAGCAGCCCCACACTCCTCCGCAACTGCTGTAGCTGGACCTGCGCCTCCGGCCTGGGCACAAACTCCCGCTGTAGCCGCTGGCTCAGGGACTGCAGCTCCCCCTGCAACCGCTGCCGCTCCCGGCCCAGCTCCCCCAGCTCCTCCAGCAAGTTACTGTTGCTCAGTCTCAGGGCGGACACCTCCTTCTCCAGCTGTCCCCTGGCCTGGCCTCCTCCTGGCATCTGGTCCCCTCCAGGAGCCCCTAGAGGCTCTCCCCGGGCCCCAGGGACCCTTTTCTCCTCTTCTTCTTCTTCTTGGGTGATGGCCCCTGGGACTGACTTGAGCGCTCCCTCTCTGGTCTCCTGGGCAGGGGCCTCGGGTTTCATCTGCAATCCTGCTTTTGCTCGATCCAGTCTCACCAGCACCTGCTCCAACCTGGCCTCCATCTTCTCCCAGGCAGCTGCTGCAGCCTCAGCCCGGGGTGTCCCCAGAGCTCCCTCCAAGACGGGTCTTGATAAAGCCCCCCGGGCTGCATCCTTTTCTCGCCACACTGCAGCCAGCTCCTCCCTCAGCTGTAGCAGGAGCTGATTCATGGCTGCTGTGCCCACTGGCTCAGCCACTGTGCTTGTGGGTTCAGCCCCTGGAGCCTGGGGCCTCTCCTTCTGGCCAGCAAACAGCTGGTCAGTATGATTAGGGCGAAGGGCCTGCCCATCACTGTTGGTCAGTTGCTGTCCTGTGGTTTTCCCTACAGTCTCAGACTTTGGGCTCTGGGGTGGCTCCTGTTCTTCTGGTTGGGACCTTCCCTGGGCTTCATACTGGATCTCCCCTGGGACTGAATCCTCAGCCTTCTTGGAAGCTAATACTGGGTTGGCTGCCACTGCAGCTGTGGCCTGCTGATGCTTCTTCAGCTCTTGTATGTGCTTAGCCAGCAGGTTGAGGGCACAACCCTGTTCCATGCCATCTCCTCCAGGCCGGAGACTAGAGCCCTGGTCCCCTGGAGCTCTGGGCTCTTGGGACAGGAGGAGCCCCAGCTCCCGCGCCTGTTCTTGAATCTGTTTCTCCAGGCCCAGGTAAGCTGTAGCTTGAGCCTTGCACTCTTCCGTCTTTCGCAGCAGCTCCTGCTCCAACTGAGAAACTTTTCTCTTCTCCTCTTCATACTTCCACTTCCACTCCTCTGAACATGGATCCTCGTCCTCTTCTTCCTCCTGCTCCTCCTCAGGCTCTGCCCTCCACGGGCTCTTAGGTGGTGCACCCACCTGAGGCTCAGAGGGAGAGGCCTGTGTAGAAAAAAGGAACAGTGACATCAACCCAGGCAGCTAGCCTTTCTTCTCTTAGACTGTCTCGATGCCCCAACGATCCCTGCCTGGGAGACATCCCAGCGGGAAAGACTGGGGTGGGTCAGAAGCAAAAGGAGTAGGTGCTTAGGGTCTTACCTGGGATGCAGGATCCAAGTGTTGAACTGGCCCCTGACCTACATGAAAAGACATGGGAGAAATGAGAGAGGAGACAGGGCCCACATGCTTTTAGCCCACACTCTGGCTTCAGACTTTCTCTGAAAGGAGTGGCCCCTGTGTTCATTCTTAACCACATGTGTCTTTCTGGTGCCAGAAGCCACCCCTATTTGATGGATCCCTAAGTAGCCAGCAATGTAGGTTCCCTGTCCCAGAGAGATGTCGGCTCATTTATTTCTTTCACTCACTTATGCCCCCGCATCTGCTCCATTGACACTGTGCCAATAAGTACTGTTACAGTTAGAAACCAGGAGCCAATGATGAGCAAGACAGAGGAGGTTATCTGAGGGGGTTACAGTATAGTAGGGGCAAGAGACAGATTGACAATTGAATCACACAAATAGATGTACAATTACAACTCATAAATGCTAGCAATAGTGCTAGCCAGAGTTGCCTTCAGGGAGAGACAAGGTTGCATTAAAGAATTTTGTGACCTTGCTTTTGGGAAGTGGGAGGCATCTCATAGCAGAAGTAATAAATAAGTAAATTCTCCACTAAAGTGACAGTTATTTATCACATGGATTGTTTCCATGGAAACAAATGGGATTCTAAGAAGCTTCTTTGATTCTAAGGCTATCAAGGAGCATCTTGGAGTCACAAAAGCAGATTGGCTTTACCCCCTCGGCCCTGCCGGTTCAGGGCCTGCCGCAGCAGCCTCCACAGGGTCCTGTCTTGTGTGCGTAGGGCATAATGCAAAGCATCATGCCCTGTGCTGTCCACTGCCCCCGCATCTGCTCCATGGCTCAGGAGCAGTTCAGCCACCTCAGCACTGCCTTTTTCACAGGCCAGGATCAGAGCCGATCTGTGGGGTGAGACAAATCTGAACATAGGCTTTTCTCATGAAATCCTGGAGTCCTGGTTTCCGAAAACAAAAACAAAAACAAAAAATCCACTTGCAAGGCCAGCTCTCACTAAGTGTGGTCAGGAGAACCACAGACCGTCACCAGTAAGTGTCAAAGCATTAGGCCAGAACAGAACTGTTCAGATGTCATTCCAGGAGCTGTGACATCAGAAAGCGGGGAGCCCATTTGAGGGGCTCCATTTTCCTCTGCTTTATATGTTGAGTTTCTATATAAGTTCTTTACTGGGTAAACAGATTCTATGTCTTAGAACATAGTTTGAAAGCCAGTCAATTAAAATAGTGGTTCCAGGAGTATTAATTCTACTTCCAGAGTCATCTATGCTAGAAGGATGGTGCCGGCAGCAGCAGAATAGGAAAGTATAAAGAATAAAGAAAACATTCTTAACTCACCAAGAGGAAAACCATGAAGCAAAGCAGGGCGCTTCTGAACCACCACTGGGAAGAAAGGCGGTTCCCAAGAAAACAGAGACCAATCTCCCCATCACACGCACACACACACACACACACACACACTTTGCCCAGTGGCTCCTTTTTAGATTGTCAGGGTTGGGATTTGGGATGGGATGATAGAAGGCTCACTTGTCATTCTTGTCGGTGACATTAACCCGGGCACCTCTCTGCAGTAGCTGTGAGCAGATAGCTGCGTGACCTCCCAGTGAGGCAATCATTAGGGGTGTACGTCCATCCTGCACAGATTGTGGGAACAGGGTTCATGAGGAGACAGGGGAACCAGGGCTTTGGCACAGTCCTACCAACTCCCTTATTCCCACACCTCTCCAAGAAAAGAACGCCAATTCTGGGGCTAAATACTCCTCCTCAGAGGGTTGAAAACTCTCCAGAAGATAAGCCTTAACCTTTCTGTGTGGAAAAGGAGGAGGGGCAGAAGGAGAAGGAAGAAGAGGTGGTACCACACAACATTTGGTCATGGAACTTGGCTAGTTAACTTCAAAGAAAGCAGCAGCCTCCCCACATAGGGCCCTGCCAGCACTCACGTTATCCAGGACGTCCAGGAAGGCTTCGTGATCACACAAGAGGAGCACACTTGAGGCGCAGCCAGAGGAGGCTATGGAGGGTTACAGGATGATTGGGTTCAGCGGAAGCAGGAAGGGCACCTCTCAGACCACAATGCAGTATCCTCTCCAAACCTTTCAGCAGTCAACTCTGGCCTGCCCTTCCCCCACAAACGTTATCCTCCCCTCCCTCCCCACCTTCTGGTCCCAGCGGCCCCGTTTCCCATTAGTCCCCTGGCACACACCTGCCCAGTGCAATGGACTACGATTTTCTGCATCTACAGCGTCTTCATTGGCACCATGCTGCAAACAGTCAAAGGGAAGCAGCATGGAGCATGGTGTTAACACTGTCATCTCCCACCCTGCTGTATCTGTTGTAGAACCAGCTTTCATTGTACTATAGGGAGGGGCAGAGGGATCATGGCTATGGCCAACTACTAGGCAAGTCCAGTTTATTCCTTGCAGACGCTAGGCAGTCTTGAATTTCAGCCCTGGTTCATAAACCTAGGGCCTAAGAAAAATCAGATTATAGGTAAATAAACACATTAAGGAAAATAACACCTGAGTCCATGTCTGGTACTTTAGGATCATAAATGAGAATCTTGGAAAGAGCAAGGGAGAACAAAGCAGAATATCTGTTGGCACAATGGCATGGTTGAACTGGGCCTTTTGAACTTTGAGAAGCTTATTTCTGAACTGTCCACATGTCATTTCACATATATATTTCTCTTTGTACTCCTAGACTACAAACTCCTCAAGAACAGACAGCAGACTTTGGGTTTAACATGAACACCTCTGCCATCCTTCCACCCACCCATCATCACAGCAGTCAGTCTCTGCAGTGGCTCTGCCAGTGGTGAAACTCGATACACGCATATTCACTGACTGGGTGTCAGTCTCTGGCAATGCTGCTTTTTGATGTGCCCTGGAGGGCAACATTAAGCTGGGTGCCTGCACATTGCAGATATTAAATAAATACTGACAAATTAATGAATGAGAGATTACCAGCTCTCTTACTGGGGATGTGAGGGGTACATTTGACCAAATGTTGCTAGTGAGTACAAGACAGTCAGGAGTCTCTGGGTCCACTTCTTCCTTCCACAGGAGTAGTATCAGGGGTCTCTCTTACCTGCAGCAGGACCTTGACACATTGTGGCTGGCAAGAAATGGTGGCCAAGTGCAGGGCGGTACTTCCTAGAAACAGAAAGAAGCAGGGGATAGGGGTAGGTGGCCCCACGGATGCTGATGACTCACAGGGAGGGAAGGCGAGCGACGCACAGATAATCAGAGGGAGATTAGAGAGAGAAACTCTCAGCCACATGGGGCCAGAAATTCCTGTTCCCCAAGTGCCTGGTACCCACAGTGGAGGTGGGAGTGAGAGTGAGGTAGGCCCAGCTTGCAAGGAGGGGAACCCCTGAAAGCAGGCCGGCTGGGACTTACAAGGAGAGGAGCAGGAGGGACTATAGTTTGAACACCCAGCAGGGCCCAGCACTGCCCCACCCCGCCCCCTCACTGCTGCTATAAAGGGAAAAGCAAGTAGCATGACCCAGTGCTCAGTCTAACTCACCGTCCTCATTCTTGCTGTTGATGTCAGCCCCATTGGCAAGTAGTATAGTCAGACATTCTGTCAGGCCTTTGGAGGCAGCCAGATGAAACCTGCCAGAGGCAAGGCCGGGAGGCAGAAAGATAAAGGGGCCTCATAAAGATGAGGAATAGTTTTACTCAGTCAGTCATGTCCAATTCTCTGTGACCCCATGTACTGTAGCCTGTCAGCTCCTCTGTCCATGGGATACTCCAGGCATGAATACTGGAGTGGCTTGCCATTCGTTTCTCCAGGGGATCTTCCCCACCTGGGAGAATCTTCTAAGCCCTGCTTGCTATGCTCCATCACCCCAAAGCCAATTCCAAAGGCAGAAAGGGAAGTTCCCCTAGCCTGACTTTCTGAGAAAGAGAAGCCTATGTAAATGGCCTACTGTTATAATGTCAGAGGAGGCTAGAAGCAAAGTAGAAAGAAGAGCTATGGGTCTTAAGCAATGAGTATCTCAGGGTGTCCAGGGTACACATAATTACCTGTCACTCTGAGCCCAATACCCTTAGCAGACTGGAAATGTCACAGAAAGAGTGGGCCAGAGCAGAGGGCTGGACATTTGCAGGCGGACTTGGGCAGAGACAAGGAATAATATCCCTCTTGTACTAATCATCTCTTCCAGCCACATGATGCTCATGGCCACCACTGTACTCCTAGTTTCTCAAGCACATACCCTCTGACTTGTGCAATGAAGAAATACCCTACTTCGTGTATGTTTCAGTTTTCCATTTGTTTCATGGCTTTATTCCTTTCTCGGTCGGTTTTGCTGATGTGGGTTATGTGGTGTAAGGACCTCAAGGACAATCTCTTCTTCTCCCACTGTGTGCAGCACTTGAGAAGTAGTGAAGATTTATTGATATACTTGCTAATTAAGACAAAAAAGGGCTCTGAAGTTATAGATGTTTCCTAGTCTTACATCATATCCAGGCTTGAGGTTTTTAAAGAGAACCGCATACCAAGGGGGAAAAAGAAATGGCAACCACTCCAGTATTCCCTGGGAAATCCCATGGACAGAGGAGCCTGGAGGGCTACAGTCCATCGGGTCACAAAGGGTCAGACACGACTAAGCAACTGAACATGACACACATTCCAAGGTGGGGATCAAGACGACTTACGGGGACTGGCCGTTCGAGTCTAGCTTAGTGGGTCGGGCAGATTTCCTGGAGGCCAGGGCAGCCACGCGTCCCACGTCCCCCCGCTGCACCGCCTCCAGCAGCTTCTGATCACGGCGGTTCCATCTCTCCACCTGGACCAGAGCAACACATTGTGAGAATATAAGAGGTGGGGGTAGAGCCGAGGAAGAAAAAAGATGTTTAGGAGGCCAAGCAAGGGAAAAGGAACAACCCTGAGGTCCTTTCAGTGTTCTACAAGTCACTCACCCTAGGTCACTGAATGCTTCATAGTTGGGCCAGTTCAATATTCACCAATGCACATGCCCCTGGGGACTACTGCCAGTTATTGCCTGCTCTGGACCAAAAGAGGCTTGGACTACTGAATTAAAAATCATTGTTTGAGTCCTGAATGCTAGTGTTTCAGATGTCTTTTTTTAAAATCAGCACTGTGATTATTTGTAGGCGCACAACCTCCCAGCAGTCCTAGCCTTGACTCCTTCCCTTTTGGTCGTTAGGTCTTGCTGGAGCAAACTGAACCAAACTGACCATCCCAGACTTGGGTTCACCTTGCCTCTCAACCCCCTCTGCTGCTGTTTTTTGTTCTCAGATATTTGAGAAATCAAGGCACCTAGCTTTGGGTCACAGTTAGGAGTCTAAGTACCTAGCCATACCATCTCTACCCATTGGCTTTGGGGTGCAAAATTTGGAGGAGAAGCGCAGAGTTTCCATTTTCCCTTCTCATACCCAGGCCCTTTGGCTAGTCCCTCTTCCCCTTCCCTGGTAACACCAACCAAAAGGCCAAGATAGGTCTCCAGCTAGGCTGGAGGAAGCAGAAGAGACCGTTGCCCTCCTCCACCCTGCCCTCCCTCCTCATTTTCCTGGCAGAGAGCAGCTGTTCCAGACAAGATCCACACCTGGGCATACATTGTTCTACTATGCCAGCTTGACTTTTCAGGTGGTAGGGTAATTACAATAATTGAAGTATTACAGGGCATGAAAGAGCTGTGTAAAAGCACCCAGAGCCGAAAGCCTAGAAAAGCCGTGTTTGCTCCAGAGAAGAGAAAGGAAAGGATGGAACGATACAGAAATCTGTGGAATGGTGAAAAGAGCCCTAGGCGAATATTTGTCAGCAGGCCTAAGTTCAGGGCCTGGTTCGACCACTTCCTCAGCTATGTGACCTAGAGTAAGCCATTGAACACCTCTAACCTGTTTCCTCATCTATAAAATGTGGAAATTAATTACTACTTCATCATGTTGTATGAAATGAGCTAATGTATATAAAATCTGTTTGTAAACTGTAAAAAGCATTACAAGTGTATGGCATCCTTATAAAAAAAAAACAGGAAGTGGTGGGGGATTGGTGGTGGCACATTGCATTTTACGAGGTGTAATCGAAACAAGAAAGAAGCTATAGGAGGAGGTGGGGAAAAATAGAGTCTCTGGAAGCCAGCTCATTTTCAAATACTGTTTACATAGCCAGGACAAATTATTAATCAAGAACAGGAAAGATTTTAAATGCCTACACCATAAAATTATCTAAGGTAAATGGTTCCTGAGGTAACACTCCTGAGGTAATTCCTCGTAGCCCTTTTAAGTGTTATTTCAATTAACCTTTCAATGTTCCTAGAAAGTAGTTAGGGCTGATATTATTTTATCTAGTTGACAGAAAAGAAACTGAAGTGCACTGAGGTTAGATAACTGTCCAGGGGCACACCACAGAATAGTGGTAAAATTGAGATTAGAACCCAGGCCACCGGATGCCCTATCTTAGTTCTCACCACCAGGTCATATGAATACCTAGCTATGGAAGGTTTATTTATTTTCAAATAAACAGTCTAAGACCGCCTCCAGGGTAAAGCCACCCACATTCAGACACTAATCCCTGCAAGAGGAAGACTCTCCAAACAGGTTAATTCTCAAAGGACAAAATAAGCAAAATGACTGCTCAACAGACTGAGATGTAATAACATATTATCCAATGTCCCCTGGGGGCTACGTCACCCTCAGAAAAGGCAGAGAGCTAGAACTACGCCTACACCACAGGACACCACCATTAGCTGACCTCAATCTGAAGTTCTCTGTTTAAAATTATGATCCTAACACTTTTTATCCTTGTGAACTGAGGCATGTAACAACTTCTCTGAACCAGTTTCCTAATAAAATAACACTATATAAAGCACCTAGCTCTGTCACATAGGAGGTACACAATAAACATTAGTTCTAATCACTATCCTTCTCAAACTTGCTGGGCACATTCTGGATACTCCTGGGTTCAGAATTCTCCATCCAGGGGAGTTGGAGGAAGGGTTCTTGCTCCTACTGGCCAATAGTCAAGCTGTATAGATGGTAATGGTATTTCTTAGCAATGTAGATAATTCTCTTTCCAGCTAGATAGTTTTAAAATCTACCTCATTTACTTTCTGTAATCTTGTTATACCAAGAAGAATTTAAAATAGGTAGAAATTCTTCATAGCCAAACCTCTGCAGAGCTAGGGTGAAGAAGAACAGAGGGGGTCCTCCCTGGCTGTCCAGTGGTTAAGACTCAGCATTTCCAGCAGAGGGCATGGGTTTAATCCCTGGTTGGGGAAGCAAGATCCCATATGGCTGCATGGTGTGGCCAAAACAAAACAAAACGCAGAAGGATGCTTCTGAATGAATTCCAAGATCTAATCTATTTTTCATCCCAGCACCTTGCGAAAGAGGCACTGAATAACCATCACAGCCTCAAGGGAGCAATCACCAAATTAATTAGCAAACTCAAAAACAAGGATAAGCTTTGTATTTCTGTAGCCAAGACTAGGGGTGCCTTTGTAGAAGTAATTGCAGCCTCTTCTTATCTCTGGCTGTGTGCCCATGAGCGTCCTATGAAGACGAAATATGCCAACAGTAGAGAGAATGGCTACCACTGTATAGGATGGGTAAATGGAAATGGTTTTGCTGCCCTGTAGAAACCAGGAGTTGACTCTCAATTTTTAAAACACAATTGAGGGAATTCCCTGTTGGTCCAGTGACTGAGACTCTGTGCTCCCAATGCAAGGGGCCCAGGTTTGATCCCTGGTCAGGGAACTAGATCCCACATGACAATGAGAGTTCACAGGCCCCAACTAAAGAACCTGCATACCGCAACAAAGATCAAAGATTCCATATGCTGCAACAAAGACTCGATGCAACCAAATAAGTAAATAAAGTTTTTTTTTAAAAAATAACAAAATGCAATTGACATTTTTCTAACCTGATTCAGTGCCTACTGTTTAAAGCTATTTTCTGGTTTATACATAAGCAGAGTAAGCTAACATAGAAGACACTCCTTGGGACTAAAACAAAATGAGATCATAGGAGTTAAGTTTTTGTTTGTTTCTTGAACTTCCTATATGTATTCTGGATGACTTAGATTAATTTTTAAATGATCACTGATCCTTCAGTTCTCATCTCAGTCTGAGAGTACAGTGAACCCAGGGGTTGGAGAGAGGATGGAAAGGGGCAATCTTCTGCCATGACTAGGAAGCTAGGCTTTGGGAGTGGTCAGGAAGGCTGTGACACTACTTCTCTGACAAACTGGTTCAGAGTGGTTAGCCACCCAGGGAGTGGAGGAATTTATCATGAGAAGTGTGGGGAAGTTTCATGAGGAAACAATTTACAGCTTAAACTAGTCTATTTTCAATGTTATTGGATCCCTACCTTGACTGAGGGAACAGTTTTCTTTCCAGCTAAGTAGTTCTAAATCCATCTAATTTGCTACCTATAATATTGTTGTACTAAGAAGAGTTTAGAATGGGTAGAAATTCTTCATGGCCAAACCTCTGTAGAGCTGGGACGAAGAAAGACAGAGGGATGCTTTCCAATTTCAATATTCACCCCATTGTTCACCCCAGCTCCCTGAAAAGGAGGCATGGACCAACAACTGGAGAATCAGGAAGAATGAAACAGTTTCCCCATTCCTAAGGAGCAGGCAGACTCCACAAACCTGAAAGGGAAGGGCAATGTGGAGGACTTTCAGTAACTAAAGAAGAGTCCATGTGAATGAGAAAGTCATCATGAGTTAAGACACTCTGGGTTGCCTCAGTTTCTGGTACCTTTAACAGTCATTCAATAATGTCTTTTGATTGGTTGATTAATGCATGGAAACTAATGGGGAAGCAAACATAAGTGGGATGAGGACAGGCTTCGACAGAGTACCTACTCTTGCCTCATAGCTTGCTTTCAGGTTTCTGTGACCTGCTCATGCAGAAGAAGCTGAGCATTTCTCATGTTTGCTCAATGAGTGACAGCACTAGGTCAAGTTAGGCTAAGCAATGTTACTACAGGTAGCTGGCCACATTACTTCTAAATGAGCCACCATCTCAGTGTCCACAGAAAATTTCGTCCCCTGATAGGAGGTCTGTCTGTAAGAGAACTTCAGAAAAGAAGCACCTATACCCTCCCTTGGCCACTCCCTTCTGCAGACTTTCTCCCTGTGTCCTGTTCTGGGAGAACCTCGGGAGCGGATTGACTTCTAGGAACTCTCAGAGTGAATCCACTTTATCCTCTTCTTCTCTCACCATCACCGTTCCCCAGCTGACTCAAAGGAAGCAGAGTAAGAGCCCTAAACAACTGGGTGAGGGTTTCGTATGAAGGAAGATTCTGGGGAGAAGCAGGCAAAAGGCCTTGACTGACCCAAGAACCCATCTGATGACCAGGCACCGCAGTGAACTGGCCAGAGTGGAATCTGCAGACAATTTACCCATTCCTTGGGGAGCAGCCAGGCAACTGTGCCTCCTCTGGCAGTGCCTGTCAATGTGGCCAGACTGGACTGCAAGATTAACCCACAGAGAGCAGGTAGAAAGAGATCGGGGAGTTGAACCACCACTGGGCAGAGGCGGGCAGAGGTTGAAGAGGGAGAACAGGAGAAGGCTGCTGCTGTGGGAACACCAACTGGAAAGAGGTTTGGAGTGTTGTTGTCTGAGAGCCAGCGGTGGCGATGAGAGAATGGGAGTGGAAGTGGTATGGGGTGAGATGGGGACAAGGACAGAGAAAACTATGAAGGAGGGCTAGGGAAGGCACGGGGCTGCAGGTACTTATTGGACTGAGAGCAAGGATAGGACCATAGCGGAGAGCAGGGTCGTGAGGATAGAGCAGGGCTGGGAAATGGAGTGTGGGGCAGTACGTGGGAGATGTAAAGGAGCTTGGGGCTGAGCCCAGGCTGGGGATAGGACAGACGCCTGATGGCAGTTCAGTACTGGGAAACAGGATAGAAGTAGAAAACAGCGCCTTTACGAGAGAACCAGGGGCTCCAGGGAACGTATCAGAAGCTGGGGTGTAGATTCTAGGAGGACAAGAAAGGGTCAAGGGAAAGAACCTTGGTGAGGGCAGAGGTTAGGAAGGCAAGTCAAGGCTAAGGTACAGGGTCTTGAGGAAGGCAGGGCTGGAGGGCTGCATTACGGAGTGGAAGAGCTAGAAAGACGGATAGAGATAAAAGGCCATGATGCGTGGAGTCGGGACTCAGGACTCTGTCACCACAGGGCTTGGACCCCAGCCCCATGCCCAGCCTCCCAGACATTTTAGCACATACCGCCACCTGTGAGCTGGAGCAGGAGAAGATGCGCTTCATGGCCGGGGCCGGGGCCACGGGGGGAACGGGGACGCGCGGAGAGCCGGGCCACAGGTTCCTGAACCCACAGGACTCGGCTGCAGCTGTGCTAGAGAGCTGTCAAATGCAGAACGGGATCCGCCCCAGACCCGCCCCAAGACCTACCGCGTTCAATCAGAGACTAGAACCCGAGGGCTGGGCTTAAAACTCCGCCCCTCACCCAGCCCTGCTCGGCCGCTGCGGAGGCAGAAGTCCTGCAGTCTCCGCCCGAGAAGTGGGCTTGGTCTCAAACCTCGCTCTCCCAAGCCTAACCCGCTCCCAGCTCTGACTTGCTCAATCCGAAAAGGGACGCCACCGGCTCCGGCTAAAACTCCTCCCCTGGCTCCGCCCCTCCCCTCAGCTCCACGCTGCGGTCCCGCCCTCAAGCCCTGCCTCGGGCCCGCCCCTCCGAGCACCAACCCGAGATTCTCCGCAACTGCTCCGACCTTAGCAACTGTCGCGTTTAACCGCTCGTGACGACGGTCTGATTCTATCCAGAGACCTTTGCCAACTTAGTTACCTTTGCTTCCTCTCTCCATTCCGCAGCCCAAACCCAGGCACAAAAAAGGGTTTGAAGAGAGCGTTTTGGAAACGGCAGGAGATCGTGGTACCGAGTCAAGGACTGAGCAGGATGACCCACCGCAACCTGAAGAAGGGGGACCAGGTTTAATATTCTAACACATCTCTAAATTAGAAAAAGGCATAGGGAGAGGAAGGTTTTTTTTGTTTTTTAGCATCCCTTTCCACAAAAATGGGCTTCCCTGGTAGCTCAGACGGTGAAGCGTCTGCCTACAATGCGGGAGACCCAGGTTCGATCCCTGGGTTGGGAAGATCTCCTGGAGAAGGAAATGGCAATCCACTCCAGTATTCTTGCCTGGAAAATCCCATGGACTGAGGATCCTGGTAGGCTACAGTCCATGGGGTCGCAAAGAGTCGGACACGACTGAGCGACTTCACTTCACTTCCACAAAAATACTCACAAAACTGTCTTCACTATTTCCACTGCCCTTTAAATTCACATTCTTAGCAGTTCATGCTAGGTCAGTTGCAGCCAGTCTACCTGTCTCTTCTCCTTCATCCAAAGAGAGCACACTCAAGTGCATATGAAAGCCTACAGATTAAAGTTGAGTTCTCAGTGTGATTTACAAGGTTTATTAGGAGCCACACCCTACCTTCTCAAGTCTCATCTCTCACTACTTTCACAAAGAGCCTGATGTTGAGGCTGTTCTAATCTACGACAGTTCCCTTTCCAACTGGTGATTAACCCTCCCTGGAATATCTCCTCTCACACTTGGTGGTCCTTCACACTTGGTGGCCCCTCAAGACACAAAAAATTTTTTTCTGTAAACTTTTAAAGTTCTGCCAACCCCAACTGAAAAAAGTATGCCTCTTGTATGTGACACACTTCTTGTGTGCGACTATTGTCTAGCAACCAGCTCTCTGTATTTGCCATTTGTTTACATGCTTTTTTCCCCTACTAGACTGGGCTCATTGATGGTAGAAGTTGCATTTTATATTATTCCCATTGCCTAGAACATATTAGGTGCTTAACGTCTTATGAGTGAATGAACAAAATAATGAATGAAGGAACAAAGGACCAACAATGATAAGAAAGCAACACCTTTCTGTGGGTCTGAGGCAAGTCTGTTATTCTACAGTTGCTTCTCAAACTGGCTGTGCTTCAAAGGAAGAGATAACAGGCTTATAGAAAAATAGATTGAGGCTAGAGGAAGTCCCATCCTGGAGCTGAGCAGTAGGGAGGAGCGGGATCTCTAGGTGGAGAAAAATATTAACCATGTGGAGAGAGAATGAGATGAACCAGTCTTTGAGGATATCCATCTCCCTTTGTGGGCTGACTCGGGATAAGGAGGGGGAATCTGTCAACATAACCATGGCCTCAGTCCCTGACCCAGAAACAGTGTGCTCCATAAAGGTTGATGAAATGATAGCCTATGTGCTGAGGGCCACCATGGATCCTCCAGGTACAAAATAACACCAGCTTGCCACAGAATGGTTGTCCCTGCCTAATAAGCTAGAAAGGCCACTATTCTCAGGGTTAGGCAACAAAGGCAGAGACATGGTCTCTAGAAGCCCATTGCTGAAGCGCCCATGTCCCTTGAGGATAATAGAAGAACCCTGGGTGTCTAAAGAAATCTAATCAATCAGATTTCTACTTTTAGAGCCTTAAGTTAATCACCTATTTATCGTCTTTCTGGGCTTGAGGGCTTATATCAAAGGGGATGAGGCATAGGGTAAGATTTAGTGGCAGGAGATAATAACACAAATCTTGAGAGTCTGTGAAGAGCAGGCAAGTCACCAGATCATGAGCATCACTTGGTGCTTCAATATACCTCCTCAGTCCTCACAATGCAGGTTATGTAGGGTAGGTTTTCTTATAACAAATTATTTTTATAACAGTAGTTACCATTTATTGAGTACTTACTATATGTTCACTTTACTTCAATTACCTCATTTAGTCCTCACAATCCTAATACATTTATTTTTAAATATTTGGCTGAGCTGTGTCTTAACTGTGACTTGCAGGATCTTCAATCCTCATAGCAGCATGTGGGATCTTCACTTGTAGCATGTAGGCTCTAGTTCCCTGACCAGGGATTGAACCTTGGCTCCCTGCAATGTGAGCATGGAGTCTTAGCCACTGAACCACCAGGGAAGTCTGAACCTTAATAAGTTTAAAGTCAAGAAAGTCAAGACTTAGAGAAGTTAAATCTGTTCAATGTCCAACAGGTTTTATGTGGTATGTTGTTTAGTTGATAAATCATGTCCAACTCTTTTGCAACCTCATGTTCTGTAACCCTCCAGGCTCCTCTATCCATGGGATTTCTCAGGCAAGAATACTGGAGTGGGTTGCCATTTCCTTCTCCAGGGGATCATCCTGGACTAGGGCTCGAATCCACATCTCCTGCATTCGCAGATGAGTTCTTTCCCACTGAGCCACCAGGAAAGCCCTTCAAGTGATATAGCTTAAACTCAAGTCTGTCTTCATTCTTAACCACTGTTCTACACAGCCTCTTAATCTGAACCTCAGGGTAGTCATGGCTTGCCCAAAGCCATATAGCTCATAAATGGCAGACCTGGAATTTCTCTAGGCCTATGTGCTTACCAAACTAAACCTACACATTTTACACTCTATGCTCACGTAAACAGGTGAGGATTGCAGGAGGCTAGGGCATATCTCCAGTAGGAGAGTCACAGAAATCACTTCAAATCCTTCATAACTTCATCTTCCAGGGACTCAACTGCATAGGGTCTCAGGTGAATCGAGGCTCCACCTCTCACAATTTGTGAGCAGTCTATATCCCAGGGAACTCAAGAAGAACCAGAAGTCATTTGATACTGAACTTTATTTGTTCTGACCATCTGATAAACCGTCCACCCTATTAGGAAACAGAGACAATGCTGTCTGTAAAAGGTCAGAGACAAGTCAAAATAAACTCTCTAAACCAGATCTCAAGAACAGCCCTGGAGGAGAATCTGTGGCTACTAGTCAATTGCCCAGTCAAGTCCCCTCTCTCCTTGGCTGTAAATGGGTGTTGATTCTTCAAGTGGCTGTCAGAGCTGCTCTCTGGAAACCAATATCTGACTTTGGTATCCAGAGTCATGGTTACAAAGAACTGAAAGTTACCCAGTTGTCAAGGAGAATCCATTCCTCTTTACTGGCCATGACCAAAAAGTGAGAGTTGGGGGTGAGGGGATGGAGGGTGGGGGTTGCTCAGAGATAGAAATTAACTTGGGAATTTCCAGTAAACATTAGGCAAGGGCTGGCAAACTGATGCCACCAGAGAAGCCTCACAAGGTATGGCTGGAGATGCCCCAGAAATATTTCGTAGGAGCTATTTGTGCTATATAACCAGTGCCAAACAAGTAAGGGCTTGCTTCCCAGAGACCTCTTGCCACCTTCTTCAGCTTCTTCCTTAATTCAGACCCCACTTGTTCAGACCCCTTGGTGCTTCTGCCTCCCAAATCTAGTAAGGTGAAAGGGTTTCGCACCATCAAGCAGCAATCCTGTCCCTTCTCTCTAGTTTCTATAAGGAGGCTCCAAGAAGGGCTTAAGAGGGTGTGTGGCCTGAGAAGAAAAAACTGCCTGAGGCATCCAGTCTTTCCTGTTATTCCAGCTCCAGCCACATGGGGGCCCCTGGCTCCAGAGAATCCGGCACCCAGCCCTGGCTTTGCTCCCAGGGAAGGCTGCAGAGCTGGGACACCCTTGCCCAGCAGGCCTGGAGCAGTTCCCTTTCACCAGCACCTGAGGGCGGGCGAGCGCGGGCGAGTGCACCACCAAAGTCTCGGGTTTCAGGGGGAATGGCAGTTGCCTGTCTAAAGGCTTCTCTGTTTCTTGGAATTGTACAGAATGTCTCTTGTGGCTTTTCCTCCTCCCTCCTTTTTTCCTGTTGACTCTCCCCATCCGGCCCTCTGAATCACCAGACTCCACAGGAAAGCAGCAGATGTTGACTTTACTTCGTGCAAGCCAACGTCAGCGCTCTCCTGTGGAGTGGGGAGAAGGCAGGAAGGTGAGAGGTGGGGGAATGGTGGAAGATAACCCTCGTCCTTTCCAGTGGGGGAACCTGAAAGAACTCAGGGACCTAGGCAAAAAAAAAAATGCTTGATTCCCAGGGACAGGGGAAAAAAGGGGCCCTACACTAAGGCCCCAGTGTAAGCTCTGGAGCCAGGATCACACGGAGGGAAGCACAGGGTGGGAATGTTCCTGGTTTTAGTGCCAGCCCTTCTTGTCTGAGCTGAGGCCTCATCTCTTGCCAGCAGCATCCTCATGACTCAAAAATCAAGTCAGGCTGCAGGTCGGGGGAGACAGTCCAGAGGCTTTTCTTCCTCTTGCACCATCTGAGCCCCCAAACTTCTGCCCTTAGGCAAGTCTTTTGGAGAAGCTGCAAGAGAGGTCTTTATGGACTTTATTCTACATTCATTGCTCCAATTTCTCTTCTCTTTTTTCTCCCTCAGGGATTTTCTTCCGGGCAAAGAAGCCAAGCTGTAGGGAAAGAGATAAGGGTCATCACCAAATGCCCTGCCTGGGGACCCTGCCAAAGGCCCTTAGAGATATCTGAAGCCTTCAGTTTGTTCTGCTTCCAAAAATGAGATTCAAATTTATTTTATTTGACTTTGGCTTAATTCAACTAAGATTCGTGAAGGAGATCTGGAGACACCCACAGCCTGCTTAGTTGCCCAGCACAAACCCAGTTTTCCTTGCTGTAATGAAGGATACCTTAACTCATGGGCACCATGCCCCACACTGTCCACTACAGCAGTGCTTACCTTCCAAAGGCAGAAAACAAGCAGAGCAAGCAGGAGCAGCCCTCCCAGGACACTGCCAATGAGGATCCACAGAGAGATGAGGACAGGGCGGGACTGAATCACCTCCAGGAGGCTCTGCATAGAGAGGAGAGCTGGCTTTTACTTGCACCCTTTTGCTCAATTAGCTTCACCCCACACTGTAGCAAACTCAGCCCCCAAACAGAAGAATAAAAGAGAAGAAACTGAGGTCAGAATGGAGGCAGGGGGATCCACCATTCTGATTGATCGCTTCTGACTCCCTGAATGCTGCCTAATGAAGACACCCCTGTTGTGAACAAGCTCATGGGTGCCCTGATGCTATCACCACCCTTACTAGCTTCACAGCTCTCAAACTCAGTCTCCAGCCCTACCTCACTCCACCGGGAGGCTTCAGTCAGCAGTAAGACGCTGCCCTCTTCAGTGCCCAGTTCGAAGGTACTGACTACTGTCAGAGACTTGAATTTGGCCTGTGGGATGGAAAGAAATTTAAAGTGAGCCATGAAAAAAAAAATTCTTTAATAAATAAGTAAATAAAAATTAATAAAATAAAATAAAATAAAGTGAGCCATGATTGGCCTCACTGGTGGCTCAGCAGTAAAGAACCCGCCTGCCAATGCAGGAGACTGGGGTTTGATTCCTGGTTCTGGAAGATCCCCTAGAGAAGAAAATGGTAACCCACTCTAGTATTCTTGCCTGGGAAATCCCATGGACAGAGGAGCCTGACAGGCTATAGTCCATGGGGTTGCAAAAAAGTCAGACACGACTTAGCGACTAACAACAACAAATACATCATCAGGTGGAACAGGTCTCAGGACCTTAATGGCAAAGATGAGGCTGGGGGGATAACTTCCAGGACCCTCAAGACCAGAAGAAAAGGTTGGAGAGCGATAGGGAAAGAGAAGAAGGGTAACAGATGGAAAGCCTGTGGCCTTTCATAGACTCTGCATGCTCTACTCCTCAGGAAGTGCATTCAACTCCTCTTTTTTTGGCTAACTCCCACCCTCCCTTCAGGTTGAAGTTTAGATGTCATCCCCTCTGGGAAGTAAAAAGGTGTTTCCTCCTAATCCCCATCACCCAGGACTAGGTTATAATATTCTGTTTATTTCTCTTTCACCTCTGTTGAACAATAAGATCCTTGAGGTCAAGCGTTAGTAACTTACGTGTCCCTAGTGCCTAGCACAACTTCTCAATAAACCTTTGTTAAAAGAGTAAATAAATGAATGAAAAAAGGATACCAAAGAGAGATAAAGAGAGAACCGGACTTAGGGAAGGATGGTATGTCAGACTTAATTTTCCTGAAAAATGCCTGCATCCCAGGGATCTTATATTATTCAAAGTAGATGGCACATAGGAAAGTACAATATAAACTCCTAGTACTAAACAGCTGTTATAATTAAGATATCATTGCCCTGCTAAGGAACTCACACTGACTCCTGACTGCCTATCATGTTAAATTCAACTCCTCAGCTTTAAAGAATTTCATAATTTAGATCCCTTTCACTATACAATATCACTTCCCACTATCCTCCATGCATATCCTACATGTAATATCAACTCTTTACTGGTTCATTTAATAAAATATTAAATCACTATAATGAGTTAACTAGACATGCTCAGTCGTGTCTGACTCTTTGCAACTCCATGGACTGTAGCCTGCCAGGCTCCTCTGTCCATGGAATTTTCCAGGCAAGGCTACCGGAATGGGTTGCCATTTCCTTTTCCAGGAGATCTTCCCAACCCAGGGATCAAACCCGCATATATTATGTCTCCTGCATTGGCAGGCAGGTTCTTTACCTGGGAACCTTTTACTAGTGTCATCTGGGAAGCCATGATGCTAAATGTTGGGTGTATTCTCCTTAGTCACAGGGGAGTATATATATAACACAGGGCCTTTTATATAGAAGGCATTTGATGGATTGATTGAATTTAGGTATCCTATATACCTTAGTGATAATAATACTAAGGGATGATAAATGGAGGATAATACAATAACAGTAACTAGCTTTGAGTGAGTGCATCTCCTTAGTTTGTTCTTTACAACAACTTCATGAAGTAGATATTTTCTTCCTTATTTTACAGATGAGGAGAAAGAAGCTTAGAAAAATGAAATAACATTGCTAGTAGGAGGCAAAGCTCAAACTTGAACATGAATCTGTCTCCAAAATGCCTATGCTAAAGTCCCAGAGAGCAGCAGCAGGGGAGAGTAGTAGAAAAGGAAAAGTTTACCCTCCGGAAAAATTCATTGTGAACCAGCCTCAGGAGTCCAACAGAGATCTCTGTCCCCTTTGCCAGCCGCCCCAGGTGGCACCTCACGACCTGGCAGCGGGTATTACTCTCATTCTACCGGAAGAGAGAGACTGATCAGGACCCTGGAGGAGGAACAATCCCCATGCCCCACTCCGGGCTCTACCTTCCACCCCAAAGCTCTGAACTCCACTGCTCCTCCCTGCATTCCTGCTCTGGACACCTTCCTCACCCCTCTGTGACTCATACCAGCCTGCTTGTGTGCTGAAGCTCCTCTGGATGCACAGGGGGCCCTGGGGGTTCGGTCAGGTTCTGCACTGTGCAGCTTGCCTAGAGGAAGAGCCAACTTGAGGGATCCCCTGGATGGTGAGAGGCCGGCCCCTCCAGGCTGAGCAGGAGCACACCACCCACACTTGAAGTTCTTCCCTGGGTAATCCCTTTCTTTCTTCTCAAAGCAGGTACATATGGAAAAGAAAGCACCCCACCACCCCAGAGAGGGAGGATCCCTGAGAGCAGAGACCCAGCAGATGAGGAGCTGGGTGAGTCCACCAGATCAAGGTGGCAGGGTTCCACAGGCCCCCAGGCCAGACTCACATTGTTAGTGATGACTTGAGACAGTGACAGGAAGTAGTTGCCCCCATAGGCCACAGCTGGAAGGAGGGCTGAGATGATGAGGCCACTGACCACATAGCAGCCAAGGTTCTGAACCTAAAGGGAGGATTGGAAAAGGAAGGGGTGAGAGACAGAGAAAGACCCTTCCTCACCTGTTCCACTTCACCCTCGAGGCCACTGAAATCTAAGAGAGACCCTTCCCATCCTTTTCCCAGGACTCCTCTCCATCCCTCTGCTCATGCCAAGGCCCCTCTGGCTTCTCACCCTAAGAGTGGTTTTGAATTCGGGGCCAGGGCCCACTGGGAGGGTTCCATAGGGGTGGACCTCATAGCGGTGCAGAGTGGACTCGCTGCATGGACACCAAGTCAGGAGGTGTATGGTCACAGCCATGACCATATGATCAGCACACGGACAGATTCATGGTAGAAAGGGCCAGCACATGAATAAAGATATGGGGGTACACAACGAAGACAGAAATGAAATATGACACAGACTTGGCATAAACTTTATGGCCATATCCCACCACCCCAGCTCCAACCCCCAGGGCCCAGCAAAGCCCTACAACTAGGATGTATAGGTGTACCCATACCTAGGAAAGAGAAATGCTTAAAAGGGAAGGTTCAGCATGAGTGGGATTAAGGCCAAAAAGATGGGGCAACCCTAAGGGTTTGCTGTTCAGAAACACTGAAGCACATGGAGGGAGAGGGAACGAACATAAAGAGGATGAGTCTGGGGTCAGAATGGGGTCCCAGTGAGGAGCTAAGCCATACCTGGAGAATAGGAGGTGAGGCTCATACTGAATGTAGGCTGAGGTCTGGGCTGTGTTATCTCGAAGCGTTCCATTTCTCTCCAGGCTACTGCTGTAGGGTCAAGGGGAAGGCTCACATCCCAGCCCTGTCTCAGACACCCTTCTCTGGAGTGAGGGAGTCATGCTGCTTCCACCCCCACCCTCACGCCCACACCACCACCATCAAGAGCTAACAGGAGAGGGCTGGGAGCAGATGCCCACTCCTCTCACCTGGTGGCTGTCAGCCTCACAAGGACCTGGCTCAGGAGGAAGGAGCAGCTAAACTCAAACTCTAGCAGGAAGGTCACCTAGGGGCAAGGGACATGGGGACATGGTAGGTTTCTCTTCATGGGACAACTAGAGAGGAATGTAGCCTCTGTGAGCCTCCTTCCCTAAACTCCCAGGCCCCGCAGATTCCAGCCCCTGATCTCTCAAAGCCCCCTTCTCATCCTGGGCCCCGACTCACCTTGGCTCCCATCTGGAAGACAGGATGCCCCACGCTGCAGAGCCGGGCATGCGGGGAGGGGGCTGCACACTCCACCTTCACTGGGCTGTTGCTCTGAGAACAGAGGAAGCAGGCTGTGCTGGGGCTGCGACTGCCCTCTTGCCTGTGGCCTCTAAACACAGCCTTTCCCAGAGGCCCTCAGAGCCAGCACTCCAATTGGCTTCCTCCTTCCCCGATTCCCCTGAACTCCCTTCCCCAAGGGCACCTGAGGAGTGAAGCTGGACAGGTGGAGGTTTCTGGAGAAGCCCAGACTCAGGCTAGTGTTGTAGGCATTCTCCTTCTTGTTCTCCAGAGTTGCTGACACCAGCACTTTCCGCCGGCCGCCTCGAACCACGAACGGGTCCTTCCTAGGAGTGGTGGATAAAGGACAGCCCAGAGTTGAAGGAGAGCCAGAAGCCTCACTTCTGTTTTCCTGGGCAAGAAACAGCCCTCCATCTCCCTTGAAGTCCCTTCAGGTCTGTCCCAAGTCAGCCCGGTTTGGCCCGTTCATGTCCATCCCACCTGGAGCCTCCGATGTCCATATTAGCTTGAAGTACCAAATCTGTGACACATTCATTGTCAGGGCCACAGTCCTTGGAGAAGGGGACCTAGAGGAGAGGGGGGGGCTGAGGACTGAGAGGAAGGCAAGGGAGAAAGGAATGGGATTGGAGGACTCGTGAAAAGAGAAGAGTGGGTGCCTAGGTCAGATTCCACTGTGATCTCACGTCTGCCCCCACCCTTTCTCCTGAATTCACTGAGAAGCGCAATGTGGCGACGCAAGGGCGGGGACGGACAGGGCTTGGCACTGCTGACCAGCTTTCGGATGGAGGTGGGTGAGCCCTCATCCAGCACGGGCCCTGGCTTTGTGGTGTTGTCCAAAGCAAAGGTCACAGTCAAGGACACTGGCCGGAGGTAATCTGAAGTATCCTGAGAGAAACCAGAGTGAAGGATCATGGGGAACCAGGGTAAGGGAGACGACCCAGGAATCTTGGTAGAATGTGGCAATTACACTGATCATTTACTGAGCACTTCCTGTGTGCTAGGTACTGTCCTAAGGTTTTATCAATACTATTACATTTAATTCTAAGACAACTCCTATAACATTGTTATTAATCTCCCCTTTTCAGGCAAAGAAACTAAGGTTTGCAGGTGATGTGACTTGCCAGAATGCACAGGTGCTAAATGGCAGAGCAGGATTCAAACCCAGATCAGCCTGCCTCCAAAGTCTGAACTCTCTCACTTTTCCCACTTCGGCTTTCTTGCCGATCCAACAGAATCTTCTTCTCTGATGCAGCCTTCCTCTCGCTCCCAGGCCCTGATGCCAAGCAGTTCCTGCCCCCTCCTCACCAGCACGTGGAAGTGCAGTTGCTCACAAGTTATGTTCCCCACACTGAGCCGGAGCCGCCGAGGGGACAGCCTCTGGCCAGAGCCATCAAATGCTGCCCGGGCTGCAGTTGTCCACTCGTCCAGCGATGCTGTGAACCGCACATCTGAATGGGGTGGGCAAGAGTGCTGGTGGAGAGGGGTCCTGAGACTAAGGCAGGGAGGGGTTGGACTGCTGCCCAGGGCGCACCCTAGTCACTCACAGAATCGGCGATCCCAGCGGCCGGGAGTGCGGGAGGTCACTTGGAAGCAAAGGGCTGCGGACAGGCAGGTTGCCTCCTGGCCTCGCCGCTTACAGTCCCTCTGAACCACGCTGATGGCCGGCGGGGTCACATCTAGTGAAGGGGCCAGGCGGACAATGGGCCGGGAGCTGGAAACAGGGTGGGAAAGAAAGTCTAGCCACGGGAGGAAAGCCCTTAGAGAAAGGCGATCCCCAGTATTTGCCTCCCTGAGATCAAAGGAAAGAATAAGGAGCTGGGCTGACACATGAGTCACCCTCTCCTGAACCTTTGGACAGAAGTAAGCTAATAGCTGATATTCAATAAGCACTTGCCATGTGCTCTAGGCACGGTGTTTAGATCTTTGTACGGATTATCATATTTAATCCTCACCACAAGCCTATAAGGCAGGTATAGTTATTATTCCCATTTTATAAACTAGGAGAATGGAAGCACAGAGTAAGTTGATCAAGAAGCCAGATGTAAGTCTGTAACTCCAAAGCCCTTGCTTTTAACAGCTGTGCCATGTTGTCCACTGCTGCCTGAGCTGGGACTGCTCACCTGAGCAGGATGGCTGCCCCTTGGGCACCCACGGCCACATCGACCAGGTCATCACCATCTAGATCCAGCCGGCCATCCACACTTCGGCCAAAGTAGCTGAGGGCCTGCGGCATGGAGACAGCGGCAATCCGCTGAGAGGGAGAGAGGAGAGACTGAGCAGGGACTCACACACCTGGTTTCTGAGGCCTCCCATCTGGCTTTTTCTAATTCTCCCCTCAAGCATGAGGCTGCTGCTACTGCTGCTAAGTCACTTCAGTCATGTCCGACTCTGTGCGACCCCATAGACGGCAGCCCACCAGGCTCCCCCGTCCCTGGGATTCTCCAGGCAAGAACACTGGAGTAGGTTGCCATTTCCTTCTCCAATGCATGAAAGTGAAAAGTGAAAGTGAAGTCGCTCAGTCGTGTCCGACTCCCAGTGACCCCATGGACTGCAGCCTACCAGGCTCCTCCATCCATGGGGTTTTCCAGGCAAGAGTACTGGAGTGGGTTGCCATTGCCTTCACCACAAGCATGAGGAGGAAGGAGAAAAACCTGTGTGTGTTCAGGAGTCCCTAGCACAGCAAATGTTTCCTGCCCCCATCGCCTCACCTCTTTGACTACTGATTAAAAAAAAAAACAAAGGCACTTGTTGGACTTCCCAGGTGCATAAGACTCCACCTGCCAATGCAGGGGACATGGGTTCAATCCCTAGTCCGGGAAGATTCCACATGCTGCAGAGCAACTGACCCCATGTGCCACAACTACTGAGCCTGCGCTCTAGAGCCCGAGGGTCACAACTACTGAGCCCTCGTGCTGCAACTACTGAAGCCTGCACTCTCGGACCTGCGAGCCACAGCTACTGAAGCCTGAGAGCCTAGAGCCCGTGCTCCACAACAAGAGAAGCCACCGCGGTCAGAAGGCCGAGCACCTAAACAAAGAGTAGCCTCCACTCACCACAACTAGAAAAAGCCCTTACAAAAGCAACAGACTCAGCCCAGCCAAAAATAAATAAATAAAAATAAACAATACAAAAAAGGCACTTGTTCATCTTGGGTCTCAAGCCCAGGGGAACAATGATAAGAAAAGAGTGTGTACCCCCTTCCCCCCACCCTGCCCCTGCTTCACTGGGGCTTTTCTGACCTGTGCAGGATGCGGCCGGACTCCTCTCTGGGCCCCGTGATAGAGGTACAGGGCTCCATGGTGCCCATCCTCCAGGGGCGCCCCCACAGCCACATCAGCAAAACCATCTTGGTTCAAATCAGGAAGAGCACTCATGGCAAAGCCAAACCGAGCATCCTGGGGGATTTCTGGCTGAAGTGTTCTCTGGAGTGTCAGCAAGGATGGCTGGTGGCGGTGAGAAGGCCGAAGGTGCTGATCAGAGTCCCGACTTGTCAGCCAGCCCTCAAATGTGTGTGCCTCCCCTCCCCCCTCTGCCCCCTAAAGACAAGTTCTAGGGCATCTCAGCAAGGCTCACCTGGCCCACCAGATACACATAAACGCGTCCTGTCTCCTTGTTCTGGGGCCCCAGGAACATGGGAGCAGCCACAAGTAAGACATCAGTTGTTCCATCCCCGTCGATGTCCAATGGGCAGAGTTCGCTGCCGAAGTACGAGCCAATCTGGAGAGTGGTGGGCAGTGGTGATCCCAGGGGAAAGGGAAGGCAAGATTATGGACAAGTGGGAAGCGCCTGCTGATCTGGCCCTCACATCCCTGACAACCAGAATTCATCACACATTTCTAAGGCCCCTCTCTTGCCCCTTCACCAGCTTCCCACAGCCTGGCATCCCTCCCCCAGCAGCCTGGAGTCCCTGGGGACCCAACCTTGGATGCCCTACCTGCTCCCCCTGGAGGCTCTGGGCGACCCTCACAGCCCCATCTTTCTTAAGTTGGAAGGCGATGACCTTTCCTCGATGCCTAAACCGAGGAGCCCCTGAGAGAAAGAGGCGGCGACCACCCCGCAAAAACATGGAGGAAACAGAGTAACCTAGAAGTGGACAAGGAATCAGGGGTGAAGGGAAAGAAAATGGGGTCAGAGTAGGAGGGTTCCCTAAAGGCACAGAAGGGGGTCCCAAGGAAAGTAGCAGATCAGTGAGAAACTGCATGAGTTAGCAGTGAGTACCTGATAGCCCCCATTGGGGAAGCATTTTCCGCCACACTCTAGTCCTTTGCAGCTCTCTGCTACTCACCCAGGTAGGCGGCATGGTTCTGCAATGCAGGGGGGAATTCATCTTCCAGGGCTGTCCGTGGTGGGAAGAGGCGGCGACCTTCTTCAAGCCATAACACTGAGCCCCCCCAGTCATAAGCCCCCACCATTCCAAAGAGAATCCCATCCTGTAGGGCAGAACCAGATGGGGTCATTGAAAAGACAGTGGGGAATAAGAAGAAAAAACTCTCCAGGAGTGAGAGGGTCACTGAGGGCAGACTGGGGTTGGTTGGAAAGGCATGGGAAGGTCAGCATGGACGTTAGTTAAAGGGGCAGTGTAGAAGAGCACTGGGATTGAAGTTGTCTGAGTTAGAGGCTGGAAGGAGTTAGATGGTTGAGAGGGGTCATGGGGGTGGTCAGAGTCTGTCCAACCTTTAGCTGATGAGTAGAGAAACCAATCTGAGACATTTCCAGCCCAAAGGAGCTTTCATTTTCTCCATGGGACCCTGGAGTGTAAGAAAACATTGAGGCAATATAATGGAAGATGGTTCCCCCTTTGACCTAATAAACTTTTTCCAGGACTCCACCTATACCCCAGAACTCCCCCTGCCCTGTCCTCTTTTTCTCCAGAGTAATCATTACCCTCAAGGCCAAAAATCCGGTCCCCTAATGCATCCACAATGTCAGTCAGTGCTGCTTCATCTGTGACATTGAAGAAGAATTTCTCGTCTGGATCACTGGCAATAGCTCTGATTTCTCGCAGGAAAGAACTGGGGTCTCGCTGCCGCCGGAGGTAGTGACCAAGGACCTGGGGTCAGGAGATCAAGATGGGGTATGTTAGTTGTATGTTGTGAGTGGTCTGGGAAGTTATCAATATCCGTTTTCCTTAAGTTCCCAGTCCTCAGTGTCACCATCCCCACCCCCTCCCTTCCTTCCAGATCCAGAGTTGATTCTCACCGCAATCCCATAGCGTGTCACTCTTCCGGCCTCACAGGCCTGCAGTGCTGTGGGAAGCTCCTCTCCGTCGTGGGACTCCCCATCAGTGACAACCACCAGTAGCCTGGCAGCCTCTGGTCGGCCCCCACGGGACTGACTGAATCCTTCTGTACTGAGAAGAGAAACAAAGGAGTGAGGTGTGATCAGATGTGTGCAGATAGATACACATACCCAGTACTTAACACTGTCAGCTGTTCACTGAGGTCAGACCTTTTGCCTTTTAGCCCATTTCCCCAAATGTCTAGCATAGAGACTGGCACACAGTAATAAAAGCTCGTGTCAGGGTGTCCTATAACATACAGAGCAGCATATGATCAATGCAAATAAGTATAAAATCCATCCACTCATAGATTCATTCAGCAAATATTGTATTTAGGGGGATAAATATTAAGGGTGAGGGGGAAAAAGTGAAAGTGTTAGTCGCAACCAAATCTTTGGACCCCATGGAATATGTAGCCGGCCTTTCAGCCTCCTCTGTCCATGGAATTCTCCAAGCAAGAATACTGGAGCGGGTTGCCATTCCCTTCTCCAGGGGATCTTCCCAACCCAGGGAATGAACCCAGGTCTCCTGCATTGCAGGCAGATTCTTTACCAGCTGAGCCACCAGTATGTAGAATAAAGAATGGTCAGGTCAGGGGAGTCTTCCCAGAGATGAGTTTTGCCGAGTTAGGAAAATGGGTGAGAACATGAGCGGTGGAGAACCCAAGGGCCAACATCAAAGTGGGAGTGAAGGGGCTTCCCTGGTGGTTCAGTGATTGAGAATCCACCTGCCAATGCAAGGGACACAGGTTTGATCCCTGGTCCAGGAAGGTTCCACATGTCACAGAGCAGCTAAGCCGATAAGCCACAACTATTGAGTCTGCGCTCCAAAGCTCTTGAGCTGCAACTACTGAAGCCCAAGAGCCCTACAGTCCATGCTCCACAAGAGAAGTAACCACAGTGAGAAGCCCATGCACTGCAACGAAGAGTAGCGCCTGCTTGCTGCAACTAGAGAAAGCCTGCACGTGGCAACAAAGACCCAGAGCAGCCAAAGATCAATCAATCAATTAATAAATAAACAAATAACAAATAAATGTTTTTAAAAAAGGGGGAATGGAGGTATACAGACAGAATTCCATCTGCAGACATAAAGCAGAAACAGAGAGAGACATAGACAGACACTTTGTAGAAAGGCAATGAGGAATGCAAATGATGGGCAATTTAGACTCACCCCACCTACCATTAGCATGCAAGCAAACATAAGCAAGCAACACATGTCGGAATGTACACACTGCACTCCAAACCTTCCCCTAACCCTTCTGGCCTCCCAAACTCCCCTTCCCAGTGTCTCACCAGGCCATCATTATTGCTTGAGCAGTCTTTGTTTCTCGTCCCTCTCGCCGGCTCAGGTTCCTTGCTGCTCTCACCACTTCTTCCTTGGTTCGGAAATCTCCCAGGGACCACTCATGGACAGAGCTCTCTCCATATTGTACTAGTCCCACCTGAGAATAAAGTGTGCATGCTAACGGAGTGTGTGTAATGGGCAGGGGGCGGAAGAAGGAAGTATGTGAGGGAGGGGAGATGAGCACCTGGATACTACTGAAGAAACTGCCTACATTCATCTTCTCTCTCCCTGATTCTTCCCTCCATGCCCACCCACCCTGCCTTCTCTTACCTGTATCTGTTCCGGGTCAATAAACAATCTCCCTACCAGTCTTCGTAGGAAGGTCTGAACTTCAGACCATGGATAGATGCTGTTGGAGCCATCCAAGACAATGACGACATCCATGTATGTGGGGCAGCCTAAGAGAAGGGGTAATGGTGATGGGGAACAGAGGGGCAAAGGATATTGGGCATGGGGGTAACAAGGAAAGAAGTCACAGGAAATTGTTAGTCGTTCAATAGTGTTTGACTCTTGGTGACCCCATAGACTACAGCCCACCAGGCTTCTTTGTCCATGGGATTTCCTAGACAAGAATACTGGAATGGGTTGCCATTTCCTTTTCCAGGGGATCTTCCTGACCCAGGGATTGAACCCACATCTCCTGCAGGCAGGAGTTCTTTACCACTGGCAGGCAGATTCTTTACCACTGTGTCACAGGAGGGCACATTTAATTCAAACTATTAGGCACTTCTTACATACAGGGAAGATTACCCAGTCCTAGGTAAATATAGAACTGAATAAAAGAGAAGATGGGAATACATACAATTGACTCAAAAACAACGAAGAGGGAATTAAGCACAAGTGGAAACTTAGCACCATTTTATGTTGTGAGAGAACAATAGAGGATCAGTTCTGATGGTGGGGGATAAAAGGAGGCAGCAACTGAGAAGATACTGAAGACTGGAGATGTTTGAAGAGAACATAAGGAAAGGCATTTGGGTGGAGAACACTTTATTTTTTTTTATTTATTATTTTTTTGAGAACACTTTAAATAAAAGGAGATGGAGGTATAAAAACAGATGACATACACAAGAAAAGTGAGGTGAAGGCTATAGCCAAAGTGTAGGGTATGGAGGGATATAGTGAGAGTTGAGTTCTGAAGTTGGTTAAATCAGTTTGGACACAACTGAGTGACTGAATAAATCAGTTCATGGAGTCTTGATGCCCTGGTAAAGAGTCTGAATTCTTATCTGTTAGGAAACATGGAGCCTTCGCAGACACGTTAGGTCACAGTGAGGATAGCCATGCAGGTCCCTGGTCAAGCATCATACACTGAGGCCCCATCTTTTTCCCACCCTGCACCCCCTATTCTGGGGACTTGGGCCCTTCTCCTGGCTCACGTTGTGCGGTGGGTGCTAGGCTTCCCTGGGGCCGGAACGAAGCATCTACACGGGCACATATTCCAGAACTGAAGACAGATGAGCCGCAAGCACGAGACCAGAGAGGGGCACAAGCCTGGGGATTGGTGAGGGAAACAGTTACTCCTAGGCTTGTGGGGGCATCCTCAGAATATGCTCCATGTCAACGGAGGCAGTGAGACCACTCCCTGAGATTTCCCTTCTTGCTTTCTAGGGTTTTTAACTCCTTAACCTCTTCCCATAGACCAATTTCCCTTACCAGACTGCCCTTTTCTCTACCACGAACCTTTAGAGACCCTACCACCACTCTTTCCTTAGCTTACCATGAATCCCCCATTGCCATCTGTCTCTAACAGAGACATCCCCAGGTGCATGTTCACAGCAGGACGAGATGAATTTCCCAGTGGATAGTCACCTGGTTGAAGGGGAGTGGAAGAACATGAGGTCACGAGGTCACAGATGGGGTGACTGAGTTCAAGGTGATTTTGGAAGAGGATGAGAAGGGGTCAGGATCAATTCAGGAACGAGGAGTGTGTGGGATATGGAGGTGAATAAGTGAGGTGTGATATCACTCATATGTGGAATCTAATTTTTTTAACTATATAAATGAACTTGTTTACAAAGCAGAAACAGACTCACAGACTTAGAAAACACATTAATGGTTACCAAAGGGGAAATGTAGGGTGGGGGATAAATTAGGAGCTTGAGATTAACATACACACACTATTAATATAAAATAGATAACCAACAAGGACCTACTGTACAGCACAGGGAACTCGACTCAACATTCTGTAATAACCTATATCAGAAAAGAATCTGAAAAATGGATATATGTGTATGCATAACTGAACCATTTTGCTGTACACTTGAAAATAACACAACATTGTAAATTAACTATAATCCAAAAAAAATTTTTTTAAAAGAAGTGAGATGTAAGGGATCAAAGTCACTAGTATATTAAGGTTAGGGGTTAGAAGAGTGAGGAATCTTCTTACCCAAGTGGCCCTTGGCACAGGGGGCACTGTGGGAGCCCCCTACAAGGCAGCGATAAACGTCCCCCCTTCGGTCACCTGAAGGCCCATCCCAGGGGGCACCCACCAGCATCCTGGGGGGAGGAATGAATACAAGCACAGTGTGAATATGACACTTAAGATAGGCCAGAGGGAAAGGGCGTGGTGACGGCAAGTCTAGAGCCCCAGTCATTTCCAAAGAACCAGGTTAGTTTCTATTTCCATCCACCTTGCCTCCCCTTTCACAGCTCTACTCCAGTCCCAACCCCTTGGCCCCCTGATTTGCTCCTCACCATCGTCGTCCACCCCCAACATGTTGTAAGACACTGTATCCAAATTCAGTCTCCGGTGGGCCTAGAAATAGGCGTGGGCGATGCACATCCAGGTTAAAGGGGGAGCAGAGACCTGGGGGGTGGGGGTGGGGGGGGCAGGATCATAAGGTTAGCAGGAACCAGTCAGAAAGGCTAATGAGTGCACAGAGGAAAAGGCAGAGAGAAGCCGCAAAGGGAACATACTGATCTCAGCCTAACTCCCTTCGTCTTACAAGCTGCCCTGGACTCCATCAATGTCATGCACTCAGAGCTCCAAGCAAGGATGATTTCCTTCCTGTGTTTGGGTAGAGATGTCTAAGCTGTGGCCCTCTGCCATGCTGTTGCACAGCTGTATTTCCATTCCTATCCTTGAAATCTCATTCACAGACATGCCTGGAAGAGGCAACTTCCTCTTTTCTATATCATTCCTCCTACACATCCTCCTCTCCAGGCCAAGTGAGGGTTGCCTTTCTGCAGCCCCAGAACAACTGTTCCTTCCAAATTCTACCCAAACCCAGGACCATAGAGAGAACAAGAGGAGGTTAGAGAACACTGCATGTTTGGGTCTCTTCTGGTTTCTTGACTCCCAGTATCATTGTTACTCTCTCACTCTTTCTCCAGTGTCTAGGTCTCTGGTTGATTCCAGCCCTGGAAACCTCAGTGGTAATTAACTGGGTGGAGCAACTTGCCTGCCTACACACACAGTTTGCCATCCATCCTTTCCAAGGGTCCCATCACTCCCAAAGTTTCTCACCATCTGCTTCCTAACTCATCCCCCTCCTGATGCCCCTTGCCTGCTTGCATTTCTTCCTTAACTCTCAGCCCACTCTGAAGACCCCCGCAATCATGTCCTGGCTGACTCTTCCCTCCCAACCCAAACTCGCTTAAAATCAGAGCTGGTATTTTAGGAAACAAAGATTACAGGGCACTGATGAGGAAAAATTCCAGGCCTCTTGTCCCTCCCATGCTTCTTTCCCTGAGACTTGCTCCTTCAAATAACCCTTCAGGCCACCCCACCACCACTTTCACCAATGGCTATTGCTCTGTCTCAAAACATGCTCATTTTCAGAAAGGTATTTTGTATGTGAGCCTTACTGCATCTGGGAAGCTGGCAGGGCTATACTACCAGTAACTGTAGCTCATTGGTTAGATAAACGCAGAGTTTTGACCACAATGTTAGTTATTCCTCAGGAGCCCACAGACCACCAAGGATAGGGAGAATTAGGGAGGGGTGGGGGCGGGTAACAGTAATCAGACTAGCCGCGTGGAAGTTCACATCATGTTTCTTTTTGGTCAACTCCAAGGTTTAGGACAAAGTTTTATATAATTGGACATAAATATTACACAAGGCAGTGGACAGCTTCAGCCTTTGCCAGGCAGTCATATGTGTGGGCATAAGAATGCAAACCCATGCATGCATGCGCACACATGTACACACGTACACACATACACACACACACACACAACATAGAACCAGTTAACCTCACCAGCTAACTCCCAAAGAATTTTAACTGTAAAGGTCCCAAGGCCAAAAATCTGTGTATCTTCCATTCCCACCAGAAACCAAGAAGTTAACCTCCCTCACCTGTCAGGAACATCAGGGGCAAGAACAGGTGAGGGATGAGGGGGAATTCCATGCCTTGATGTTCTCTGTCCGTGTGAGAAGTCCTCTCTGCCTCTGTCCCTCTCCTTCTCTGTTTTCTTTACTTTCCCTCCCATCCTGCCCCCTCCCACCAGCAGCTAAAAATAAAGTTGGAAGGAATGGGAGGAGTGATGGTGGGGAACTGTGGGGAGCCCTAGCCCAAGGAAAGGAGGAATGAGCGATTTTAGTGTATTTCTCTGCCTTGGTGCTGCCCCCTGGAGGCATCATTTCAGTTTCCAAAGAGAACCTAACTCTTGACTTTTGTCATTTCTTTTTTTTTTTTTTTACAAAGATTTGGAAATCTAAATGGAGGGTTAATTCAGCTTCTATCAAATAACACTATCAATATTTCACTGATTTTTTTTTCCACTGATTTTTAAATTTTTTTTTAAATTTTTTATTTTTTTTTTAATCAGCCGTGGATTTACATTTGCTCCCCATCCCGATCCCCCCTCCCACATCCCTCTCCGCCTGATCCCTCTGGGTCTTCCCAGTGCACCAGGTCCGAGCACTTGTCTCATGCACCCAACCTGGGCTGGTGATCTGTTTCACCCTAGATAATACACATGTTTCAATGCTGTTCTCTCGAAACATCCCACCCTCGCCTTCTCCCACAGAGTCCAAAAGACGGTTCTATACATCTGTGTCTCTTTTTCTGTTTTGCATTGTCATTTCTTTCTATTCCTTTTTTTCTGTCCTTTGTTGTTTGAAGCAATAATGCTTTCCCCGAGTTTGGAATAGAAGATAGGAGTGGGAAATAGATTCTTTTTACATCCTAACCTTACTTATCTCAATCTGGAATATGGAAAATTAAAGAGTTGATAACAGTGATACCATTTCCCCACCTACTCAAAGAGTCCTAACAAGTGAAGACACAGCCCACCCACAAACCAAGACTCACCCACTCCACTTAGTTCTGCTTGTGACTCTTAGCCTATGCTACCTATGGTATTATAGCTTTTGGAGGAAATATAAACCATAAATTGGTATGGGGTATGTTTTGTGGAACCAGTATAATTACTTTACCATTATACCCTCATCTCCTCAGCTAGGTTATAAACTTCTGCAGTTGGGACCATGGTGCCTCTTAGCTTTTATATCTCTACCACTTAGTATTATGGCCTACATACTGTAGACACTCAATAAAAGTCTGCAGGTAATGATGCCAGTGGCTAATCCCATGGAAAACCCAAACCAAAGTAACAGAAATAGGGGCCTCAGACGACCAGAACACACAGGACCAGACCAAATATCAATGAGCAAATTGATCTTTAATCTGCTAACCTGGAAGGCTTGCTCTCCATCATGGGCTTGGGCCTCAGCTATTTACACAGAATCATTGTACAATATTTACAAGATGCTAGACATAGCATCATTCTATATAGGCAAAGAAGGGGTATGGAAAGGCTAGAACAAAACCATGAAATCAAAGTGTAAGCAGAAACTTGCAGGTGTGAGTGGAAAGAAGGGGAATGGCAAATCATGAGGGAGGATAGTGAAGTAGACATGAGCGAGGAAAAGGAAGCATGAAACTACTTCTGGTGCATGTGGCAAGAGTCCACTGGGACACAAAGCCTTTAAAATTATGATCTGGAGTCTGGAGGCAAAAATAACTGCCACAAGTCACTTTTGTGAGGAAAAGGAAGAAGGCAATTAGAACCTTACAGACCATAACTTCTACTTCCCATACCAAAAAGTAATTCTGCTGATTAAATTCCTATGACAGGGGGCTGAGAAGGTACAAAAGGGATACAGAGACAGAATCTTAAACAGATTTAAGAGACAGTATAAAGAGTCAGGGGAGACACAGACAATGCAATGAAGGAGGAAAAGAGCAAAAGCTCCAACAGATCTGAACATGTGAGTCATCCAGTTGATTTCACAAATCACCTTTCCTCATCCCATCTTCCCCAAAGCTCCTTCCTTTTATTCTCAACTCTCTGGGTTTTAACTTTAACCAAGGAGTGGAGTTAGAATGAGGCTGGGACACAGGGACGATCTATAAAATTCCATCTCACCAATTCAGGTCCCCTCCTTATCCTGTACCAGCATATCAGGGCTTGAGTCGTAGCCAAGGGCAGATTAGGGTGAGAATAGACAGGATGGAGGACATGAGGCCACAAAGCCCCACAATCCCAGGGCCGCAGCGCCAGAGGCCTAATTTGTCCAGTGGGATGAAGAGATCACAGGCATTTCTGACCATATCCAGCAGGAGAGGGGGATGACCCCGAAGGACCCGAGCCAGCAGCAGGACCCGGAGCCGAAGCTTCAGAGCCACCTGGGGCAGACCTCCTCCTGGAGCCCCTGGACCCCCAGGTCCTCCAGTTTCAATTCCTCCTAGGACTCCTCCAGAACCCTTTAGTCGCCGACTACAAGCTGAAGACTCTTGTTCCATCAGTAGGCGGATCTCATAAGCATCACGGCTCAAATTCATGATGAGGGAAAACAGATAGTACCTGGGATACACAGAGAAGAAGGGTCAGGACAGGTACATATACCCACCTAGCAAATCCAACAGAACACTTAAACTTTTTTCCCTCATAGTGCAAACAGATTATACATTAGAATATCAGAAGTGAATGTTATCACTCACTATTAGAAACATCCTTCCACCTTTCTGTAACTAATGTGTTTATGTATGTGTACCTTAAGATCCTGGTTTAAAAGTAATGAGGATCATGAAACAGTCCAAGATTAACCTCGAATTTCACTTTTCCACTTGGCAACTCATTAGCACACATGCATTCAACCTGAACTACAATAATGCAACTTTAAAAAAAAAAAACAGCTTCAGTTGTTTCAAAGATTCACACACATAATTTAAATACAATCTTTTTGTTAAAAGGGGGAAAAAAAAGAAGCCAAGCTTGCCAAATGTGATAGATTGTAAATTCCTTAAGAACAGCCTACATTAAAAAAAGTTTTTTAAATCCATTCTGAAAACAGTGGTCTGTATTCAGTTTAACTGTCCTACCTCTAATATATACCCTGAATCCAATCACATCTATCTATTATACTTAGACCATAGTCTAAGCCAGGGGTGCCCAATCCCTGGAACTGGGCAGTACAGCAGGAGGTAAGTCAGCGAAGCTTCATCTATATTTACAGCCTCTCCCTATTCTTACACCCCCTTGGTCTGTGGAAAAATTTTCCACAAAACTGGTTCCTGGTGCCAAGAAGGTTGGGGACCATTAGTCTAACCTACCATCATCTCTTGCTTGAACTGCTACTTTAGTCTTTTAACTGGTTTCCCCATGGTCACTCTTGCCCACCACACCTAACAATCTAATTTCATATAGCAGCTGGCATAAATGTAAATCACATTATACCCTTTCTTAAAACTCTCGATGGTTTCCTTCCTATCACATTTAGAAAATACTACAGAACTCAACAAGCAACTCTGCCTCTCTATCTTGTACTATTCTTTCCCTCAACCACTATGCTCCAACCACACTGGTTTCTTTTTATATTTTGATCCCATTCAGCTGATTCCTGCTTTAGGATCTTTACATTACCTAGTCCCTCAATCGGGAATATTCTCCCTCAAAAATCTTCACATGGCTGGCTCTTCCTTGCACTTCATGTCTGAGCTTAAATGTCACCTCTTCAGAGACATCTTCTCTAACCTCCCATTCTAAAGTAGCAAGCCATTTACCATCTTATCACTTGACCTTATTTTAATTTCCTACATAGCATTTACCACTCTCTGATGTTATTCTTATTTACTGTGTCTTTGTCCCTTCCCATTACAATGTAAGCTCCATAGGAGGAAGGATCTTGTTTGTCTTTACCACTGCATCCTTGTGTCTAGGCTTATGCCTAGCACATAGTAAGAGCTAAATAAATATTTATGGAATGAAAGAGTAGACATGACATAGAAACTCTTCCAGGGAGTTGCTTTTCCATACCATTGAAGCCATGCCTCTGCCCCTACCTCTCATATACCATAAGCCTTGTTATAATTGTAAATCACTGAGAAAGATGAAAAGCAGGACAAAAGCGGAGATGGAAAGAAGCAATATAATGTAAAATAACAAAGCGAATCATAGGGAAGCAAAAAAATATATAGGTGATATACAGAAAATTTTATTCTCAAATCATATTCCTTTCCACCTTCACTACCAGCCTGCTCTTTAATCCAAGCCAACACCATTTCATTAGAGAATCTTCTCCTCTTTAGTTCTACTGCAATCCATTTTCCACAGTACAGAAAGAGAGATCTTCTAAATGCAATTTGAATCATGTTACATCCCTTCTCAGAACCACTGGACTTGGGATACAATTTAAACAAAACTAAATGAAAAAAATCCTACCATTACCTAGACGGGCTTGCATGAATGATCTGGCCCTGGTCTACCTCTCCAGTTTGAACTTATGTCCCTGGCTTTAGTCAACCACACTGGCTTTCTTTCCACCTCTCTAATTCTAAGAAGTCTTTCTTGCTTCAAGGTCTTAGAATGAGTTATTTTCTGTTTCTTCTTTCTACTGCTTGCTTTGTATAACTTCTACTCAGACTTCAGGTCTGAAACAAAATTTAATTTTCTCAAAGGGTTCTCTTTTTCCTGACCTTTCTATCTAGATTAGCTCCCCCTGTTATAAAGCTCTAACATCCTATATATGTGCTAAGTCGCTTCAGTTGTGTCTGACTCTGACCCTATGGACTGTATCTCGCCAGGCTCCTCTGTCAATGGAATCTCCCAGGCAAGAATACTGGAGTGGGCTGTCATGCCCTCCTCCAGGGGCTAACATCCTATACTTTCCCACAAATATTCAGTTTGGTGATTATTTGTTTTAATATCGGACTCCCCTACTAAACTAGAAGCTTCATGAGAGCAGGAACCATATCTACTTAGCTCTTTGCTTTATTCCCTGGCTCACAGTAAGCAGCTACTAAGTATTTTTAGAATGAATGTGTAGACAGTGAAGGGCATAAATCTGTGGTATAGACAGAAGAAGAATTAAAGCAATATAATTAATATCTAGTCTTGCCCAGTCTTAGTCATTCATCATGGCAGAGCATCTGTCTTCCATCTGCCCCCATTCATTCTTCTCTGATGGTTTAAGATCTAAATGAAGGTTGAAGCCAAGTGATTAAGATGTGTATATTCTGGGAAGACCCTAAAAGATTGTTCTCTCATGAAAGGCAAGGTAGGCAGTATGAAGAATACGATAGACCTTGTAGGATAAAAGAATATCAAACCTGAAAGAACGCTGGGCCCACTTCTCCTGATCCACACGGGGAGCGAGTCCAGACTTCCCAGCCCATAGGACATTGTCACAGGCGAAGTACAAGGCTCTATTGAGATGACTAACAGTGATGCAGAATCTCAGGACAACGTCTGATAGGTGCACAGCTCGTTTGGCTGACTCAAGGGCATCTGCTGAGTTACCGAGGCGTAGAACTTGTGGGGAACAGCAATAGAAAGCAAGGATGTGAAAGTAGAAAGGAAAACAGAGCAAGATACAGAGAAAGAGAGAAAGCAAGAGAGTGAAAGTCAGGCAAGTGATAGAAACAATAATAAACAATTTTTTAAAAAACAGCAGAAAATGCAATCTTTTTTAGTTCAAATTTTTTATTAATTTGTGTCCCAGTTTAGCTTTCTCAAATCTGCCTCATTCTCTCCAATTCTTCACTGACCTTATCCCTGCTCTCTTATCTCAGCTGGGAGGCCTGCACAGGATAAGTACAGAGGCAAACCATAATGAATTGGCACTGGTCAAAAATAGGAAGGAGGGACTACGGAATAATGGCTGGGGATGGAGGAAGTGTTGGAGTAATAAAAGGAAAGGCCTAGTTACTTACGCTTTCTTCCTAGGCTCAGATGACCTTCCAGTTGTCGAATCTGTTTCTGTAACTCAGGACTGGCCCCATGTTTCTGCAGTGCATGGCCAAGAAGGGAGCAAGCATATTGGGCAGCCCTGGAGGAGAGAGAGGTAAGGTAAGGTGGAGACTTCCTTTATCTCCCCCTCAAAAATGTCCTCCAAAAGGGAACCATGGATCACCCCTTTCCCAGTTTGAGACCATTCCCCTTCCTCCTCTTCAGACCTATATCTTAGTTTCTTCCCCAGGCCAAGGGAAGAGAAAGGCATTGAGGATAAAAAGGAGCCTAGTAGGGGCTGGGAAACACTACTTCCAATTGAGGAAATAAGAGATTTAACAATGATGCAGCCTGAAGAGGACAGTGAAGAAGGCAGGAGGACCATCGCAAAATCACAAGCACCTCAGTGTGAGTGTGTAATGTTCTGTGAGGGGGCGGGAGATGGCTGAAGAACAGGTCAGTCTTCAAAATAGGTGAACTAAGAGATCTTCAAGGCCCTTGAGATGAATGAAGACTAGACGGCAGGGCAGAGGTGGAGGAACTAGTGGGTGACAGTAGGGTAAAGGCAACGGGAACTCAGGAGTGCCTCCTTAGCTCTGGGGACAGAGTCCACCCAGATCGCTATCTGTCACGGGGAGAACGCTCCTCGTCCCACCGTCGCCCAGGGAGGAAAGTGTTGGTCTTATGTGAACACACAACCCTGAGCCGCCTCCCCGCTGGCCCACTCGTGCCTCAGTTTCCCCATCTTTCTCACGAGCAGGAACGAACCAAGGCCTCGCGGCCGGCTCAAATCAGCCCTTCGCGGTCCGTCCGGTCCCCCGTAGCCTAAGTTGACCCTTTTTGACCCCCGTAGTGCAAACTGACCTCGCCTCACGAGGCTCTTCCTCTGCCCGCCCTCCTGCCCCCCTTTCCTATTCGGGCCGCACCTACACAGTCGCTCCCGGGCCTGGCTCTGGGCGCTGAAGCGGACCCAGGCGTCCATGACAGCGGCGGCACCCGTTCTGCAGCTCCGCTCCCGCCCCACTTCCCGCCCCTAGTCACGCCTCCCGGACGACCCAACGGTGCCGCGCGAGGGACAAACATCATCATAATATAAAGCGAGTGGAGCCGGCCCCTGAAACGGAATTTCAGAACGAGAAGCACTTGTCTCTGGGCATATGTCTGTATGGTTTGTGTGTTTGGCGCGCGGAGGGGGGGCGGGGGGGGGTCGAGGGGGCAATTTGGGGAGGTGGAGGGGTGTGTGTGTGTGTGCGCGTGGTCTCCGTCGTCTCATTCTCTTATCTGAAGATCTCTATTTCCTGAGCAAGCTTCCAGAGGCACAGTCTTCTTTAAATATTCTGGACCAAGGGTGAGGTTTGCAGGAGTCGGAGCAGAGCGAGAAGGCGCCGCAGTGCTCTCTCCAGGACCACTAGGATGGGGTTGCCCCTGACGCAGGAGTGCTTACAGCTGAACACTCGCAACACACACACACACACACACACACACACACTCACTCACACACACACACACACACTCACTCACACACACACACACACACACACACACACACACACACACACACACTCATTCTCACGCTCCTATCGAATTCAGGGCTCCAGGGGGCTAAAAGAGTCTTTGGAAGTAGAAGCCAGCACCAGATTCCTAGTCCCTGCAAGCCCCTGACAGTTGGCCAGGTGACCTCCAGATTACAGACGGAGTCTCCACAGGTGGAGGCTTTAGTGGACGAAATTCGCAAAATAACCATCTCAGATCCTGAGGAGAGAGAAGGAACTGGACGCAGTTCACCTCTTCAGACCCACACTTCATCGCCCCACCCCTTTTCTTTCCAGGTCACCATGTCTGCAGGCAACGTCACCCCTTGGGGGTCATCAGCGGCGGGGGAGGAGGTCTGGGTATTATCAGGAGTAGAGGTGGAGGGCGCAGAGCTGCCCACCTTCTCAGTTGCCGCGAAGGTGCGAGTGGGAGTGACTGTCGTGCTATTTGTTTCTTCGGCTGGAGGGAACCTGGCCGTGCTGTGGTCATTGACACGACCGCAACCCAACCAGCTCCGTCCCTCTCCGGTACGACGACTGTTTGCCCATTTAGACGTTGCCAACTTACTGGTCATTTTGTGGTTATGCCTCTAGATGCGACCTGGAATATCACTGTTCAATGGCTGGCCGGAGACATTGCATGTCGGACACTCGTTCCTGAAACTAGTGGCCATGTATGCCGCAGCTTTCCTGCCTGTGGTCACTGGGCTCGACCGCCAGGCAGCTGTACTCCACCCGTTTGGTCCGCGCTCGGCTGGAAGGAAGCTGCTTGGGGTAGCCTGGGGACTCAGCCTCCTGCTCGCCTCACCCCAGGTGAGTGACTTGGGACTCAGGGCTAGACTGAACAAGAATTTGAGTACACATGAGCCTTCGGATTCAAGCGGTGTGCTTGGCCATGGTCAAAATTAACCCTCAGGGTTGGGTGGGAGCCTCTGCTCTTTTTCAAGTTAAGATCATTGCATGTTAATTTGTATTTCTGTTGAGTCTTTTTTACTGCACTTGTCTTCCATCTCTTTGCATCATCCTAGTCCCACCTTCTTCAGATTATTGCAGGAAAGCTTCAGAGCATGGAGTTTCCTCCATGGGAAGATATTAAGAAGACAGTGACAAGAAAACTTAAAAAAAAAACAAAAACAAAACTGAAATCTGGGACTTTGGGTAAAACTTTGTGATACCTTCACTCATTAAAAAAAAAAAATGCAGTTCCCCCAGGTGCATTAAATGCTCTGTCAAGGATAGAGCAACAAAGTCCTGCCTTCAAGAAAGTTATAGATGAGTGCAGAGTCAAATAAGTAGGCAATTACAATATAATGTCAAGTGTTATGCTAAAGCTAAGCATAACAGCTAAGGAACAATGGGGGTTGTCTGGCCCACTTTTGGTCATTCAGGGAAAGCTTCCTGACTTCCCAGAGATAACAAAATTTCATTCTTGAAAGATAGGTGTTAAAACAAAGCAGGAGGAATGCTGGAGAAGGTGGAGGGTAGAAAAGTAATCTCAAAAGTAATCACAGTTAAAGTTGAGGGCTAGAAAATGGCAAGTAATGAGCCTGGAGGGGAAGGAAGAACCAATTTCACAAATATTAAGCTTGTACTTTATCCTAAGGGCAGTGGGGAAACACTAAAGTAAAAAAGGTAGAGAGTGACATAATCAGATTTGTATTTTTTACTCTAGCTTTATTGTGTCAAAACTGAAACAAAAGGGTGCATCTGAACTTGAGTACCAATTAATTAAATCTCAGTAGTGAAAACAAACTATAAATCTAGAAGAAAAAAAAGGCTAAATATGGAGCAATTCCTTCAAAACAAAAACAAAACCACTAACACAATCTGGGAGAAAGGAGTAAAGCAGCATCTCTGAGCCTACGGTTGGGATTATGTCAGGGAGAGGGGTAAAATTTCAGTCTCAGGAATAATGCATTGTAGTCACATTTAAGATTGAATTCCCAAATCCTCAAATATTAGAAATGTAACTACCAAAAGTTAGTCTGACTGCAGTTCTAAGACAAACAAAACATACTACTTCCAACAGTATGTTGTAAACAAGACCCCTTTGCCTGTTGCCTCAGTGCAAAGAAATTGAGTTTATATGAAATGAATTTTAGAAGTGGACTGGGAACTAGAATTAGGATTGTTTTTGTTTGTATTAATTTGCTCTGTTTTTTTCTGAGTCTAGGCTCTACCATTAACTAGCTGGATAACTGGCTAAAACACTTGAAATGCATAGACCACAAGATTATGAAATAGATGAATTTCATCCTTCCTTGTAGCCTGACAATCCAACAATGCAATTTCTACTTGCTTCAATAGCAAACTGATGGTAACATGATTCAGGTGCAAAAGATGTTATTTTGGGTTCCAAATTATCAACCTCTTGTATAAATTCTGCAATGCCCATATGTTGCATTTAAAATATGTCAATAAAAAATTGTTAGCATGGTCAAAGGAATATTGGTGTAGTTAGAAATTATTTTCGTAGACTCATTTCCAAGTATCAGAAGTAAAGGTTTCTATAGTAGGTGGTAAAATATAAAATGCATATAAAATAGTCAGAGGCTGGACTAAAATATAAGTGCCCAAGCCTTGCCTATTTTTAAACCTTCTCACAAGTCAGATGTTTCTAGGCATAGTGCCAAGCCATGCACAAACACCACCCTCACCGCAGCGCCCCCCCCGCCCCCCCCACCCCCACCACCAAAAGAAAAAAAAAAAAAAAAACCCAGCCAGGAATATATGGACTCAAGACAGGGTTAAAGGAAAGACCACTCCCCTACTAGAATAGCCTGGTCATAACGCCAAGCAGTTCATAAAATCATATGTCTGCGACTAATACTATTCACTTTTCCTAAAAGTCCCTCTGCCAGCTGAAATTCGTTTCTGAAAGGCCTCATATCTAAGAATTTGATACCTACTAAGCCTGCCTTTTATCAAACTGACTAAATTTACCTTACCTGAACCAAGGTACACACCCTGAAGCTCTCAATTGAAAAATGCTCTTTACTGATTCAAACTAAAAACCAGTTTACCAAAAAAAGGAGGGGCAGCCAACAGCATTTGGAAAATGTTAAATTTTATTAATGTTATTTCACCATTATAGTTATTGTACATAGGACTATTACTAAAGTCACTTTAGAGAGTGACTGCAAAATAGCCTGCAACTCTAGCACCTCCCATTTTATACAAGATTTCTTTTTTCCACAGAATTAATCAGACACATCAGGAAAATTATTTCAGCTAAAAACGGTGAGGGGAAAAACATGTTGTTGAGGTGGTAGGGATATCCTCTTGTAAAATGGTAGATATAGATAGTACTCAAAAGACAGGATTCTTTAAGTTCTGGATTTAATAAGCATAGCCTAAGAGGAAAATAGGGATTTTCAAGATACATTTCTGACCTTTTAAATATGGCACCATGGATGTACCATTACTCAGCACTGCAGGGAATTAAAAATGGATTGAGATTATGTGCTGTTTTAGCTCCCAAATTTCATAACAATCACACACACAAAAAAGAATGAATTAATCGGGAGGAGACAGTGTTGAATTGGTAGGTAGCTTGGCAGGGGAGAAGGAAGGGAGACCAGTTCTAATAGTCCTTGACTCCAATCGAGCTGTTCCTGTTCCATACCGTCCGACGCGCTGGTCCAGTTCCCTTCACTCAGTGTCACCAAAGGCAGCTTCAAGGCTCGATGGCAAGAGACCATCTATAACCTCTTCACCTTCTGCTTCCTCTTTCTGCTGCCACTGACTGCAATGACCATCTGCTATAGCCGAATTGTCTGCAGTGTGTCCACTCCTCAGACAAGGAAGGGGAACCATGGTGAGACTCCAACCCCCAGGCCCTAACCCATACCCTAAAACTATTGTCTAGCCTCATTAATATGATAGCTATCTATCAAACCAAGGGGCTTGCCCAGTGGCTCAGTGGTAAATAATCTGCCTGCATTGTAGGACATTCGAGTTCAATCCCTGGGTTGGAAAGATCCCCTGGAGAAGGAAATGGCAGCCCATTCCAGTATTCTTGACGGGGAAATCCTATGGACAGAGGAGCCTGGTGGGTTATAGCCTGTGGGGTCACAAAAGAATCGGATACAACTTAGCAACTAACAACAAACTGTATCTCTAGCAGCTAATGCCACACTAATTTCATTGAATGCCTTCAATTCTAACCAGCTACTAGCCATCATTCTCTGAAGTTGAGCTAACTAGGCAAGAATTAAGAAGGGTGATCAGTACTCTCCTCTACTCCTGGACACCAACAAGACTTCAAACAGACTTTGTAGCTTTATGTACCACAGCACCTCAATTGAAACCTTTTTTCCAGCACATCTGTCATAATCCCTGATGGGAAGGGAGCATATAGTCCCAGACTGGGAAGGGGAGGAGGGCTTGCAGCAGTCTCTTATAGAGGGAAGAGCTCTATCTCACAATTTTTGCCTATCAATTTAGAAGCTGAGTGGTTCTGAATTTGAGTGTATTTTCTAAATTCCCAGCCCCTGCAGGTGAATTTGCCCTCCGCCGCTCCTCAGACAATCACTCCCGTGCTCGTCATCGGGCCCTACGACTGGCCCTACTTGTCCTGCTGACTTTCATCTTCTGCTGGATACCTTATTACCTTCTGGGTCTTTGGTACTGGTTCTCTCCCACCATGCTAACTGAAGTGCCTCCTAGGCTCAGCCACATCCTTTTCCTCTTTGGCCTTCTCAATGCTCCTCTGGATCCTCTCCTCTATGGGGCCTTCACCTTTAGCTGCCGAAGAGGGCATCAAGAACATAGTATAGACTCCTCCAGGGAAGGAGGTTCTGGAAGAGTGCCCCAACAGGAGATTCAAGCTTTTAGACAGATGGAAGTACAAACAAATTTGGCAGTAAGAAAGGCAGGAGAGAAAAAAAGAGACATTTCTGTGATACTGTTTGCTCAGGACAGCCTATATAGGAACAGAAGGATTATTCCTTACTGTCATGAGAACATCTTACTTCTACCCCTGCTCTCTTAGCTTCAAAGAAAAAGAAATACTGAGCAGTGTCTCTACTTGACCCTAGCTGACACTGGAGACTGTATCTAACTAGAAACTCACACAGAATTCAGTCCCTGGGAGAAATATCTCACAGTGACCCATACTGCCTCACTGTAAATAGTACTCCAGAACTTACAATATTAGAAAAGGAAACTAATTTTAGAAAACAAAAATTGGACATTTATTCATAATTCAAAAGAAACACTAAACAGGGTAAGAGGTTAAATATAAACACAGTGAGTTCCACCCCAGCCCTATTTCTCAAAGGTTTCACCATTTGCATGGTCAGATGGAATCTCTGCAGAGAACACCTGAACAACAGAGGATGGATCAGCGACGTCTCCGATCTGGACTCCTGCTGCGTCTTCGGCCACCTCTAGAAAGGAAAAGGGGCAGAGTCCATGAGAGGAACATAATACTATGTCCTTATTCTGTTTTGCTCATATTCCTTCCACTAAGATAATGTTTTGCCCTCTGCACTTTACCTCCTCTTGCCCTTGGGTGGACCCCGAACAAAACACCAGTCCACACTGATTGGCTGTCCCATCAAATCCTGGCCATTGAGTCCCTCCATAGCAGCCTGGGCCTCCTTGTATGTTTCATACTCAACTAGAGTATACCCCTGGAACAAGAAAAAGACAGATTATCAAAGTTCCATCAAGCTTTTTTCTACTCAACTAGAAAAATCTATCAACCTTAAACAACAAATGCACATCACATCCCTATTATATATACAACCTGTCTGTTTCTTCCTCTTTGCTGTGTCTAACAGTTCCCAATCTCATTTTATTTCAAGTCTTGGTCAACCACAGCCAACGTGGGAGAACCACCAATGCTTTCTAAGGGTTATGATGAAGAGAAGCAATAGTGTGTGGCTCAGGATACCTTTAGATATCCTGTACGTCTGTCCAGATTGAGGTGGATATTTTTTATTTCTCCATACTCTGCAAATTTATCATGGATGTCTTCTTCCGTGGCTTCCTCATGGACTCCAGTGACAAAGAGAATCCAACCTTCAACAGCTGTAGGGGAAGGGAGGAAAGTTGTCTAAGCGCAAGAAACACTTAAGCAAGATCACAGAAGTAGTGTGTGTGCAGGCTCCACAGAGATCGGTTAAGCGACCTCTGACTCCATTCCTACTGGATTTTATTTCATTGGTCCCTAATTCTCTACAAACAGATCCCTACAGGTTCCATTTACTTACAGCGTTGTGGTCCGGGTTCATCGCCGTCCTGCTCCACGCTGTCATAATCCTCACGCATCCGCGCTCGAGACCCCTCTTCTATTAGAAACACACAGCAGATCACCGGAAATCCCCCTTCACCCACTGTTCACCGTAGGTCTGAATGGGGATTCTAAAACTCGTAGCTCTCTCCATTCGACCCCATTCCACCCACAAACACTCACCGGAGCCAAAGCCACGGCCCTTCCGTTTCTTCGCTTTTTCTTTCAGTTTGTGGATGCTCTCTGGAGCCCCAGAAGAGAAGGGATAAGTGAAAAAGGTAACAGTTGTTTACAACAATATTCTCTCTGCAAGACATTTGAAAGCAAACCCCACCACCTCCAGGCTGTCCCTTCCCGGCCCGCCCCTCTTCCTCCCAAAGGGGGCGGAGTCTCCAACCAACCGAACCCGGTTCCCCGGATCGCATCGGAGTCTCCAACCAACCGAACCCGGTTCCCCGGATCGCATCCTCCCCACTGGGGAGAAAGATTATATTTTCTTAAAACATCCTTCTCTCGCACCTTCCCCGCTTCCCGCAGCCGCCTCCACTGTCCTCACCGTCCCCATCCTCATCCATGGCGAAATCCTCGCCCCCGGCCTCATGAAGATCAAGTACGTCCGCCATCTTGCCTTCGCTCCAACTCTCGCCCGTGCCGCTCAGGCACTTGGCTCCTCGGGCAACTGTCGCGGAGGGAAAAGGTCATCAATCAAGTTGACCAATTAAAAACTAACACTAGGTCCCGCCCTCTGCGCGGTAAAAATACGCAATGGAGGCGGGCCTAGTTTGGGAAGATACCGGAAGTGTTTCTGTAGCCATCTTGAGCGGGTCAAGAGCTGAGCGCGGCAACAGTGTGCGGCGAGGTAGGGAGTGGGCGGGCCTAGTGAGTTCCTCTTAACCAGAGCTTCAGACAAGACTGAGCGCCTAACACTAAGTAACTTAACCAGAGCAGCCAACGAAAAGTAACTACTGACTGAAAAGTGAAAGTGTCAGTCGCTAAGTCGGGTCAGTTCTTTGCGATCCTATGGGCTGTAGCCCGCCAGGTTCCTCTGTCCGTGGAGCTCTCCAGGCAAGAATACTGGACGGGGTTGCCATTTCCTTGTGAAGCCCAGCCCAATTTTTAATAGCGGATTGCTTTTCGTCTCTTGTCATTCCATACCAGGAAATGGGAGCCGAAGAAAGTTTTTTCTCTAAAAACTTGCAGGCCTATACTGTTCCTTGGAGCAGCCGGATCTGTGATGGAAGCATTAAAAAAAAAAAAAGTTCAGTCAGCAATGCTACTTCAAAAAGCTGCTTCTGGAACGCACTGTAGCAGCGGCTTTCTCTCAAGAAAATCAGCCGACCTGGTTTCCCGTGAAATACTATTGATGAGACAGATATCAGCTTTTCTTTTTTTATTTAATAATGTCTTAGGAAATTCCGTGGCGGTTCCACACTTTTACTTCGGGGGCCCCGTTCAGTTCATGGTGGGGGAACTAAAATGCCGCAAACCCAGGGTCACGCACCCGCCCCCCCCCCCAAATTAATAGTCTCTTAAATTCTACCCACCGCTTCTGGGAAGTAAAAAGAAAAAGTCGTGATTTAAAATAAAACAGAGACTTTAGCTTCTTTGAGGATAGTACAGATATTTCACGTTTAAAAACCCAGGAGTTGAGGCGAAAAAGAACTTTGCTCCCACATCCGACGTAGGCCTTAAACAAACAGTAGTGGATAAGTAGTCATTTATTAAGTTTTAAATCAGTTGTGAATGCCTATATGTGTCTAATTAGAAGAGGTGCTAGCAATACAAGGGGAAATACAGTATCAACAATCACTTTATAATAACATTATGAAAGTGATCATTGCTATTACAAGGTACTACAGCAATACAAGTTTCTATTTGGAGAGTGCATTTAAGGGAGGGCTTCCACTTAAACTGTGCTTGTAAGGCTGTTTTGCTTTCCAGGCAAAACAGTTGTATTGAGACTAAGACATATTAATCCATTCTCTACAGCACATAGTATGATCTTTAAAAAAAAGTCACATCTCTACTGAAATCCCCCTAACTTATTATTTGCACTTAGAATAAAATTCAGACTCACAGCCTGCTCTGCCTATGTCTCCAGACTGTTTCACCACCATTCTTCCCTCTCACCTATTACTTTACTACACTTTTCTCAATTATGTTTACTCCCTATACTCAACTATGTTGTACACTTTCTTATCTCTGGACATTTTGTAACTTTCTGTCCCTGATGAGCTTCCTCCAGCTTTTCACATGGTTGGTTCAACCCCATCCTGTAGGTCTCCCTGAAATACTGCTGTAACCCAAAGGAGTCTTCTCTATTCTATCCTTCACTCTTATTTCCTTCACAGAACTTAAAATCAAATCTTGAATTACTTTGTTTACTTTCTAGTTTGTTTACTGTCTGTCTTTCTCATTGGCAGAGATTCTTATTTACAACTATATCCTCAAAGTTCAGACCAGTGCCTGATTCATAGTAGACAATTGCTAAATACATATCCAATGAATATCAGGAGGGCAAGAAATTTTTTATGCCTGATGCTGTCTAATTAGGAAACAAAGTTGGAAATACAGTTTAGGGTCAAACTGTATGTCATGCTCAAAATTTTTAACGTACCCTATAGGCAAGAAATTTTTCTAATTCAATATTTTAGTATTCATAATTTTTAACATTTGCAAGTAGCCACCATACTATTTTTTATTTCTCTTTTTCCTTAAATATACTGGCATTTTAAATTTACCTGCTGTGCTGTGCTTAGTTGCTTAGTTGTGTCCACCTGTTTGCAACCCCATGGACTGTAGCCTGCCAGGCTCCTCTGTCCATGGAATTCTCCAGGCAAGAGTACTGGAGTGGGTTGCCATGCCCTCCTCCAGGGGATCTTCCCAACCCAGGAATTGAACCTGGGTCTTCCACATTGCAGGTAGGATTCTTTACCATTGAGCTATCAGGGAAGCACCAAACAAATTTATACTGTTTAAATATCACTGCCATCAGTGGAGACCATATTTTTCTATTACAAATTCAGATAAAAGCATAACTAGTAAAAATGAAAAATATTTGGCCATCTACCACCTAAAATCTTGTCAGATAATGCCAAGGGTTCACATATAAAACTTTGGGAAGTGCTGCTAAAGGTAAAGATAGCTAGATGATAGTTTAAGCAAGGGAGTGGTACAGTGATAAGTATTTTAGAAATAAATCTGATAGTAATGTAGAGGATGTGAAGAATGAAGGTAGAGAGAATTAGGAAGCTGTTGCAGTGGTCCAGCCCCGAGATGCTAAAGGAATGAACGAAGACAGTAGATATGTACAAAATAGATTAGGAAGTTTATATAGGGGTAAACTCAACAGTAAGTGATTGATTAGATGATGGCAAAGAGGAATTGCAGGATCTCTTTTTTTTTTTGAAGGATCTCAAGGAGAATTGAGGTTCTAGCTTAGATTGCTGGGCAGTAATTTCAGTAATGGGAGTCAAAGAGGAGCATGTATAGAGAAATGGATTTTATTTTAGATAAGATCAAAGAGCTTGTGTCATTCAGGTGGTAATATGCAATATGTGGAAATACAGATGTAAAAGCTCAAAAGAGGTTGAGGTGGGAGGAACAGGTTTGAGAATTATGTGTTTGATAGAGTTTAAGCCACCACAGTGGGTATGACTGCTAGGGGAAAAGGGCAGAACTTGAGGAGAAAGGGTCAAGAACCAATTCAGGCTCCTCAAATATCTGGAGAAGGGGAAGCATATGCCATCTCCCAGCAATATAATCTTATTTCTTCCACCCTAAAAATACTAAGAAAAGTTCGTTTTTGAACTTTTTAAGGGAAAGGGTCATTTTAGAATTTCTCTGATACATGGGTCTCAAGAAAGAGTCAATATGGCTCACTAGACAAAAATCTATCTTTAATTGTATAAAATTATACATATAAAATACATAGAGTGTACTAAAAAGTAAAAATTTAACACCAAAAGTGGACATATCAGGGAACAATTTTTCTCAAGTTCTTTGGGATCGTACTGGTTGGTATTTGAGAAAAATAATCAAGGAGATGCAAAGACAAGTTCTTTCCATAACTCACACCCCTTCCCAGAGAAAACAGCAAAGGAGAAATGAGGGTTTGTGATTTCTGGATTATAAACATAAATAAAAACTGAATAGACACACTTATTATTTAAAAGTAAGAAGCCTCTGTTCCAGCCTTACATGTGTTCATGGAAAAGAATACAGAGATGGTGCTTGGAGAATTCAAGGAAATCCCTTTCAAGTACTAATACAACTGTTGATAGATTCCTTACCTCTGATCCCATATATACTGGTCACTAAGATGATTTCAAAAGCAAGAAAGCTGACTTTCATCTTTTCTCTATCTGATCCAAATGTGCAAATTGTAGCCTGTTTCCTAACCTATTTCTAGAAGCAAAGTGTATAATTGTTAAACGGAAAGTGTAATTGCAGGAATATTAAATTTCCCAAACTCAGTTTAGGAAGTGCACTGAGCTATAATACAGTATAAGGTGATTACAGAAATAAGAAGAAAATATATCTTAGAGAAATGTACAAAAAATTCTCCCAAAGGGGAATGCTTTAGCTATACTCCAGATCATCTTTCTCCTGTTTTACCCAGGGAAGAGGTAGGGGAAGAGAATAGTATTCATATTAAAAACATAAGTAGCTGATCATTGATTCTCTTTCCCCTCCTGGAGTTTCTCATGGTTCCCATTAGGAAGTGCCATAATGCCAAAGTATCTTCTAATTTTCCTGATCAGCTCACGCTCTAATAATCATTTTGGAGGAAGAGGAAAGAAAAGAGGAACACCAATGTTAATCTAGTTATATACATCTAAGGTCATAAACAGTAGCCACTTCATGGGAGTAGGAGGAGCATAGCCCTCACCAAATTGGACAGATGTTTCCAAAAACCAAAATGATGGGAGGAGGTTTTTAAGAAAGGGAAATATGTTTTACCTTCTACCAATCTTTGCAGCAGGAAGATCTATAGACAGGGCTTAACTGAGCTTGGTGAGCAGGGAGGAGGAGTGAAAAGAGAATATTGAAAGATAAGTAACTTCAACCCTTACCCCTTCAATAGATTCTGGTATGGTATGGTATCTATGCCCCAGAAGCAATACAGGTGATAAACCCCTGCAGGCTGTGTTTCTAATTCCTCTCTTGTTCCTGGGAAGTTTCTCAGCAATGATTTTAAAATTAAGAAACCACCAGCTCTCCACTTCCTTTCAAATAATAAAGTGAGGAAGCCTAAAATAAAGTACCGTTTGTAGGCAGAAGAGTAAGGTGGTAGTGTGGTGTGGTGTAGGTTATGAAGTAACCTAGTTACTGAGGGAACAACTTGGTACCAAGTAGGCCCAGCTCAAGATAAAACCAAAGCCAAAAAAAAAAAAAAAACCAAAGCCAAAGTTTTCATTTTCATGCTCTGTTTGGTCCAAGAGAAAGCAGGAATGAGGATAAGGGTGGGGCTCACAGTCCTTATTCAAGCTCCTTGTTATTTTAAAAGGAGACATGAACACCTAGTAAGTCATTTTGTGCTATTGAAATGACTACACAGAGTTACTGGCAGTGTAAGAGCCCACAAAGCTCTGAAGACAGCCTGCTCTTGTAAAGCAGTGTGGATATGTTTCAAAAGCAACTACATCCAAAAACTAGAAGTAAGAAAAGGGATATCTCAACAAATAGGAATCTAGGTGTAGAATTTATACATACACATATATATATATATCTATATTTTAAAGTATAAAATTGAGAAAGTATGTACAGAAATCACACTAAGTCTTAGAAAGGACATACAAAAAATGGGCCTGGAGATGATGTGAGTATGTGGGTAGATGCCTAGCAGTTGGAGGAATGCATATTGCCCAACTGCCCAGCAGCCAGCATGAGAATATCTTTCTTCTCCTTGTGGAAGCGCAGCTCCTTGCCTGCCAGCCGGGCTTCATCCAGCTCCCGCTCAGTAGAGGCCAGCTCTCTAGACAGTGCCCCTGGCACACTCTGCTCCCGGCTCACCCAGTCCAATGCCATTTGGTGGCGAATATCATCATCTAGGGCTCGGTGTGAATAATGAGCCAACACTTCCTGGAGGGGGAGAGGAATGTGAAAGTCATGGACAAAGTAAAGGTTCATTCCTCATTAACCCAACCGGGACTAGGAACGCTCAGCCTTTGAGTCCTAACCAAAGTCAGCACTGGAGTCCTCTGAGGAGAGTCTTATGGGAAAACCTCCTGGTGGGAGAAGCAAGGCAGGTAAAAGAATCACAGTTAAGATTATAGGAATGAAGTGGGCACTTTACGTAAGACTTTCAAGACTCACAACCTGGTTCAGTTCAGTCGCTCAGTCATGTCTGACTCTTTGCGACCCCATGAATCACAGCACGCCAGGCCTCCCTGTCCATCACAAACTCCCGGAGTTTACTCAAACTCATGCTCATTGAGTCGGTGATGCCATCCAGCCATCTTATCCTCTGTCGTCCCCTTCTCCTCCTGCCCCCAATCCCTCCCAGCATCAGGGTCTTTTTCAATGAGTCAACTCTTCACATCAGGTGGCCAAAGTATTGGAGTTTCAGCTTCAGCATCAGTCCTTCCAATGAATACCCAGGACTGATCTCCTTCAGGATGGACTGGTTGGATCTCCTTGCAGTCCAAGGGACTCTCAAGAGTCTTCTCCAACACCACAGTTCAAAAGCATCAATTTTTCGGCGCTCAGCTTTCTTCACAGTCCAACTCTCACATCCATACATGACCAATGGAAAAACCATAGCCTTGACCAAACGGCCCTTTGTTGGCAAAGTAATGTCTCTGCTTTTTAATATGCTATATAGGTTGGTCATAACTTTCCTTCCAAGGAGTAAGTGTCTTTTAATTTCATGGCTGCAGTCACCATCTGCAGTGATTTTGGAGCCCCCCAAAGTAAAGTCTGACACTGTTTCCACTGTCTCCCCATCTATTTCCCATGAGGTGATGGGACCAGATGCCATGATCTTAGTTTTCTGAATGTTGAGCTTTAAGCCAACTTTTTCACTCTTCTCTTTCACTTTCATCAAGAGGCTTTTTACCACAACCTGGTAGACCTGCTTATTTATAACACAACAGCCACCTCAAAAGAGCCCTTCTGCCAGACTCCCCTCATCCACAAGAACTCTTACCTGCCGAGAGCACTGTCTTTCCCTCATGGCCTTAAGGCTGCCATTCCAGTGCAGCAGTTGAAAAACTGTCATTAACTCCTGAAGGAAGAAAATATGAAGTGCCAGGAGAGTGGTATATGGAGGTTGCATAAGAATTAAATATGGGGGGGAGTACTTCCCTGGTGGTCCAGTGGTTAAGAATCTGCCTTGTAATGCAAGGGGATGCAGGTTCGATCCCTGGTCAGGGAACTAAGACCCCACATGCCACAGAGCAACTAAGCCTGCTTGCCACATCTAGAGAGTCCGTGCACCCCAACAAGAGATCCTGAGGTGCCCAAATACACAATTAAATGTTGTTTCTTAAAAAATAATTAAATGGGGAAACTTTCACAAAATTTATTTGTGGGAGCATGCCTTATACCAACTCTGATATGTCCTTGGGGCCTTGGGGGAAGGAAGATATTTATATTTTGACAAATATTCTATAACCTTTTCTCCCTTCCTTTCCAACTGAGTCTTAGTACGAGGTATGTGTGTATGTATGTGTCTGTGTGTGTGTATACAGTCTGATCCATGTTATTAGAGCCAGGGAAGTAGGTGGAATAGCATAGTACCTGAAACTCCAACATTGACTTGCCCTTGTTGGATTCCAACATGAATCGAAAAGCACCAATCCCTGTATTTGGGTTGTCAGCTTCCTCCCTGTTGCCCTGGTAAAAAAGGAAAAGAAAAGACAACAGATTTTTCAGTCAGGATTATCACCTCGAGCAGCACTGTCTAGGAGAAATATAATGCAAGTCACATGTTTAATTTAGTTGTCATATTACAGTAAAAACAAACTATTAATTTTAATAGCATATTTTATTTAACCTAATATACTTAAAATATTATTTCAACTATAATTAGTGTAAAACTTATTAGTGAAGCATTATTTTTCTTATACTAAGTTTTCAAAATCTGGTGTCTGTTTCATCTTACAGCATATCTCGATTCAAGTGCTCAATAGCTACATGTGGCTAGTGGCTATTCTGCTGCTCAGCACAATCCAGAGACCTCTGGAGCCATCACACATTTTAACTTAGGTGATAGAGATAAGTTAATCTGATTTTTCCTATTTTACAAAAGGGGAGAGCACTGAAACATAGAGGAGAGTCTTGATTTAGCTAAAATAACAGAGTGAGTTCAGCATATAAGACAGGACTAACCTAGAGGACAATTAGCAAATGCATTTTAAAGAGTGACTGTAAAAGTCATAAGCATGGCAAATGCTGGGTAGCAGTTTGGCCTCCTGGACATTTGCCTCGTGTGTCTTCCACTGGTGACATGACCCTGCCAGGGTCGAGTTAAGATACACTGTCCTACCTGTAAGCCTAAGTGTATGAAAAACAATACAGTATAGAAGTTAAGAACATGGACTGGACTACTCTTATGGTCTTGGTGGAGTCATTTAACCTCTCTGTTCCCCAGCTACCTTATTTGTAAAATGAGAATAATCATAGATCTATCTTACAGTATTATTTTAAGGACTAAAGATATTCTTTTAAAAATTTAAATTTAAAAATTTAAATTTAAAAAAGATAAATTTAGTCTAACAATTCCAAGCATATAATGTAAGTACATTATCATATTGGACCTGGTATCCAGTTCCACAATCCAAATCCATTCTGGTACTGGCTCTGGTTTGTGCCATTTGGATGTTGGTTTCATACTATTGAAGATAATTCTAGGTCCAGGGTCTTGCGGGGACTTCCAAAATGAGGACATCTGGTTTACTAGTGATCCTTTTTGTCAACCTGATCTAGAAACATTAGGCCAGGAGACTACTGGGAACACAGGGATCCAACTTTCTCCTCTTGCTTCCTAAGAGGTTTCCTGCTCTTTATAGCCAGTTCCACACACACCCCCGCCCCAAACTCCCAAGATATGAAATTTATTCTGCTCTTTTTGAGCAAAGGGATCAGGTAGAGGTCAGGAGCCAATCAAGTTATATCCAAATTCAGTTTATTGTGGGATACTTTATCATGGGGTTTTACTGTATATGTATCACACCTTAAATAATGTCAGGCACTTAGTAAGCATACCATGCTAGTTTATTATCATTCTTTGCCTTCACTGTGCTAGAATCAACAAGAAGTCAGAACTACTCAAAATCAACCCATTTTGTTTTGTGGCTCGTGAGAAATAATCATGCCATGCGTGGTTAAACCTTTGTGGTGAAACAAAGATCATAAAATTTGGATCTAGAAGTGAAAATCTAGAGGATGGGAGGGAAAAGGTGGTGATTTTCATTATTAGGATTTAGGGCTCTGAAGCAAGCAAGAGTCTTCATTCCTATCTAGAATTGTTCACTGCGATACCTCCATGATACAGCACAGCAGAGGCTGCAGGGCAGAGGAGTCCATCTGCCCCACGCCTTTCTCAGTTCCCCTGAGACTTGAGGGGATCAGTATCATGGCACATCTGTAAACTATCTGGAGTATACCAAACGGCACAACCCAACATTGGCAAGTTCCATCTCACAGGATACTTCTACACCTAACAAGGTTATAAATGAACTCTATTTATTCAATAGACATTTAATCACAGAATACTTGATTAGTGATAGGAACAGTAGAATACAATTGGAAAGGAATTAGAATTAATTTAATTTAACCTACTTATTTTACAAATGAGGAAATTCAGAACCACAGAGGCTAGGTTATTTGTCAGAAGACAGAATACAGTGTCAGATTCAGGACTTTTAAAGGACAAAAGTTAAAAGCAAAAAATGTGGACATCACTCTTTACCCATGGCTAAGACCAAATGAAAATCATTTTTTTTGGAGAAGGGGAATTCCACTGGGGTACTAATGAGAAATCCACTAAGTTCTCAATTTGCGAGGTTAATCAAAAAAGAATAGTGGCATGAGAAGAATAATAGTTTACATTTCTTAAACACTTTCTAACAGACACTGCAGGTGACCTACCCAATGTCTATTTACTTCTTCCATACGACAGGACCTACTCATCTCCCAATTACCTCAGGGAAGAATGATTTTATGCTAACTCCAAGTGGGTAAATCCTAATCTCTTTTGCCTGTAACTGATTTTAAGGTGAGAATTCTGGGCATGGGTGGTAGAGGAAAGGTCCGCTGGAGAGCTTTTGGGAAAAGAGTCCTTACTACTAAGGAGACACTAGAAAAGACGGTCTCTTTCTCTCTCTGAGTGTCATTTTCTCTGCATTTAACAAACGGAACTCTGTCTCTGTCCTGTATCCTGAGGGGAGTCAGCCCAAGGGCAAAGCCAACATCTAGAGGATAGCTGAGTGGAGAAGTGGAAAGAGTTTTGGCCAGTAGATGACGATACTCTTCTTTTTTTCCTCCAGGTTAAAAGTCTGCTTTAATGCTTCCCGTGGCTCAGTGCTAAAGAATCTGCCTGCCAATACAGGAGACACAGGTTTGATCCCTGATTCGGGAGGATCCCACATGCCACAGAGCAACTAAGCACCGCAACTACTGAGACTGTGCTCTAGAGCCTGGGGGCCGCAACTACTGAAGCCCAGCACTCCCTAGAGACTGTACTCTGCAACAAGAGAAACCACCCCAGTGGGAAGCCCACATACCGTAATTAGAGAGTAGCCCCCACTCACCGCAACTAGAGAAAAGCCTGTGTAGCAACAAATAGCCAGCACAGCCAAAAGTAAATAAATAAATAAATAAAAATTGTTTTAAAGCTTGCTTTGGACTTCCCTGGTGGTCCGGTGGTTGAGAATCTGCTAGCCAATGCAGTGGGTTCAGTTGGATCACTGGTCCAGGAAGATCCAACATGCCAAGGAGCAACTAAGCCTGTGCTCCACAACCACTGAGGCCCACATGCTCTAGGGCTCACATACCGTAACTACTGAGCTAACCCGCCAAGAGCCCACGCACCACAACTAGAGAGTAGCCCACACTCGCCACAACTACAGAAAGCCTGGGCACAACAATGAAGACCTAGTACAGACAAAAAAAATAGTCTGCTTCGTTCAGATCTGGTGACTAGACTCCCAGACAGCTGATTTTGCAGGAAATTTTACACCTGAGTGTCTCCCCACTTCACCATCCCAAGAGTGTGCTCCTGCAGATAGGACAACAGAACTCGTCCTTTATGTTAAAATGGGACTGGTCTTCAGGCTTGAAGTCCAAGTTGGAGCTACTGTCCTAAATGATGACATTCTTAACCCATGGAATCACCCAGTCCTGAAATCTGCCCTACTTCCAGACTTCTTATCATGTTAGGTAATACATTTCCTTCCTTTATTTATTAAGTCAATTTGAAGTGAGATTTTCTATTATTTGCATCCAAAGGTACCTAAACAGATAACATGTGCTAAATGCTGGAACATAATCTCTTTTATCCAATAATCCTATGTGATAGGCATAACTGTTATCCTATTTTACAGATTAGGAAACTGGAAAAGACTAACTTGTTCAAAGTCACATAACAAATAGAACCAAAATTTCAAAATAAATTCAGAGCCCATGCTCATAAACACTGCTTTCTATAATCCAAACTGATGTTTCATTTTATAATATCGATACATTAGATGATTTAGGACTGAAAAATGTGCTTTTGAAATTTTAACTGATTTGATTAATATAAAATGTTTTGTTCCCTGCAGACACTGCTTGACAGGGGCAAAGACTAATAGGAGAAAAACAGATGGGTCCTAGGTAACAGAAGGATTATGAGTCAAAGTGTTCAACACTAATCAACAAAACAGATAACTGAAGCAGTTTAGTATATGTAATTACATCTTAAATGTAAAGAAAATAGAAACAGAAAATTAACCTGACTTTATCTTCCTATCAATGGTCTTTTGAGAGGAAGGATGAAGGCAGTGCTAATTTTTAAGATGTACCTCTAAGCTAGAAAATTTGTAAGCTGACTTGGGTTCTAGTCTTGGTTCTACCATCTACAAGCTATATTACTTTAGGCAAAACTTCACCTCTATGTTTTTAATTTCCTCATCTGTAAAAGAGGGGTATCAATAGTACTTATACCTCATAGGGAGGGCTTCCCTCATAGCTCAGTTGGTAAAGAATCTGCCTGTAATGCAGGAGATCCATGTTCATTTCCTGGGTTGGGAAGATCCCCTGGGAGAAGGAAATGGCAACCCACTCCAGTATTCTTGACTGGAGAATCCAGTGGGCAGAGGACCCTGGCAGGCTGCAGTGCACGGGGTCGCAAGAGTCGGACACGAATTAGCAACTAAACCACCATCACCACCACCATACCTCATAGGACTGTTGTGAAGATGAAATGAGATAAACTACGTATAAATCCCCTAGAATAGTCCCTGGTACAAAATAAATACATAGTTAGGATTAGCTGTGGTTATCATCATTATCATTATCATCTGAAAGAAGAGATGTTCTTTTTAAAGAGAGTAAATAAATTATCCTCCACATTCCTAGGAACATGAAAAGACAAGACACTTATATTGTAACATGTTCTTTATTAATAAGATGAAGTAATGGAGGCAGGAAACAAGTGACAATAGAAACAGTTGTATAAAAAAAGAGCGAAGGAAAAAGGGAGTAAGGTCTTAAACCAAAATTGGGAAAAGCAAAATTCTGGTTCAATTTTTATTCTATAATATCTCTAAAAGTCCATAAATCTTGAAATAAAGATTTCTAGATACCAGAGGCATAATGAAAGAGACAAAATAACAAAAACATACATAGATTTAGAGACTGAAGCATTTGGAACATGTAATACAAAAGACTGACAGAAAATAAACAGAACAGAATGTAGACAGGAAAGAAAACCAAGAATTCATGCTCTGTTTCCCAGTAATACACAAGATTTCACAATCAGCCAGTTCTCCCATCCCCCACTCTCCTCCTTTCCAACTCCAAGTAACTTACATTGAAAGATGCCAGGGCCTCAGAGACACTCTTCTCAATGAACTCATCAGTGATTCTTCGGGAAGGATGTTCATTAAACACAGAGTTCATTAGTGCAATCTTTGCAGCACTCCGCCGGGCTTCAGCTTTTGTGGGGCAAAACTAGGCAGTAAACAGAGAAAATATGTGTATATGTGTATCTGAGAGAGAGGAAGAAAGAAGTGGAAGGAAACACTTGGCATGGACAACACTTGGATACTCTGGAAAACTCAGTTTGTTCTACATGTCCTCCAAAGTTTTCATAGTGAAATGGTCAGGGCACTTGGAAACATGAGTTTGAGTCCACATCCTGGAGTCATTATGGAAGTGGAGACAGCTGTAGCTCATAGCCAACTGAAGGCAGGATGGAGGAGACCGCGGACGTCAGCATGCAATCACTGGACACAAAAGGTACCTCTGTTTAAACTGTCAGCAGAATTAATTACTCAAAAGCCAGATTCTGGCCAGTCTGTTAGAAATCTGGATCTTGTTCTTTTACTCTGTAGACGGGCAAGATTTTTTTTATCCCCCTATATAACCTAAGATTAGAACAAAGCTGTATCTAGGCTACTTCCACAGAGGAGCCCTCTAGTCTCTATCCGAAGCACCCATTTGGGATTCTTGGACTTTACCCTTAGCTATGTGCAGGCAGTTTCCCCACTAACACAATGAGGCAGGGAACTATCCGTGAATGGAGTCTAAGATCTGAGGAGGGATTTTATAGTCTTTCCCCCACCCACTCCCAGCAGAGGCAAAGAGAAGAGAGGTAGCTAGGGAAAGGAAAGCTGACTTGAGGAAAACAATAAAAACTTAAAAATTAACTCATGTTTTTATATTGTATCCAAAAAGAAAGTCTGATTTTCAAAAGTCTTGAATCACTCAACTTCAGATCCCTAGCCACCTTTAAAATTCATTTTTACTGGCTGTTTCAAAGGCCTCTATGCCCTTTGTCATTTATGATTAAGATAAGAGAAAAGAAAGAACGTGATGTAATTTTTAAAAGTACACCAGATTATGTTTGCTACTTAACCATCCTTAATTTCAGTAATTCCCAATTTCCTTTAGCTGACAGGTCTCTCTGAGACAACATATGGAGTTTGGTACATTAATCCTACATCTTCTTGCTTATTCAGTTTCTGTTTCCACTTCTCTCACTATTTATTAGCCTGTTGCCCATTCTACTGTATGGTGCTCTTTCTGAAAAATCATATATGAAGAAAACCACCAGGAGAAATCTCACCTGCCAAAGTGGATATAAAAGATATAAGCTAAAAGAGGCCAAGAGAGATAATTCTACTCTTTCAGGAAATAACAGAAATTGAGTTACTATAATGGCCCAGTTTTGGGCATCCTGGAGAAGGGAAAGGCTACCCACTCCAGTATTCTGCCCTGGAGAATTCTATGGACTGTATAGTCCATGGGGTCTCAAAGAGTTGGACACGACTGAGCGACTTCCACTCACTTGGGGCATCACCATAAGATTACTACATCTTTATTCAACGGTATGATGAGGTAAGAGAAGGAAGGAAAGATCTTATTTTCTAGAAGCAAAAGATAAACATTAGTTACCTTGGGCACATATTTATTTCTCTGAAATGGCTGGGGTTCTGAGAGAAACATTTAGTCACCCGATTTGAAATGAAGCTCCCTTTGGACAGTTTCTATTTGAGACTGCAGCTGAGCTACAGTGGCACTCATTCGTGCAACAGATTTATTAAATGTCTATTCTGTGCTGGGCACTGAGTTGGACGGTAGAGATTTAAAACTGAATAAGAAAGAAGACTGACACTATCTCTGCCACCATAGAGCATAGTCCACTAGGAGAGAGAGACACTCAATAACGATATGTTGTGGTAAGTGATTTGATACTGGAAGTTCAAGGTGCTATGGAAGCACATAGCGGAGGGTATAACTTTGTCTAAGGGTTATTCAAGCCACACAGAAAACAGAACAAAAGTGTCTAGTTCAGTTCAGTTCAGTCGCTCAGTTGTGTCCGACTTTCGCGACCCCATGAACCGCAGCACGCCAGGCCTCCCTGTCCATCACCAACTCCTGGAGTCCACCCAAACCCATGTCCATCGAGTTGGTGATGCCATCCAACCATCTCATCCTCTGTCGTCCACTTCTCCTCCTGCCCTCAATCTTTCCCAGAATCAGGGTCTTTTCAAGTGAGTCAGTTCTTTGCATCAGGTGGCCAAAGTACTAGAGTTTCAGCTTTAACATCAGTCCTTCCAATGAACACCCAGGACTGATCTCCTTTAGTATGAACTGGTTGGATCTCCTTGCAGTGTCTAGTCTCCTCCCTAAATTCCTATTCAGGCTCTAAGTTGACATTTCAGGAAGCTACTCTCCTGTCTGCAATGTGAAAAATTCATCTTTGTAGATAATATTCACACTGGTCAAATTTCTTGTTACTCTATAATAGTATCAACTCTTTTCATCATCATACACAAGTCTTTTATATAACTGTAGAATGGCAGTACCAGAAATACTGGCTAGAAATAATCTACTCTATCTCCTTCATGTTATAAATGGAGAAACCGAGGCCCATAGAAATTACTTGACTTGCCCTGCTGGCAGTCAGGGGAATGAGAATTTGGATCTGCTAACTCTTAGATGAGTACTATTTCCACCATACATAGTCCTTCTCCTTTGATTTCTTAGAGAACTCAAACACTGCTTTCCTTGGCCATAGCCTATGAAAAAGTAGTGTGGGCAATGGATATTAACCTATGTCCTCAAAAAGAGACAGCAGGAAACTGGAAAGCCAGATCAGAACATGAGTTAGGTGCTAGTAGTTTGCTTTTCTTTCAGCTTTCAAAAACTCAAACTCATCTGACAGAAAACAACAAAATTATGTAAAGCAATTATCTTTCAATTAAAAAATAAATAAATAAATAAATAAAACTCAAACCCACTGGAGGAGGGCATGACAACCCATTCCAGTATTCTTATCTGGAGAATCTCATGAACAGCAGAGCTTGGCAGGCTCCATTAGATCTCAAAGAGTCAGGCACGACTCAAGTGACTTAGCACACACACTAAAAAGAAAAGCATGCTACAAAGGTTGTTTTCTGGTCAAATGAGCCTCAGATGCTTATTAAATAATTTACCCAGAACTGGTCCAAGTCTTCAAACAGGTGACTTTGGACAGAGATTTAATGACCAAAGTGATAGAGAAAGCCACTACTAGCACCTATGCTTTATCTCTGCTGCATTTGCCTCCCGGCTCTTACCTGGAAACTCCCAAAGCAACTTCCCCCAGGCAGGGTGACGTAGCAGACATAGGGAGGACTGTTGGCGGGAACCATCTCGTAAACCACTAGGGCCCCATTCTTCAAGTCAGCCCCTCGTGACTGTTTCATCTGCCAGAATTCCTGAAGTGCCTCCACCACATTCACTATGAAAAGAGAAGTAGTTAAGTTCAGCAATAAGAATGCTTCCAAATGGTGCTCTGCTTCAATACACTATCTGTAACCTGTACTTACATGAAGAGACTAACCCCTCTAAGATCCCCACCTATCTCCATTTAGAAGCATTTAAACCCATGTCCATCGAGTTGGTGATGCCATCCAACCATCTCATCCTCTGTCGTCCCCTTCTCCTCCTGCCTTCAATCTTTCCCAGCATCAGGGTCTTTTCCAATGAGTTGGCTCTTCACATTAGGTGGCCAAAGTATTGGAGCTTCAGCTTCAGCATCAGTCCTTCCAATGAATATTCAGGGTCAATTTCCTTTAGGATTGACTGGTTTGGTCTCCTTGCTGTCCAGAGGACTTTCAGGAGTCTTCTCCAGCACCACAGTTCAAAGGCATCAATTCTTTGGCGTTCTGCCTTCTTTACAGTCCAGCTCTCACATATAGTAATTAGTTGTAAATAGGGTAAAATCAAACTCCAGACTTGACACTGTATTCCAGGACAGTTTCCCACATCCCCTAATACCTAGATTCAATTATTCCACAAAAATTATTGAGTACCTACTGTGTGCTAGACTGTGTGCTGGTGCTAGGCTACAATCATGAGCAAAACCCTGTTCCTTTTCCCTTGCAGCTTACAGTCTAAACAGGGAGAGAGAGATTAACCAAATAATCTCAAACAAATTAAAAACTACAACTGAGATAAATGCTATAAAGGAGTGGTAAACAGTGGGAAATGTAGGAACATGTGACCTAATTAAGAAGGTCCAAGAAAGCTACCCTGACAAGGTAATATTTAAGCTCGGATATAAGTATCACTAGGTAAAAACGTGAGAGAAAAGTGCTCTGAACAGAAGAAATAGCATGGACAACGGCTCTGTAGCAGCAGGAAGTACAATGAATAAGGGGACTAGTGTGGCCAGAAATGAGACAGTGAGGGGTAATATAATGCAAGATGAGGTTGCAAGAAAAAAAAAAAAAAAAAGCCAGGGCTAGATCAGGTCAGATGTGATGGGTCATGTTAGAATACTGGCTTTATCCTGGAACAATGGGAAGCTACTGAAAGGTTTTTAAATGGACGGTGGGATAAAATCAGTTTGCCTTTGGAAAGGATCTCTTTGACTCTAGGGTTCCAAAATTTCAAGTGGCTTTAACTAAAAGCCTCATAACAATAAATTATCATACACATTCACCAATATCTTCCATGACCACTCTCCACCCTTTGTTACAACAAGGACTTGTTAATTCTACTATATTATGTGAGTTAAGGTCTGACAAGGAGACGACACCAAGATGGGTCAGACATCCAAGAGATTTGTTGGGGAGGAAGAAGGAGAAGGGAGAGTTTTCAGACCAGGTTCAAGGTCTGACACCTGTGGAAGGAGAGAGGGAAGGCAGGAAGTGTGGATATGAGAGTCTCAGACTGCAGCACAGTTCCAAGAAAGGTTTGGCCAGGTACTCAAACCAAAGGAATCCCACATCTTAGGATGTCCCCTGCTGTGCTCAGTCACAGACAGCAGCCTGCAGGCGGTATGGCCTCAATGCAAACATGGTGATGAGCTCAGAGGGGACAGCAGTTTAAGACTGTCAGTCAGTTATGCTCCCTGCCGCACCAGATATGAACCAGCACACTTTCATGGCTGCCACATACACACTAAGCAAAATGTTGAGCACTCAATAGGTGCACAGCTCTGTTCCAGACATTAGAGATGCCAAGACGAGTAACATAGATTTCCTGCCAGGAAGGTGTTCAAAATATAGTGGACAAGAATAACTCAGCTGCTCTGCAACTGAAGCAAGCACTCCATGTACCAACCAGGGTTTGAAAAGCAGCATAAGCTCTTAACTAATACCCTATATTTAACTGACTTTTAAAAATGTTCATTCTTCCATTAAAAGACAGCATGAAAAGAAAACTTTCTCTTTCCCACCCTTAGTTTTAGCAGGGACTCTTCAGAGGTCATTGCTGCCCAGAAAGCTTAGCCACCTTAGTTCTTTTCATTGAGATCTTTTCAAGCTCAGTTCCCTCTTTGAGGCAATCTAGCACAACGTGTTGGGTGACAGGTCCCCTGACATGCAAACAACAAGGAGAATATTGAAATAAAGAGGAAGGGGAGAAGACTGCTATAATGGGGAAGGTCCTATTAAAAAGCATATGACCATTCTATATCCAGTTAAATCCCTTTTGGCACAGACCATAGGACTTTTTAAAAAAAATTTTTAGGACTTTTTTTTAATGATTACTCAAAGCCAAATGAAATAGGGAGTCTTATTTCAGAAATGTGAGTATGAAATGAGAAATTGGGCAAATGATCAGGGAAAAAGGCAATGAATTGTGATCTGCGTTTGAAAATGCTCATAAGTGTTAGTCGCTCAGTTGTATCCAGCCCTTTGCAATCCCATGGACTGTAGCCCACCAGGCTCCTCTGTCCATGAAATTCTCCAGGCAAGAATGTTGAATCTTCCCTTCCATTTCCTTCTCTAGGGCATCTTCCCTGGCTAGGGATCAAACCTGGGTCTCCCGCATTGCAGGCAGATTCTTTACGTCTGAACCACCAGGGAAGCCCATGAAGCTCATTCATTTCTAGAGCTAAAAGGGACTTCAGAGATTATCTAGTTTATCTCAGGCTAAGGAAGGGTAAGTGACTTGGTTGAGGTCACATAGCTAGAGCAGAACCTGATGCCAATGTTTTTTCCAACTTGGGAATCTTAACCCAGGGTCCAAAGTCCAGTCCATGGTTGAACTTCATAGGGGTTCACAAGACCTTTAAAACTCTAAGTAAAATTAAGCATGTCTCTTGTGTGTGTGTGCATATGAGTATTTGTGTGTGTGTGCATGTGCATGTGTAGGAGAATGCTCATAGCTTTTATCGGAGGATTTTCAGTGACAAACCATGGATATAATGGTTTCCATAAGGATGGCTAAAGGACAGTGAGGTAGAAGGGTAGAAATTACTGAGACATACACATCTGACAGCTACAATTGGTTTCTGGAGGTAACTGATATATGCTGGGCTGAAAGGGACAGTAAAGACCAAGGTAGTGAAGAACATTTAAGTGCTTGTACCATAATTTTGAACAACAACATGAAAGAGAATACTTTCAGTTTTTCCCTTAGGAGATAAAGTATTAGATGAATGTCTTAAGTGGTAAGAGAGACAGAGTGCACATACACCAGAGTAAAAATACTAAAACAACACATGAAACTATAATAAAAAATTTTATAAAAATAAACAATTTTATAGTGGGGAAGCATGGATAAATATATAATGAAATTAAGTGAGTGAGAAGGTTCTCTCTGATCATACAATATGGTAAGAATAGTGTGGCTTGGCTTAATTCATGTTACTATGAAGATAGGGAAACTGGTTAACAATATTTCACCTGACTTTTCCTAATTCAGTTTGTAGAAGGTACCCCTGAATAGCCCACAGTGCACAGTCTCCAGAAGGGAGGGATTGAAAAGTGACAGTGACTTTGGGAGAGGACTATGGTAAGTGGAATAATGTGCCTGCCGAGAGGTTCATGTCCTAATCCTTGGAACTTGTGAATGTTACCTTATGTGGCAAAGATTTTGCAGATGTGATTAAGTTAGGGATCTGAGATGGAGAAATTATCATGGATTATCTTGGTGCGTCCTAAATATAAACCCAGGGGTCCTTAGGGAAGGAGACTTGATGAAAAAGAGAAGAGGAGAAAGCAGCAGGAACACGGAGGCAGAGATTAGAATGATGCTGTCACAAGCCAGGGAATTCTGATAGCACCAGAAGCTGGAAGAGGCAAAGAAACAGATTCTCCCCTAGAGCCTCTGGAGGGCGCACAGGCCTGCTGTGACACCTGGACTGTGGCCCAGTGATACTGACTTTTAACTTCTGGGCTTTAGAACTGTGAGAGAATAAATTTCTTCTGTTTTAAGCTAAGTGTGTGATAATTTGTTAGAGCAGCCACAGGAAACAAATACAGGGTCTAATCCTACATTTCAAACATTGGAAATATCCAGACCAATCATTTTATTAATAACTACATAGTCACTTAGAACAAAGAAGCTGCCTGTGATTCTGAGGAAAAGGAACAACTAAACAGAAAATACCACATAAGATTCATTTGTTCAACCTAGTGGAGTAGCTGGGCTGAATTTCCAATCATGTAACAATATGTACTATAAAAGGATAGCAATTTTTTTTTATTTATTTGGCTGCAGAGGCTCTTTAGTTGCAGCATGTGGGAATCTAGTTCCCTGACCAGGGATCAAAGCCTGGTTCCCTGCGTTGGCAGTGAGTCTTAGCCACTGGACCACCAGGCAAGTCCCATGGGACAGCAATAAGTTTTTTTAAAAGATAGGTTTGAAGAGGGTAACAGAAGTTACAGATCAAGGAAAGCAACTTGGTTGTTCAGGCAATTGTGCCAGATTAGAGATTACCAGCTGTGAGTCATTAGAAGAAGGGGTCTCTATGCCATGTGGAAAAGGGGTAAATGAAATGGTAATGCTAACAGTACCTATCAAATGCACAGTTTTCAAAGTATTCCACATGCATAATAATAGCAACCACCCATTGAGTACTAACTAGCTGCTGCATGCATTCATTTAATCCACGTATAACTATTAAGATAGGCATTGTAATACCCACTGTACAAATGGTGAACAAGTTAGGAAACAGACCACAGTGGCAGAACCAGAATTTAGAACCAATGTTTGTTTGCCTCCCAAACCAATCCTCTTTCTGCTGTATTGTCCTGTTTTATTGCATCATTAATTGTCACAAATGCTCTATAAAGTGGTCTGTGAGCTCCATGAAGATAGGGACCGAGTGTCATGTTCACCCCTGGTGATCAATAAATATTCATTAACTGAATGAATGGAACAGGTGAGGCCTAGAGAGAGAAAGTAATTTATCCAAGATCACACAGCCACTATTTGACAGGGCCAGATTCTCTGATTCCACATCCTGTGCACTAAACTGGTTAAGAACCTACAGCATACTGAGCTAGGTGTGCATCTTGGGTGGGGACTGCAGGGAGAGATATAGGACAAATAAGTGAGATAACAGAAGAATCTAATGCTGAGAGCCTACAGGAGTAAAGGTAAATCTAAAGACCATGCCTGGAAGGTGAATTTGGAGCAGTCAGGAGGAAGATGAAAGATTTGAATTGAAGATAATCCAGTAAAGCATTGCTGGATTGAGGACTGGTCTGGGCAAAGACTAAAGTAAATTATATGCAGGGGAATACAGCCAGCCCCCAAATACCATGCCATCAGTCACAAGGGTGTGTGGACACAGGCCAGTGGCAGTTTTGCCTATTAATTGAAGCAGAGTAAGTGATTCCATGTGGTGAAAGTCTTCTGAGCCAAATCGGCAGAGATTCTGCTTGCCTGAAGCTGAACTATCTGCCAAACTTTCCCAAAGTACTGGCTGGACACCCAGACTGGAAATGAGAAACTCAAGAATAATGAGAAGGACTGTGGTGGGAGGTAGGCAAGCTGGAGGACTGAACTGCTGAGGAGTCTGAATGCTAACTGGTTGCTCTTTGTCAGTATAATTCCCTTGTACCCTTACCCTCATTTTTTCTAAGGAAGTGGAAAAGTTTTTACAGGATGCTCAGTTTAAACCAGAGCCTCTTGAGGTAACACAGACAAAAAAAAATGTCACTCCTCTATAATTTTAATAAACACCTATAAGATTCTAGGAAGAAGGCATCAGATTTAGGGTTGCTACTCCTATGCTCAGAAGCAAAGACCGTCCCTTGGTCTCAATTTAAAAGAGGCCTGAAGTAACAGGACAATAACTAATGGCAATTCCATTACAGTGCCCTGTTAAATCTAGGAGTTAAACTAGAAAAAACAATTAGATTCCCTCATGATGCATTTCAAGATAATATGCATTTGTATTCCAAGCACCTAGCAGAGTGCCAGCCCCTTGGTAGCAGTTCAAAATGAAGAACAAAGGGAAACTGATGGGAAATGTATCATTGTGCAAATAAAGCAAAATAGATCTTAAAATTTTCATAGGAATCATTGGTTTTACACTGTTAGGATTTAACAGTGGGAGAAAATATGTGTTCTTCCCAAAGAAATGAACCAATAAACTTGAGAGGATATTTATCATTTTTAAAGTACCCATTATATCTGTCAGGTGCAATATCTCATTTATTGAGACAGTAATTCCAAAGAAAATCAAAGCTCAGTGAAGTTAAGTCTCTTCCACAGAGACATAGCTGGCAAGTGACAGAGATTTAATCTGGAATTTAATCCAGACTTGTCTGACTCCAAAGCCTTTGTGTGTGCTGTTCTCACTGCACTTTCTCAGGAAGAAAAAAAAGGCATTACTATCTATAAAGAAAACCCTGCAACCTTTCTCTGTACCAAAGAGATAAACTAGAAAGTTAGAGATACCGTCACTTCCAGGTCAAGCAGGACTTAACCATGCAGAGAGAAATGATGTCTCAGAAATTTCAGGCCTGAATTCTGTACTCCACACCCCTTACTATATATTTCTTTTTACACTATAAATCTTGGAACTCAAACTCATGATATCCTGCACTGGTTAAACACAAACAACAAAGAAAATCCTCACAGCCCCCTTTTCAGAAACCCGGGAAATTACGCATCTTTAAGATGAAGATTTCTAAAGGAAATAGGGTTTCTGTCTGGCTCATTTCCACTGAATTTAACATTGAGAGAGCCAAGGCCTGGGATTTATCCTCAGTTCCTGGGCAAGGGCCAGGAAAACAGAGCCAGACAGACAGAGAGGCTGGAGTTGTGTGAGGCTCCACACTTAAAAAGACACCGAACTAGGGCACTAAGTCATAGGAAGCTGGCAGGGGTCCAAATTTAAAAGCACAATTTACAGGTGGCTTGTGAAAGCCCTGCCTAATTCCCCAGTAAATCTGAAGTTGCACTGGAAATCTCAGAGTGACATAAGTAAGAAAAGAATTTAAAAGTCAAGGTTAAGGAGATAGAGTAAATTAGCCGGGAGCCCAGGAACTGCTGAGATCACAGAAGAAAGACTGAGAGGATGTGGCTGAGAAATGTCTTGGTTCTGAGATAAAGGATAGGATCCCACACAATGGGGACTGGTCTGTAAAGGCAGAGAGATGTTAAAGCACTAAGCTACAGGAGGAAGTCCATTTCTAAAGAGGAGAAGATTGGGAAGAAAAGAAGGCTACATCTGTAAAAACGGGTCCCTGGAGAATATAGTAGTAACTCAATAAAGGGGAGGGGTGAGAGGCTTAAACGTGTGTATGAATATGCGCGTCTGTGCGTGTGCGTGTCTGTGTGTGTGTAGCCCTGAAGGAAACTCCCCAAAAGGAAATGCATGTGAGGGCTCTGAGCCAGGAAAAGCGATCCAGAGGACTGTGGGAGCAAAGCTCTCTTACAGAGAGGGTGTCCCGGAAGAGGCCAGACCCCGCAGACTCACCTCGGCCATAGCCCTGCGTGTGTTTGGCGAAGCTCCTCACCACGGCCTCCACGGCCTCCCGCAGTACCACAGGGCTGCCTGCGGCGCCCGGGGGCAGCGGCAGCCCGGCGGCCCCGGACAGAAGCAGAGGCGGCGGGGGCGGTGCGGGGGGCGGCGGGGCCGGCGGGGGGCCCGCTGGGGGTGTGGCGGTGGCAGCCGCGGCCCCAGTCACTCCGGGCCGAAGCGCTCGCAGAGTGCCCCTCCCGCTGGTGCCCACTCCAGGCTGCAGTCGCTGCGCTCGCAAGGTCTCCATCCCGGCCGCCAGTGGAGTAGCGGCCCGGAGGCTGCCAGCCTGGCGAGCTAACGGTCCCAGCCGCCCCCGCCAGCGAGCGCCCAGGGACTGAAGGAGGTGCCGGAGCCCAGCCGTCAGTCAAACGGGGGCGGGGACGAGCCAAGTCCTATGCCAATCACCAGAGATGGGGCGGGAGCTGGCCGGCTGCCCCTCCACCATAGGCAAATTATTGAGGGCGGAGGTTCTGAGCAACCAATTACAAAGAGAAAAAGCGATACCTCTACCCTGGAGAAGCTTAGCTCTGGCGCATCTTTTCGAGTACTAGAAAGCGGGCCAGACTCATAGGGCGAGGCTAGAGGGGAAAAAAGGGGGGCCTGGATGCATGACTGGGGAGAACTGTAGACAGAATGAGTAGATTCTTAGTCTTGGTCCGATCACTTCATTTCATAGATGTAGATGAGGAAAGTGACTCAGAAAAGTGATATGACTTGTTCAAGATCATATGCAGTTGATAGTGGAGCTAAAGGAAGGAAAGATACTGACATTTAATGAGCACATACTTACTGTACGTCAGACACTATACAATGTACTTTAGTGAATTGTCTTATCTAATAATTTCAATCACTAACTAGATTTTATTATCTTATGGATAAGGAAACTGACAGGCTAGATACATTGTCCAAAATTAAATAGCCAGGAGGTAGCAAAGGAGGGTTTAGACAATAGGTCTTCTGATTTCCAATATTTTAATCTTTTTGTTATAATGCATCGTTGGGTAATTTTCTGATTTCACCAATTCTAAGTTGAAGGAAGAAACAGTAGAATTGCTCCCTTACCTATTGTTATAGCAAGGAAGAGTTAAGAGTATAGGAAGAAAACCAGCAAGCTGAAAGGTCCAAGGGGCAAATTAAGACAGGTATCTTTGTTCATAGAACCGTTCAGGCTGGGTTCCTCCAATTACTGTTACTCTTACACACACACTACACACATGCACACACATACACACACCCTTTGTCAGTTGAATATCATACCATTTTTACCTAGGTGGAAGTTATACTATTTCTCTCTCTCCCTCCCTCTCTCTCCACCCAACAGGGCCTTGGAAATCAAGGATAGGTAAACAGAAGAAGTAGAAAAAAAAAAGGATGAAATGCAGTTGGTGAGATGAAAGTTAGCCCCCCACCAAGGAAAAACTGAGTGGTCAAGAAGCAGAAAGCTTGAAAGAGGGACAGTTAATCTACTGTAATATAGCTGCTGATGGTGAAGGGGGCAGATTCTTTGCAGGAATCTTAAAGAACTTAAGGATGGGCATAGGGGAGACTGAGGGAAATGAAAACCTATCAGATGCCTTAAAATCTTCAAGATATGGGACACTTGCCTCTTCTTCTACAACCACAGTTGGTTTCCTGGAAAGAAGGTGGATGGAGCCTTGAAGAAACCCTTGATCTTTATAGCTATAGTTAGTATCACCCTCCCTCCCTAGTCCTCATCCCCCCACACCCTCCACCCCCAGCAGAAGTGACAAAACAGAGACTTCTGAACACATTTATTTGATAAATCAAGTGGAGAGAGGAATGATTTAAGGTTACTCCCCATGTCAACCTGTGGGGGTGTTCATAAGCTCAGATGGACAGAAGAGCAGCTTAGAGCCCATGACCCACCTCCTGGGAAAATGAAACAACCTGGTGTATTGGTTAGGGGTATGGGGTGGGAAGAAAAAGCTGGAAGCTGAGAAGTAAAGCTGAGAGCAGGAAGGGCAGCAGCAGAACTGAGGCTGGGGATTGCTGCAGGATATTCCCAAGGGGAGTAAAGAAGCTATCCTGAAAAGTGTTTAGGGCTAGAAGCAGGGTGTGAACAAGGAGCCAGGCCTGGATTGAAAAGCAAGACCTGCGGAATGGGGTGGGATATTCACGAAGACGGTAGCATGTCCAAAATCATGAGCAGGCTGTGTTGCAGGGCATACATGGAAAGCAAGGGATTACTATTGCAGGAGGGCAAAGAGATTGGAGATTACCCATAAGTAGGGGCTCCCTAATGCTTCTGAACAAATGCAAGTTGAGTTTGGGACCCTTTGGGGGCCCTAGCACAAGTGGTCCTGTGTGCGCTGTGCCCATTGGCACGAGAAATTCCCATATGCACGGTGAAGTGACGAGGGCATGAATGCATGAGTCTATATGCCCAATAAATAGAGTACTTACCCTTCCCTGCAAAAACGAGTACTGTGCTTGTGGACACATGTTTACCCATGTATGTGTGCCTCGTGCCCATGAGCACATGCAAGAGACCTCTATGTCCATAGTGTGTGTGTGAGAACCGGTTTTCCCACCCGCCCCAAGGTCCTGATCCCCACCCGCCTTGGCTCCTCTCACTGCTCTCAGCGCCCAGGCTCCCCTGGCCCGCCTAGACTCTGGAAGCCCCCTAGCAGGCGGATCTGCTCAGTCTGCATGGAGTGGCGTCTCACCAACTTGCGCTTGGTCCTGGGAGAGCCTGGCGCCCCCGCCTGGGGAGGGGCGGGCAGTGAAGGCGCCCGACCTCCGGGTTGGGGGCGAATGTCGGGGATGGGAGGATGGGGGCTGACATTGAGCGGGGGCAGGAAACCTGGCCGCGTTTGCGCGATGTGGTCCAGGAGCAACGTCCCCGAGCCCCTCCGCTCCAGCAACCCGGGACTCCGCCTCCGCCCGCTCAGCGGAGATACAGCCCCAGGAAGACTCTCCTGGGACTGGCGCGGGGAGGAAACCGAGCCGGCTGGAGGGAGGGTCAGCGGGGAGGCGCTGTATCTGCGGCGCTCCAGGGACGGGCGGCTGCACTCGGGCGAGTCGGGGCAAAGACTTCCGGGAGTATCGAGCTCCACCGACTCCATGCGGCTCAGTTTCTGCCTCAGCCCTGAAGAGGGGCCAGGCTCCTGAGCTTCTGGCGCTGTGTTTCTGCGAGAGAGAGGACCCCCACCCGTCACTTTCTCCGCCCACGGGGGCGGGTCCTCTGGGCCTTCGGTGCTGTGACGTCGGGAAAGACGCGGTCGACCTGTCAGGGTCAAGCCGTTGAATTCGGCGGTCAGGCGGTCGACCCCCGGCCTCCCTTCTGCAGGCGGGACCGGTTGAGGAGGGGCCACTAGGCCCCAGGGCTCGGAGTTGAGCCTTTTGAGGGGTTTTGGAGGATGGCGGGGTGGTTTGGGGAGTGGCTCGGAAGGGGAGGGGTCATCGGGAGGCTTAGGAAGAGGGAATTCAAATACGTCCCTCTTTTCCTCTTCTTCCTGGGCGCGAGGGGATAACAATCCTCGTCCTCCCACTCCTGCAGTCTGCAGTTGGATTTCCGAAGGCGATGTGCAGACCCCCGGGCTAGGAGGAGTGGGAGCGGGGTCCTCCACCCCCGGGGACGGTGGGGAATTGAGATACTGGCGTGTCTTCTTGGTGCCGGAGGGCGAGGTGTCAGTGGTAATGATGATGACCTCCGTGCCCTTGGCCTTGCAGGCGTCCAGCAGCGTGGCAAGGGTCTCGCGATCCCCGCGGTCCAGGGCGTGGACAAGTGCCGAGGCGCCGGCGTGATCTCGGACTGAGGGGTCCGCGCCATGGGCAAGGAGCAGGGAGGCCACCGCGGCGCCCCCGCCGCCCGCGCAAGCGTGCATGAGCGCCGTGCGCCCTAGGCGATCTGCGATGTTGGGGTCCGCGCCTTGCTCCAGAAGGTAGCGTACCATGCGTGCCTTGTTCTGGGGGTCGTCGTACCGGGCCCGACAGGCCGCCATTAGCGCAGTCTCCCCTTGAGCATCACCCTCATTCACGTAGGCGCCCCCCTCCAGAAGCAAACGGGCCAAGCGTAGCTTACCCTGACCCACGGCCCGAAGAAGAGCGTGGCCCTCGGTGTGCAGCATAGCTGCAGCTGGGGAGAAAGCACCGTTGGAGCCGGGATTGGGACCTGCCGAGGACGCCTAGGGGGGTGAGGGTGGTGGCTGGCAGAGGCCTGCGGGCTCAGTGGCGAAGCCAATCCCTGCAAAAAAGAGAAAGGTCTTATTTAGTGATTCAGGCAGGGAAACTGAGGCACAGGTGGAAGGACCCGCGTGGGATGGGGGAGATCTCCACGGCATGGCACATAGTCCTTCTAACTCATGCCTCTGAGCCGCCCCCATCCCCCCAGCGCATGCCTGAGATGAGAAGGGTGCACCCGCACTGAAGGACGAGCGCGCGTGCAAACGTGTACGTGCACGCGCAGGGATATCCGCACCCCCACCCTCACCCCACGGCTTATCAGACCTTTCCAGCATCCCCCTTTTCTTATCCGCACTTGGAATCCCCCTTTCTAGGATGTTGAACGCCACCCACCCACACACATGCACCCATACATTCACACACACAGTCCCATTCCTAACCTCTTTTAGGTTGCCACAGCCCCACAGACTGAATGGGGGGAGGGAGGCAGCTTGCGTTTGGGACCTAAAACGGGTGGGGGGGAGAATTGGGGGGTTCTTTTGCCCCTGCTATATACCCCATCACTCCTTGTTCTTTCCCCTCCCAGGTTGTGCACCCAAATAGATACCTGTAAGTCCGCAGAATCTCCTCCGGGCCAGGGCTGAGGCCAGGGCCACGGGGCAGCTGGGGTGGCGGAGCCGGGTTCCTGGGGGCCCACATGGCGTGGGGGTGGGCACTCGGATTCCCTTGGTGTCAGTATCTGCGCCCGGGCACAGAATCCTGGTCCCTCCTCCCGGTGCGCCCCGGGCACAGCGCCGGCTCCGGAGGAGAGAAGCTGGGGGGGGGGGGGGGGCGGAGCTATGCCTCGCTATTTATAGCCTAGTCTCTGCGGGTGGGGGCGTCGGGCACCAAACCATTACCCCACCCATGCACACATAAACCCTCAAAAGCTAGAGGCTCCAATCCTGACTTCCCTTTCTTAGCCCCTCAGTCACAACAAACCTAAATGTTCCTTAAGAGACTCCTCCGCGACCCAGACTGGGACCATCCCAATTCTTCGTCTAGCTTCAACAGATCCCCATTCTCCGCTCTTCGTGCGTTGATGCGCGCCTGTGCATCAGATCTGACCTGCCACACGCGGTACATGGTACACTATACAGAAAGGTGGAGAGAGAGGCGATGGGATCCACAGCTGGAGTCCTTACTGTACAGAGGGAGGCAAGAGATCTGGTTGCCTTCTCCTAGTTTAAATGTCAGAGGGAGCTGGAGTCAGACACAGCGATACATCTTCATTCCACCTCCCAGCAACCGGAACATGCATCACAAATAAACTTGGACCTCAGCTCCCTTATACAGACTTCTTAGATAAGTATGCAGAGGTTGGGTCATTTTTAGATACTGCAAGGGGTTATTCCCAGATACCTCCTCCCCATATTTTTGGAAGGATGGGAGGAAGAGAGAGAAAAGGGGCAGAGAAGGGTGAACCTTGTAACACATTCTCTCTCATTGCATCTATTTATTCTCGGCCTTTTCCCATCTTGTTTGAAGGTCTCTGAATCGTTCCTTAAAGTCTTCTTTCTCCCTATCTGTAGCAGTCGGTTTCTCTCAGTGTCTATCTCTGCCTCTCCTCACCACCTGCCCTGTCTCCATGGTTACCATAGCTTCCATCTGCATATTTTAGGAATGAGTTTGTGTCCAGCTGGAAGGCATCAGGGGAAGTGGGGGGGGGTGCTGAGGAAAAAATCCTAAGGATTTGGAAAACTCACCTGAGATAATTCAGAGGCTGGAGGCCACCAGACAGAAGATATAATGTTCCTGAAGAAGAGGGAGAGAGAAATATTTGCAGGGAAGCTACCCATTTTTATTAGGTACCATGTTTCGATTCCTGGGTCTGGAAGATCCCCTGGAGAAGGAAATGGCAACCCACCCCGGTATTCTTGCCTGGAGAATCCCATGAACAGAAGAGCCTGGCAGGGTGCAGTCCACAGGGTCACAAAGAGTTGGACACACCTGAAGCAACTTAGCATGCACACACCATTTACTGAAAACCAACTATGTGCCAATTATGTAAGTACTTTACACACATTATCTCCAATCCTCACAACAATGCTATAAGGTAGGAATTATTTTCTTGTTATAAAGAAACTGTAACTTTAGTAAAGTTAAGCAGTTCTCCAAAGCCTCACAGTTCTGTTTCTGTCCTATTCCGAAGGCTGGGTGCTTGCCACTACACCAACAGCCTTCCCAGTCCAGAGGCTTCACTCCCAGGGCCATTTTCTATGACCTCAGGGTTATTCTTGACTAACTTCTAGATTCTATCTCTACTCTGATCTCTTTCCCATTGTTTCTGTTTTTTTTTTTTTTTGTGAAAGTGGGACCCCTCCTCCCAACCCCACCCTCTTTAACCAAAGGCTAGGAGGAGCTGGAAGGAGGTCGAAGATGCAGTAAACACTGGACTCCTGCCCTATCTCCCCAACTCTGGTTATCTGATTTCCTAATCCTTCCTTTCCCAAAGCCTCTTTCCATCTTCTCACAGACATGGCAGCAACCTACAGGAAAACATTTTTCTAGAAAAGAAATACTCATGGGTGGTGCTGGAGGGAAGCAGCGCAGAACTGAAGGGAAGACTGGAGGAATGAAGGAGAGGCCAAGTGTGAAGCCACAAAAAGAATGACCCTTCAGGGAGCAGGTTTCACAGAGTTGTATTTCTCTGTGGAAGCTCTTTCTATCGAGTCCCTCGGTGAAATCTAAGGATCAGCTTCCCTCTGTGAACCGTCGCCAGGCCAAGCGGTCCTCCATCTGAGATGAGGTCTGAAATGACTGACCCCTTGGTTCTGCAACCCCATCTTTCTACTCACTCGGCTTGTCTAGCCTGAGTTCCGGCTAACTCCCTCCCTCCCTCCCTTCCTCGGCTTCAGGTGGGCGGGCCTCCTCGGCTTCCCCTAGATTGGCTGGGAGAACTCACCAATGGGGAGCTCTGGGAGGCGGACCTAGAACGCCACCAGCTTGAGGAAGACAGGCAAATTTCAAGTTGGCCGCGGCGTGTTTTCCGCCTGGGGGAGGGGCAGCAGGTAAGGCCCCGACTGGGTGGCTCTGACCTGGTGCCATCCCGCACCTCCCGAACTAGTTCACCGGGGACCAGCTGCTAGCTAGAGAGACAGCGCATTCCGGCAGCCTGTTGGATCTGCCCCCTTCTACTTCCCCACTCTCTCCCTGTGGGCTCGCTTTGCTGTGTTGATTATATACTGGAGAACCGTAGTTTTCCTTCGCGCAAAGGGGAGATATATTAAAGGAAAAAGTGGAAGACTCTGTCTGGTACCTCTGAGCCTTTAGTATGAACCAGCTTCTCCTAAATCTATTAGTATTAAGAGCTTGACAGACTCCCGTTGTCTATCAAAACTCTGATGAAATATTACCTCCTACCTGTAGCTCTCCTGGACCAATTTTTTTTTTCAGGATTAATTGTTCCCCAGTCTGACAATAGCATTTTATGCGTACTGCCTGCTCCCTCTTTAATGTTTCTATTCTACTTAGAGTATAAAGTTTTGTAGGGCAAGTTCTAGGATTTAATACAATGCAATGTATTATGTATTAAATGCACAGTGCCCAGTAAAAGTTAATTGGACGGAATTGATTGGAAAGGAAGAATTTAAACTTCTGATGTAATTAGGGAGCAATTAATAAAACACAAAGTAAAATACAATACAGTATATCATTATGACCTCTTAAGTTGGTGGTTCATAGTGTAATTGCTTGCAAAGTCCAGAGACGGGTGAAAGCTAAGAGGACTGGGATGGTGAAGGGAGCCTTTAGGAATCACAAGGTCTCAAGTTTGGAACAGACCTTAGGAGTCATGTATTCATTCTTTCAGCACATATTTATTGAGTATCTACTATATGTCAGACATAATGCCAGAGAATGGCGATCATAGTGAATCCTTTACTTTAGATAGGCATCCTTCCTCTGATAAACCATATTTAGTAAATTATTATTCAGCTTCTGTTTAAACTTTTTAGTAAGAGAACTTCCTATCTCACTTTGCTCTGCAATCAATATCCAACAAATACAACAAGAAATATATGGCTCAACAAAATGTATTCCACATTTTCACTGTAAAAGAGACAGAACTGTCCTAATGGTAACATTCTTAAAGAAAATCATCTCTATGTTTTCTGTTTATAGAAGTAATATACATTTATCCTAGAAAACCATAAAATGTCTATTATATCATGACAATGATATAGTGTTACTATTTTAATATATATCCCTTCAATTTATTTCCTGCATGTATACATATGTATATATATGTGTTTTTTGTATATATTACACACATAGGGATATACAACAAATACAACCTTTTATCATGCTTTCTCCACTTTACATCATATTGTGAACATTTTTCTGCCTTTAAATATTATTTGAAATTTTTATTATGTCTACATAATAGTGTAAGATGGATATTTGATTTTTTTAACCCTTCATATTTTAAAAAATAAAGCCCACTTATTGAAGTTGGTCATTAGGTCTTTTTTTTGTTTAAGATTTATTTATTTATTGGCAGTGGTGGGTCTTCGTTGCTTCAAGTAGGCTTTCTCTAGTTGTGTCTAGTTATGGCAAATGGGGGCTACTCTTTGTTGCGGTGTGCGGGCTTCTCACTGCGGTGGCTTCTCCTGTTGAGGAGCACAGTCTCTAAGCGCATGGGCTTCAGAAGTTGCAATGCGTGGGCTCAGTAGGTGCAGCAGATGGGCTTAGTTGCTCCATGGCATGTGCGATCTTCCAGGACCAGAGACTGAACCAGTGTCCTTTGTGTTGCAAGGCAGATTCTTAACCACTGGACCGCTGAGAAAGCCCCTGCTGCTGATGCTGCTGCTGCTGCTGCTACTGCTAAGTCGCTTCAGTCGTGTCCAACTCTTAGAGACCCCATGGACAGCAGCCCACCAGGCTCCTCTGTCCACGGGATTCTCCAGGCAAGAATACTGGAGTGGGTTGCCATTTCCTTCTCCAGTGAGGAAGCCCCAGCCATTCATTTTTTGTTGGACTATTTAGGTTATTTCAGAATTTGTGCTACCATGGATAGCTCTTTGATAAACATGATTTTATATCTATGACTATGTATCTGATGATTTCTTTGGATAAGTTTTAAAAGTGGGATTACTGGATTAAGGATATTAACTTTTTAAAGGCTGTAGATTCAAAAAGTCAAATTGTTCACCCAAAATATTGTATTTATAATTCTTCCAGTGAGGTATGAGAGTGTCCACTTCAAAAAAACTCATGGAAGCCTGATTAATTTTTAAATCTTTGCCAATTCTATAGATAAAAAATGGTTTGACCATTGTTATTAATTTCCTATTCATGTTCTTTGCATATTTATCCTATTGGGATGATTTTTCTTTATTTCCATGAGTTCTAATATAATAAGAGTGTTAACTCTTTGTCTTATTTATTACAAATATAGCAAATTCTAAACGTTAGAGTGCTCCAAGCCTTAGTCCCTGGATCTCTTCTTTTCTCTCTTCACATCCACTCCTTTAGGAATCTCTTCCCAGTCTCATGACTTGAAACATTTGTATATTGAGACCTCCATTAGAATGTAAGCTCCTTTTAAACTCCATGGGTGCAGCAGGTTTTTGTCCATTTTACTCACTGCTACATCCCTAGTATTTGAAACAGTGCTTGACACTGAATAAGAACTAAGTAAATATTCGTTGAATGAATTAAGATGGTTTTTTATTATTATCTCCATTTTACAGATAAGGAAACATCAACCCTCCCTACTATTCACTCTTGCACTCCCCTTCCCCCACAAACAACAGGATCTCACATATATTATACTCATTCTCAACTGTGCTGAACTGTGTAATGTAGTAGAAGTTATTAAGAAGCAGTTTTCAAAAAAAATACAGAAAAGCAATAACATCAAATTTAAGAAAGGCTTTTTAGTAACTTATACCATATTAAAACAGTTATGGCACAGTTGGGAATGAGTATAACATATGTGGGATGTTGTTTGTGGGGGAAGGAGAATGCATGATATTTATGGAGGGG